CCCCTGCGTGTCGCGATCGTCGGCAGGCCCAATGCGGGCAAATCCACGCTGATCAACGAGATGGTGGGTGAAGACCGCATGCTGACAGGGCCGGAGGCCGGCATCACCCGCGACTCGATTTCAGTCGATTGGGTCTGGCGCGACCGGCATGTCAAGCTGTTCGACACGGCAGGTATCCGCAGGAAAGCCAGGGTTCAGGAAAAGCTCGAAAAACTGTCGGTGGCCGACGCGCTAAGAGCGATCAAGTTCGCGGAAGTTGTCGTCGTCACGCTCGATGCCACGATGTCTTTCGAAAAACAGGATCTTCAGATAATCGATCTTGTCGCGCGCGAAGGCCGGGCACTGGTGATCGCCATAAACAAGTGGGACCTGGTTGAAGATCGGGAAGCGGCTTGGAAGAAGATACGTGACGCAAACGAGCGTTACTTCAATCAGATTCGCGGTGTTCAGATCACAACATTATCCGGGATTCAGGGGCAGGGCATCGACCGATTGGTCGAAAGCGTCTTCAAGTCCTATGAAGCCTGGAACGCCCGCGTTTCGACTTCCAAACTCAATCGCTGGCTCGACAGGGTCACGGCAAATCACCCGCCACCTGCCGTGGCGGGTCGGCGGATTCGACTGCGCTACATGACGCAACCGAAAACGCGGCCACCTCATTTCATCGTTTTCTGTTCCCGTCCGGAACAGTTGCCGGAGAGCTATACACGTTATCTGGTGAATTCCTTGCGGGAAAAGTTCAATATCCAGGGCACTCCCGTGCGCCTGACATATCGCAAAGGGGAAAATCCGTACGCCCCCGGGAAAAAGCGAAAGATTCAGTAGTCACGGATCCGGTGTGCGGGCGACGAAGTATTCGGAGCGATCGCAAACCGGCCTCAACTTATCGGGTTTCGAAGGAGCAAAATAATGATTTCCGAACGGCTTGCGTTTGCCGAACGTCTTGCAATCCAGGCAGGTGAACTCGGTCTGGAGTATTTTCGTAAACTCGACACGCTGACTATCACCCAGAAAGGACACCAGGACCTGGTGTCCGAAGCAGACAGGAATGTTGAAACGCTGATCCGCAAGGAACTTGCCAAATCATATCCCGACGACAGCATTTTGGGTGAAGAGCACGGCATAGAAGAAGGTACATCCGGCTACACCTGGATCACCGATCCAATCGACGGGACTGCGAATTTCGTCACCGGCATACCACAATGGTGCGTAATCATTGCTTGCGTTCACCAGGGCCAGGTTATCGTCGGCGTGATCCACGATCCGGTGGCCAAGGAGACTTTCACCGCAGCAGCGGGGCAGGGCGCCTTCCTGAATGGCAAACAAATCAAGGTGTCGACCAGCGACAGCCTGTCCAACGGATCTGTCGGTGTCGGTTTCAATGGCCGGACGGCCGTTACGGATGCCGTGAATGTCATTGGCGCTCTTGTATCAAAAGGCGGCGTGTTTTTCCGTAATGCCTCGGGTGGGTTGATGCTCGCCTATACAGCGGCCGGCCGGCTGATCGGTTATGCGGAATCACACATGAATGCCTGGGATTGCCTGGCTGGCATGTTGCTCATCAAGGAAGCAGGCGGCGTGGTGATGGAGCAGGACGTCAATAATTCGCTATATCACGGGGCTCGCGTGGTCGTGGGAGCACCGGGTGTTTTCGGGGATATCAGGGAAATCGCCGAAAGTTCCTTCGCACCCCTGGAAGCTGCCGAGTAACAAGTGTCAGACGTGCTGGTCGACAAGCACCGGATTTCCGTCCGGATCGATCAGCACGAAACTGGCCGGACCGGTGGTCGATTCGTCCGCTTCTGCCTCAAAGGCATAACCTTTGGACTTCAATTGCTGTTGGAGTTCACGGATGTCCTGAAAGGTGTCGAGTTTTTGCGCACCCTGGTCCCAGCCCGGATTGAAGGTCAGCATGTTCTTTTCAAACATGCCCTGGAACAGGCCGATGACGGTGTCCCCGTTTTTCAGGATTGCCCAGCCGTCCGCGCCCGATCCGCCCAGGTCCGAGAAGCCGAGACCTTCATAAAAGGCTTTTGATTTCTGAAGATCCTTGACCGTCAGGCTGATTGAAAACGCACCGAGTTGCATGGAACGGCCTCCTGTACCGCTGATAGGAAAGGCTACATGCTTTCAAAGGCCGAGAAAGGATGCAAGCTCGGTCCTGGTTTCTTCCGTAAAATGAAAGCCGTCCCAGCCGAGTGAGCGCGCTGCCGCGATGTTTGCCGAGCTGTCATCGATTAACAGCATATCTTCCGGAGGAAGATCGAGAGATGTGCTGACATGTCGGAAGAACGCCGCATTTGGCTTTGCATGGCCAATCCGCCCTGAAGAGAAAACCCTGTCGACACGGTCCGAAAAACCTGAGGTCCTCTCGATGTATGTTGTGCGGTGATGTTCGTTGTTTGTCGCGACAACCTGACGGATCCCTGTCAGACGAAGTCGTTCAACAAGGCCACAGGTAAGCGGATCTTGAAGGTCGTCCTTCGCAAACCAGTAGGTCAGAATTGCATCTGCAGTATGTGGGTGATCTTGCCTGCACAACCAATCCCGTACATGGTCTTTCAGGTCTGTCTTTCCGGAAATGACTTGCATGAAAGTCCGATTGAATATGCCCTCCTGAAAGTCCTTCAACGGTATTCCGAGGTCTTCTTCCAGTGTTTCGGACCAGACGAACTTGCCTCCGATGACATTGCGATTGAGGACGCCATCGAAGTCCCAGGCGATTGCTTTCGTGTTCTTGCGCATAAAGTGCTGCTCTCGCATTCCGGCTTGGATCCGGCAGTGCCTCAATACACCATCTGCGAAGGATGAAACCTAGCTCGTCCACTCGCCGCTGATACGGTCATAAAGCTCACCTGTCCGAAAGATTTCGGGTTTCAGCAGTTCGACAAGGTCCGCTGCAACCACTTGGGTTGTCGGCAGGTTCTCCGGTGTTTCGCCTGGCATGGTCTTGGCGCGAAGGCCTGTTCGCGTGGGGCCCGGGTCAGCGAGGTTGATTTTCATCGCAGTTTGAAGGCTTTCATTTGCCCAGGTTCTGGCCATTGCTTCAACAGCGGACTTGCTGATTGATTGCAAGCCCCAGAACGCGGTGCGCGTTTGTGCCTGGACACAGGTCAGGAACAATGCCCGACCAGCATCCGACTGGCGCAGCAACGGGTCCAGCGAGCGGACGAGGCGCCAGTTTGCTGTGACGTTCACAGCCATGACCTTTTCAAAGTCCTTCGGACTGATATGGCCGAGGGGGGATAGAACTCCGAGCATTCCGGCATTGCCGACAAGAATGTCGAGTTTCTTCCAGCGCTCGAAAATGGCGGCGCCGAGCCGGTCGAGTGCATCGAAATCCATCAGGTCCACGGGCACCAGTGTCGTCTGGCCGCCAGCTGCCTTGATCTCGTCGTCGAGATCTTCCAGACCGCCGACGGTCCGGGCGAGTGCGATGACATGTGCGCCGCGTTCACCGAGTTGTTTTGCGATCTGATAGCCAATACCGCGAGAGGCGCCGGTCACCAGTGCGATCCGACCGTCAAAGTCTTGTGTCATGCTATGTCTCTTAACCGACCTCCACCAGGCGCGGTGCGCTGATGAATTCCTGGTCTTCGGAAAGATCCGTCAGCGGCGTCGGATAGTCGCCGGTAAATCCGTGATCGGTGAATTGCGGGTTTTCGTTGTCGCGACCGTCATACCCCATGGACTTGTACATACCGTCGACGGACAGGAACGCGAGACTGTCGGCGCCGATATATGCGCACATTTCTTCGAGGCTGTATTTGGCGGCCAGAAGTTTTTCCCGGACCGGCGTATCGATCCCGTAATAGTCGGAATAGCGGATCGGCGGGCTGGCAAGCCGGAAATGGACTTCCTTGGCACCGGCTTCACGGATCATCTGGACGATCTTGACCGACGTGGTGCCGCGAACGAGGCTGTCGTCGACCAGAACAACGCGCTTGCCTTCGATCTGGGACCGGTTCGCCGAATGCTTCATCTTCACGCCTAGCGCCCGGATCTGCTGCGTTGGTTCGATGAATGTCCGGCCGACATAGTGATTTCGGATGATACCAAGTTCGAACGGAATGCCGCTTTCCTGGCTGTATCCGATCGCGGCCGGAACGCCACTGTCGGGTACCGGTACGATTACATCGGCTTCAACACTGGTTTCGCGCGCGAGTTGCTTGCCCATTTCCCGGCGGACATCGTAGACGCTGCGACCACTCAGAACGGAGTCCGGCCGTGAAAAGTAGATGTATTCGAAGATGCAGGGCCGTGCCTGCTGTTTGCCGAACGGAAAAAAGGACTGGATGCCGGTCGACGTACAGACGATCACTTCACCGTTTTCGACTTCCCTGATGAATTTCGCGCCGATGATATCAAGCGCACAGGTCTCTGAAGCCAGGATTGGCGCGCCGTTCAGATCGCCGAGGACGAGAGGACGGATGCCAAGCGGATCCCGCGCGCCGATGAGCTTCTTGGACGTCAGCGCCACGAGCGAGTAGGCACCTTCCATCTGCGTGATCGCTTCAATGAAACGGTCGACGATCTTGTTCTTGCGGGAGCGGGCGACCAGCTGGAGCACGACTTCGGAGTCCGATGTGGACTGACAGATCGCACCGTCGCGGATCAACTGTCGCCTCAGCGTGAGAGCGTTTGTGAAGTTCCCGTTGTGGCAGACCGCGATCCCGCCTCCATCGAGTTCGGCAAACAGTGGCTGTACGTTTCGCAGGATTGTTTCGCCGGTCGTGGAGTACCGTACGTGACCGACGGCAGCACGGCCGGTCAGGCGCCCGATCGTATCTGCATCGGAAAAGTGATCGCCGACAAGTCCCAGATGCCGTTCTGCGCGGAACTGATCATTGTCGAAGGTAACTATACCGGCTGCTTCCTGCCCCCGATGTTGCAAAGCGTGCAGACCAAGGGCGGCGAGGGCGCTGGCGTCCTCGTGTCCCAGAATGCCGAAGACACCGCACTCTTCACGAAGCGTGTCGCCATCCATATCAAACAGCTCGTCCACTTCCGTTCCGCCAGTCATGGCGAACACTCCTCTTTTCGGCCGACAGAGATTGCGGCCCGAGACTTTGAATTGGCCTGCTTCCTCGCGAAAGCAGCATTGTCGTTTGGCACGCGGTAATGCGATCTGCCGGTGCGGATAGGTCTTCGCTTCTGTCGGCGTCAGTTGTTGTCGCTCGTCAGCTGATCCAGGCCCTGACGCTCGGTTTCGCTGTATTCAGGCTCCTCGGATGGTGCTCCGGCGTTGTTACCCGTCAGATCAGCATCGCGTATTCTGTCCAGGATCGCCTTTTCCGGATCCTCCGGCAGGACGGCGACAAGGCGCTCGCCAATCGAAAGCAGGATAGGTCTCGACTTTGCGTCCAGGACCCATTCCGGCTGCTGATCAGGCTGGACGAACCAGTTGAAGAACATCATCGCCACCACGAGCAACAAAAGGCCACGTACAGCGCCGAACACAAAGCCGAGTGTGCGGTCCAGCGCACCGATCCGGCTGTCCAGCACAAAATCCGAAATCCGCATCGTAATATAGCTGACAATGACCAGTGTCACCAGAAACACAGCTGCGGCCGAAGCGCCGGCAGCTACCAGATCATGAGTTATGTACTGTTTCGCGTAGGGCAAGACCCGTTCATAGAGCAGAAAGGCCGCGGCCGCCGCTGCAACCCAGGAGACGATCGAAAGGACTTCGCGGACAAATCCCCGGATCATGGCAAGCACCGCCGAAATGAACATGATGGCCAAGAGCAGTCCGTCCAGAATGGTTATCGGCATGTTCCTGAAAAGTCCCTTTGTCTGGTGCTCAAAAAAGAGCTGAATTCTCTATTCCGATCCCATGGGCATTATGCTTCTGCGCCCTTCGACGCACTAGCCTCAGCCGAGAGTTTCGCGACAAAGTCCCCAAGTTCCGACAGGCCGGATGCCTTGAATGACGATGCCGCACCGTCCTTGAGGTTCCCCTCCGGACATATCGCCTGATCGAAGCCGAGTTTCTCCGCTTCTTTCAGCCTGGACTGGGCCTGGGCGACAGGCCGGATGGCACCTGACAGGCTGACCTCGCCGAAATAGACGCAATTGGCCGGAAGGGCAAGCCCGCTAAGCGATGATATCAATGCCGCTGCAACTGCAAGATCGGCTCCCGGTTCGTTGATTTTAAGGCCGCCAGCCACATTCAGGTAAACATCGTGCTGGGAAAACCGCACACCACACCGCGCTTCCAGAACCGCAAGGATCATGGAAAGACGCGCACTGTCCCAACCGATCACTGCCCTGCGGGGTGTTCCAAGCGTCGATTGAGCAACGAGTGCCTGGATTTCAATGAGAAGCGGTCTGGACCCTTCGAGTGCGGCAAACACGGCTGCACCAGGTGACGATGTTGACCGGTCCCCCAAAAAGAGCGCCGATGGATTGGAGACTTCCGCCAACCCCTTGCCGGTCATTTCAAAAACGCCGATTTCATCGGTTGCGCCGAAGCGGTTTTTCACCGAGCGCAGGATCCGGTATTGGTGCGCACCATCACCTTCAAAATAAAGCACGGCGTCGACCATGTGCTCCACCACACGTGGGCCGGCGATCTGTCCGTCCTTCGTCACATGACCCACAAGTACAAGTGTGGTGCCGTTTTTCTTCGCATAGCGCACCATGGCCTGCGCCGAGGCGCGGACCTGGGTCACTGTGCCTGGTGGCGATTCTACCTGATCGGTCCACAAGGTTTGAACTGAGTCCAGGATCAGCATCGCGGGCGGTTTGTCAGCCTCAAGCGTCGCAAGGATGTCTTCGACACTGGTTTCGGCGGCAAGTGCGACCGGAGCGTCGGCAAGATCCAGGCGTTCGGCACGCAGGCGAACCTGTCCGATCGCTTCCTCGCCTGAAATATAGATGGTCTTGTGTCCGAGATTTGCCAACTGTGCGGCAGCCTGAATCAGAAGCGTGGATTTGCCAATGCCTGGATCACCGCCGACCAATAGCGCCGAGCCGCGAACAAAGCCGCCTCCGGTCACCCGGTCCAGTTCCGCAACATTTGTCTGGATACGGGGAGCTTCTTTCGTGTCACCGGACAGGCCTACAAGCGGAACAACGCGTCCCTTGCTACGCGGTGCACGTTGCGGACCGCCCCCGACCCCGCCACCGGTCTGTTCCTCGACAATCGTGTTCCATTCACCGCACGACTCGCAGCGCCCGACCCATTTGGCAGTAACTGCGCCACAGGACTGGCAGACGAAAGAGCTGGACCGCCGGGCCATGGGATCTCCAGTTAGCTGAGTGGGCGATAGATGCGCTCGAAGCGCTGCCCCAAGCTTGTCAGATATTCATAGTCTATTGTTTCGGCATACGCTGCCAGGTCCGCAGCTGCAACATTGGGTCCGAGCATTTCCACAAACGCGCCGCGTCTGACCAGATGATCGGGAACGTCGGTAACGTCAAGCGTAATCATGTCCATCGAGATCCGACCGAGGATCGGGGCCTTGTGACCGCCGATCATCGCAAACCCGCCCGGGCGGCTATCTGTCGAACTCGCGCCCCGGAGCAGTCCGTCGGCATAACCAGCAGCAACGACGGCGTTTTTGAGTGGCCGGCCAGCGGTGTGACTGGCGCCGTAGCCGATCGTGTCACCCTCCGGTACGTCACGCACGATCATGATGCGGGCCTCTACCTTGGCAACCGGTTTCATCGGATTGGGTTCATTTTCGATCGCCTGACCGCCGTAAAGGGAAATACCGGGACGCACGAGATCGAAATGAAACTCGGGACCCATCAGAACGCCTGCGGAGTTCGCCAGAGAACGTCGAATGTGAGCATGCGGAGCCGTGACCTCCCGGAATAGCCTGAGCTGATGATCATTCATCACGTGGGCTGGGTTGGACCCGCAGGCCAGATGACTCATGAGAAGCGAGGGAATGAAAGGACCCATTTGATCGGGTTTTGAAAACGTCGCGGTGAATTCACTCGGCGATAGTCCAAGCCGGTGAATTCCGGTATCGACATGAACCGCTGCGTCAAATGACCTCCCGGCACCCTTGCAAAGGTCTATCCATTCCACCAGTTCGGCATGCGAGCCCAGAACCGGACGGATACGGTGCTCGAGATAATGGTCGATTGTCCCGGGCAGCAGGCCGTTCAGGGCATATATGACCGCATCTGGAAGCACGCGCCTTAGCGCGATCGCTTCTGTCGGAACGGCAACGAAGAAGGTTCGGCATCCTTCGTCGTACAGCGCCTGTCCGGCCTGCGCCTGGCCCATGCCATAGGCGTCCGCCTTGATCGCGGCAGCACATTCAGTTGCATCTCCCAGCCTGTCTTTCAACGCAGTCCAGTTTTGCGCAATCGCACCCAGGTCAATGGTGATTCGTCCGCCATAGAGGTCCGAATGGAAGGGTGTTTCCGGTCGATTGGGCACAGTCCTGATTTTGCTCCGGTAGATTGGGATGTTCCCGTGGAATCAGGTGGTATTCTACCGCAATGATCGGACCCGGTTCCAATTGAAAAATGGAAGATTGACGCGGCCATTGATCGCTGGTGTTAGATCGGGCAGCGCGTTGTAAAAACGCCCGTCATTTGCGTCCTGACGCCTTAGTCCTGATAGAGAAATTCGATGCCGGCCTCATCCGTGCGGGTCCAGCGTATTTCCCCGTGAAAACGCAGTTTTTTGCTTTCAACTTCAAGGACGACCTTTGCGTTCTGCTTCAGGTTTTTGGTTTTGGTTGCAATCCTGCAGCCACCGGCACTGATATCCTCGACGACACACGGTTGGTGAATCTTCTCGAGCCTGAGGATCCCGGGCCACTTGCAGTTCTTCCGGGGGAAGATCCTGGCTTCCTCCAACAATTTTTGCACCGGTGAAACCACGATGATCCATTTCCAGAAAAATCGGCGAATTCTAATGATTGATTACTTAGGGTAAATAACGAGGCTTAAAGATGACTTAAAATTGTCAAAACGTACAAGCCAATATCTATGATCTGCCGATGATATTTTTCTTCGCACGATATTGACGATACGCTCATGAACCGCGCAGAGCAGCTAAGCGCTCGGTGCTAAGTGACGCAATATCACAGTGCGTTCGGTCCAGGTGTGAATGACTGACTATTCGTAGCGCTCCGGCAGATGGTCATCCTCAGCCAGATCGGAGAACCGGGTGAACTCGCCCTGGAAGTGGAGATTCGCCGTCCCCGTAGGACCGTGTCGCTGCTTGGCGATGATCACTTCTGCCTTGCCTCTTGCAGCCTCGTGCTTGGATTCCCAAGCTGCATATTCAGGTGACCCGATCTCGGGCTCGGTCTTGGAAAGGTAATATTCTTCCCTGTAAACGAACAGGATCACGTCGGCATCCTGCTCGATGGATCCCGATTCGCGAAGATCAGACATCATTGGGCGTTTGTCGTCACGAGATTCGACCTGGCGGGACAGCTGAGAAAGCGCAATGATCGGAACGTTGAGTTCCTTGGCCAGTGCTTTCAGGCCGGTAGTGATTTCGGTGATCTCCTGCACCCGGTTGCCTGTGTTCTTGGCGGACCCCGACAACAACTGGATATAGTCGACCACAAGCAGGTCGAGGCCGCGCTGGCGTTTCAGCCTGCGTGCCTTCGCCACCAGGGAAGCGATGGAGATACCGCCCGTTTGGTCAACATGCAGTGGCACTGACTGCATTGTCTGGGCACACGCGGCAAGTTTTTCAAATTCTGCTTCCGTAATGTCCCCACGACGGATCTTGGAAGACGAGATCTCCGCCTGTTCGGAAATTATACGGGTCGCGAGCTGCTCTGCGGACATTTCGAGTGAGAAGAAGCCGACCACGCCGCCATTGACAGTCTTGACCGAACCATCCTGTTGTTCTTCCGATTTGAACGCCTGTGCGATGTTGTAGGCGATGTTTGTGGCAAGCGAGGTTTTCCCCATTGCCGGACGACCGGCAAGAACGATCAGATCGGATTGCTGCAACCCGCCCATGAGTTTGTCCAGCTCCCTCAGGCCGGTGGACGTTCCCGAAAGGGCACCTTCACGATTGTAGGCGGCATGCGCCATTTCGATTGTTTCGGTAAGCGCATCGCCAAAAGCTACGAAACCACCCTCGCTGCGGCCGGTTTCGGCAAGTTCAAACAGCCTGCGTTCAGCATCGTCGATTTGCTGACCCGGTGGCACATCTATCGGGGCATCAAAAGCGATATTGACCATGTCTTCGCCAATCCGGATGAGGTTCCTGCGAATGGCGAGGTCATAGATGGTTCGTCCGTAGTCTTCCGCGTTGATGATCGAGGCCGCATCACCGGCAAGACGCAGCAGAAACTGCGTCGCGGACAGGTCCGCTATCTTTGCGTCTGCGGGATAGAAGGTTTTCAGCGTGATTGGAGAAGCCGTCTTGCCGGCCCGAATCAGGTGGCTGATCTTTTCGTAGATGTCGTGATGCGATGGCACGAAAAAATGAAGTGGCTCCAAAAAGTCGGAGACCCGATAAAAGGTTTCGTTGTTGACGAGAATCGCACCCAGAAGCTGACGTTCCGCTTCCGCATTGTGCGGAGCGAGACGCTGAATGTCTTCTTCTGTTTCGACCTTCTGCAACGTGCCCTTCATACCGACCCCCAATGACCCAAGTTCATTGGGCATACCTTCTGACGCGGGCGGTCTCAAGGCTCAAAAACGACTGTCATTGTTTCCCACCGACTTGCACAGATCAGCGGGGAAAGACTCGAATCCTGCTTGACACAAAAGCTGTTTGGAGACTCAAGGCGATAGATCTTAGTCATTGAAAACTATCGCTTTTTTAGTGAGGTTAATGAGCAGTTAAGGAATTGGGCTGTGGATTCAACGCGTTGTATGGGAGTTTGAATTTGCTGGTTTAGGCAACGTCGAATTTTGGCGAAATGAATTGCTGGCAAAATAAAAACGGCACTGCGAGCAGTGCCGTTTTGTGCTTGACTGGAGAAGAACGTGAAAGCCGATCAGACTTCGTCTTCTGCAGGAGCTTCTTCTTCGGCCTCGGAACCTTCCTCGTTGCCTTCGGCTTCTGCGTCTTCCTCGTCTTCTTCAAACTCGAAGACGTCCTGTTCCGGCGTCGTCAGGTCTTCACCGGCTGCCTGGCGCGCTGCTTCGTCTTCGGAGCGGGCGACGTTGACGGAGATGGTGACTTCGACTTCCGGATGCAAACGGATCAGAACGGTGTGCAGACCGATTGTCTTGATCGGTGTGCGCAGTTCGACCTGGTTGCGGGCAACCGTGAAGCCACTCTCTGTCAGACCATCTGCAACGTCTCTCGTGGAAACGGATCCGTAGAGCTGGCCGGTCTCGCCCGCCGAGCGAATCATCACCAGTGCTTCGCCGTCGAGCTTGGAAGCAACGGCTTCTGCTTCGCTCTTGCGTTCCAGATTCCGGGTTTCGAGTTGCGCGCGTTCAAGCTCGAAGCGCTCCAGATTTGCCTTGTTGGCGCGGAGCGCCTTGCCTTGCGGCAGAAGGTAGTTACGGGCATAGCCGTCGCGGACGCGAACGGTGTCGCCCATCTGGCCGAGCCTTGCGATACGCTCAAGAAGAATGATTTGCATTTTTTTCTCCTACTGTCCCGCCTGTTCGGCGGTTAGAGACCGAATGTCCGCGGTCCCAATACGGGTCTCCCGGGAGGGCCCGGGAGAAGTCGGCTTCCAAAAGGAAGCGTTAGCTGATCACGAACGGCAGCAGGCCGAGCAGGCGTGCACGTTTGATCGCACGAGCCAGTTCACGCTGCTTCTTCGCGGAGACCGCGGTGATGCGGCTCGGAACGATCTTGCCGCGCTCAGAGATGTAACGCTGCAGCAGACGGATGTCTTTGTAGTCGATCTTCGGTGCATTGGAACCGGAGAACGGGCAGGTCTTCCGGCGACGGAAGAACGGACGGCGGCTCGGAAGCTGTGCAATATCAACCATTGTCTCTTACTCCTCATCACCACGGCGTGGCGGACGGCCACCACCAGAACGCTCACCACGGTCGCCACGATCACCACGGTCGCCGCGATCACCCCGGCCACCGCCACGGCGGTCGTCGCGATCACGCTTCTGCATCATGGCGGATGGTTCTTCATCCAGTTCACCGACGCGGAAGGTCATGCAGCGCAGGACATCTTCGCTGAGGCCCATCTGACGCTCCATCTCGGCGACAGCGGCATGCGGCGCGTTGATGTTCATAAGCGTATAGTGAGCTTTACGATTTTTCTTGATGCGGTAGGCAAGGGACCGCAGACCCCAGTTTTCAATCTTGCCGACAGTACCACCAGCGCCTTCGATGAGGCCCTTGTACTGTTCGACGAGCTGTTCGACCTGTTGTGCCGAAACATCCTGGCGCGCCAGGAAAACGTGCTCATAAAGAGGCATGAAAATAGCCTTTCTTCGTGTTGACAACGCGGGATTGGCGCAAAGCCTCCTCGTAGACCCGGAAAGGCGCACGAGAAATCTTACGGGAGTGGGAACACGGGAAGTCGGATCTCTCAAAAAAATCCTGGCAAACGCCCTTCCGTTCAGCCCCCGGCCAAACCCGGATGAAGCGCGCTCTATACTCTGTTTTGTGGGAATTGCAAGTCCAAATCGAGCATTGTCTCCTACCTTTGGAACGCTGCTGGTGATGTCACCCTGCGTCCAATTGCAAAGACGCAGGTTGGCAGTTTTTGTTCCAGGCAAGAGATCACGTTTGGTTGGACCCAAAGCAGGAGTTTGGTGAATTCGTTCAGGCAGAGGACTTCTTCCAGCGACGAACCCCTGCAACGCCCATTATCGCCGCGAACAGCAGTCCGCCACTTGCCGGAAGGGGAACAGGCGTGAACCGGAGTCCCAGGTCACCTTCGGGATAAGGTGTATAATTGTTGCGCAATCTCAACGCTCCTTCGGCAGCGCCCGTCGGAGGGAAGAACCAAAGGTACAAAACGCAGCAATCGCTACCTGCTCCTGGAGTGTTGTCGATGTAAGAAACGAAATCGACGTGTGTGACAGCACCACTTTCAACCTTCCAGAGGTTTATGAACGTGTTCGTCTCCGGCGGTCCGATGTAGCCGCCGAGGCCGAAGTTTTCGGTGTTGCCTAGAATTTCAACGCTTGTTGCATTGGAAGTTCCTTCCGTCAGTCCCCGGACGATTCCGGTAATGTGGCCTCCACCGAACGATTCAGGGTTTGAAAAGGAGAAATTGAAGTCGAAAGTGACTGCTTGTGCCACGTGGCTTGAAGTCAGAACCGATATCGCGACTGTGGCTGCCGCAAGCACCCCAGAGATGGAATTTTTCATCATGCCCCCGCACTGATAGTGTAAAAATTGTCAATTACGCTACTTTGGCGAGAGTGTGAAGTGGCAATGTGACACTGGCAGGTTGATTGCAGGGCTCGCATCGTCCAACAGGTTGATTTCGGACCGGTCTCTAAACCCAAACGGTTCATCCAAATACGACAGTTGTTCCCACGATTGCCGGTTGAATCCGTTCTTTTGTTCCATGCACAATGTGCCGGTAGAAAGAGAAGGGTTCATCGAAAAAACCGAAATTCCCTTTAAAAAAGCAAGAATCTGCGCTTGATTTTTGTCTGGGCCTTGACAGGTCGGGCAAGAGCGTACCATAGCCTCGCGCCAAGTATGACGTCAGCCCAGAGCTGGGCAGGCAATTCGCTTTCTTCCAAAGCCGATGGTCCACACCTTATGAAAGAGGCAGGCCCGCGCACGTTTCAACGGAGGCGTTTCCAAGATGACCATAGCATTCACTTTTCCCGGCCAGGGCAGCCAGAGCGTTGGAATGGGCAAGGTTCTCGCTGAAACCTTCCCCGAAGCAAAGGCCGTCTTTGATGAAGTGGATGACGCGTTGGGACAAAAGCTGTCCGATGTCATGTGGAACGGACCTGACGATACTCTGACTTTGACCGCGAACGCTCAGCCGGCGTTGATGGCTGTCAGTCTTGCAACAATGAGGGTGCTTGAAGCCAGGGGCCTCGACTTGAAGTCGAGCGTTGCCTTTGTCGCAGGTCATTCCCTTGGCGAATATTCCGCGCTTGCGGCAGCCGGAAGTCTCGATATTGCCACCACCGCCCGATTGTTGCGGGTACGCGGAGACGCGATGCAGAACGCCGTTCCGGTGGGGGTTGGTGCAATGGCGGCTTTGCTGGGACTGGATTTCGATGTTGCGGTGGAAGTAGCTCAGGAGGCCTCCCAGGGAGAAGTCTGTCAGGCGGCGAACGACAATGCGCCGGGACAGGTCGTTGTCTCAGGTCATCTTGCAGCCGTAGAGCGCGCTGTCGAGATAGCAAAGGCCAAAGGCGCCCGTCGGGCAATCATGTTGCCGGTCAGTGCCCCGTTCCATTGTTCCTTGATGGCGCCGGCTGCAGACGCCATGTCCGATGCACTCGCGAATGCTGAAATCAACGTTCCGGTGGTTCCGCTGGTCGCCAATGTTCTTGCTGAACCGATCACGGACCCTACCGAGATCCGCTCCAGACTGGTCGAGCAGGTGACCGGTACGGTTCGCTGGCGCGAGAGTATTCTGTGGCTTGCTGGCCAAGGTGTCGATACTTTTGTAGAAGTCGGGACCGGCAAGGTCCTGTCGGGCATGGTCAGACGCATTCACAAGGAATCCACGGGTTTGTCCGTGAACACGCCGGAAGACATTGACGCGCTGATGGCAACGATCGGCGGATAGGAACGGTTCTGCCGGCAACGGTCACATTCTGGTACGCAATACGATGAGGGAAGGATCTTAGATGTTCAGCTTGGAAGGCAAAAACGCGCTCGTCACCGGCGCGACCGGTGGTATAGGCGAGGCAATTGCCCGGGTGTTGCATGCCCAGGGAGCATCGGTTTCCCTGTCAGGCACACGTGCCGAAAAGCTGGAAGCCCTTGCGGCGGACCTTGGCGAACGCGCGTTCGTGACACCTGCAAACTTGTCCGATCGTGATGCGGTCGACGCCTTGTTGCCGTTGGCTGAAGAGAAAATGGGTTCTGTGGACATTCTCGTCAACAATGCCGGAATTACCCGTGACAATATCTTCATGCGCATGAAGGACGAAGAGTGGGACCAGGTTCTGGAGGTCAATCTGAGTTCCGGTTTCCGCCTTTGCCGTGCTGCAATCAGGGGCATGATGAAACGTCGTACCGGCCGCATCATCGGCATCACATCGGTTGTCGGTGTGACCGGCAATCCGGGGCAGGTCAACTATGCTGCCGCAAAGGCGGGAATGATCGGAATGTACAAGTCTCTGGCACGCGAGGTGGCCAGCAGAAACATCACCGTCAATACGGTTGCGCCCGGATTTATCGAAACAGCGATGACCGATGCGCTGAACGACAAGCAAAAAGAATCAATTCTGACGAGCGTTCCGGCAGGCCGTCTGGGCACGTCGGCGGAGATTGCCTCTGCCGCGCTTTATCTTGCCAGCGACGAGGCGGCATACATCACTGGCCAAACACTGCATGTGAACGGTGGCATGGCCATGATTTAAAAGAGAGTTTTGCCAAACTGGCAAAAAGAATCCGGACCGCTTTGAAGCGGCCGGGACTGGCTGGTAATGGTCAACAAAGTGTGTTACCTACCCGCCGATTGTTACGAATTGCGTTGTCGAGTCTGGTGAACTGGTCCGATGATGCTGAGACATCTTCAAGCCGTGAGTTGGCGCCGACGTTTTTTGAAAACCGGTCCGGTACAATATCGCGAGCGACGAATAGACGAAAAACAAGGAAGTGAAAGATGAGCGATATCGCGGATCGGGTAAAGAAAATCGTTGTTGAGCACCTGGGTGTAGACGCGGAGAAGGTTGTGGAAGGCGCAAGCTTCATCGATGACCTGGGCGCAGACAGCCTCGACACCGTTGAGCTGGTCATGGCATTTGAAGAAGAGTTCGGCGTTGAGATTCCCGACACCGCTGCGGAAACGATCCTGACCGTCGGCGACGCTGTCAAGTTTCTGGAAGCCAACAAGTAAGGGGCAACCCTGCTTGAGTTCTGAATGACGACCGGGCCGGCGGGGAAAGCTCCGCCAGGCCCTTCCAACGTAAGTGCGGGTTAATGAGGCGAGTTGTCGTAACTGGGTTGGGCATGGTGTCGCCGCTTGGCGGTAACGTCGATGCCACTTGGAAAAAGATCCTCGAAGGAAAGAGCGGGGCCAACAAGGTCACGAATTTCAAGGTTGACGATCTGGCCTGCCAGATTGCCTGCCAGATTCCGCGTGATCCGGGCGAGGACGGCGCGTTCGATCCCAATGACTGGATGGACGTCAAGGAACAGCGCAAGGTTGATGACTTTATCGTCTACGCCATGGCCGCGGCCGATCAGGCAATGGCCGATTCCGGTTTCAAGGCGGAAACGTACGAACAGCAGGCACGCTCCGGTGTTCTGATCGGCTCCGGCATTGGCGGACTGCAGGGAATTGAACAAGGGGCTCATCTCCTGGCGGAGAAGGGTCCGCGGCGGATCAGCCCGTTCTTCATTCCCGGGCGTCTTATCAACCTGGCGGGCGGTTATGTTTCCATTCGCCACGGATTGAAGGGACCGAACCACGCCGTTGTGACCGCGTGCTCCACAGGGGCGCACGCGATCGGTGATGCTTCTCGCCTGATTGCCTTCGGTGATGCGGATGTCATGGTTGCCGGCGGGGCGGAATCACCTCTCTGCCGTCTGGCAATCGCCGGATTTGCCGCATGTCGGGCCTTGTCGACCGGGTTCAACGACACCCCTGAAAAGGGCTCACGCCCCTATGATGTGGCTCGGGACGGTTTTGTCATGGGCGAGGGAGCTGGCGTGGTTGTGCTGGAAGAGTACGAGCACGCTGTTCAGCGCGGGGCCCGGATCTATGCCGAAGTCATCGGCTATGGTCTCTCCGGCGATGCCCATCACATTACGGCACCGTCATCTGATGGCGATGGCGCCTACAGGTGCATGGAAGCCGCATTGAAACGCGCAGAAATAACGCCTGGCGATATCGACTACGTCAACGCACACGGAACATCCACTCCTCTTGGAGATGAAATCGAGCTTGGTGCGGTCAGCAGGCTGGCAGGAGAGCATGCCAAGAACCTGACCATGTCGTCGACAAAGTCCTCGATTGGCCACCTGTTGGGGGCAGCGGGTGCTGTGGAAGCGATTTTCTCTGTTCTTGCGATCAGGGACGGTATGGCGCCGCCGACGATCAATCTGGACAATCCTTCGGTCCAGACCGAGATCGATCTGGTGCCGCACACGGCTAAGGCGATGAATATTGACGTCGCGTTGTCGAACTCATTTGGTTTCGGCGGCACGAATGCATCGCTCGTCTTCCGTAAAGTTGCCGCATAACCCTTTCAAGTTCTCTCAGGCCGGGCCTGATTCTCTTGCCCGGCCTGAGAATTTGATTGTGACAACTGGTCTGCTTGAGCCTGTGTCACGGTTTTGGGATCAATCTTGGAGATGTGACCCGATATGCGCATAAAGCCGAAAAGCCCGCGTGAAGCCCTGCAACCCGAGCCGGCTCCGGAACCGCCGCAACGCTCCCGGCACGTGCGCAATCCCCTTGTGATCCTGAGCAATCTGATCATTACCCTCGCGGTTTTCGGTCTGGCGGCCGTCGGTGGCGCGCTTTATTTCGGCAAGCAGAAATTCGAGGAACCCGGACCCTTGTCCGAGGAAGCAATGGTGGTGATTTCCTCCGGTTCCGGTTTGTCAGGCATTACCGACCGTCTTGCCGGCAAGGGTGTCATCAATGACAGCATGTTCGACGAATGGGTCTTCAATCTCGGTATTCGGTTTTACAAGAATGCGACGGCGTTGAAAGCCGGCGAATATGCCTTTGCCCCAGGTGTCTCCATGCACGAGATCATGACGGATCTCGTGGAAGGCAATGCCGTCACCCATTCGGTTACCGTTCCTGAAGGATGGACAACCGCGCAAATCATCGAACGTGTTCGGGCACATCCGATTCTGGAAGGTGAAATCACCGAAGTCCCTGCTGAAGGAGACCTTTTGCCTGAAACCTACACATTCGCAAGGGGAACAAGCCGCCAGGAAGTTCTCAATCAGATGAAACAGGCACAGCAACGTCTGCTCGCCGAGGTCTGGGAAAGACGTACGGATGAATTGCCGGTCAACTCACCCGAGGAACTGGTGATTCTGGCGTCCATCGTGGAAAAGGAAACTGCACTGGCCGATGAGCGTTCTCGCGTCGCTGGTGTGTTCGTCAACCGTTTGAACAAGAACATGCGGCTGCAATCCGATCCGACGATTCTCTACGGCCTTTATGGCGGCGAAGCCTGGTTGAAAGATCGTTCGGCCATCAAGCAGTCCGAGATTGACGCGAAAAACGAATACAACACCTACCAGATCGATGGGTTGCCACCGGGGCCGATCGGCAATCCGGGCCGCGCCGCGATGGAAGCGGTTGCCAATCCTTCACGCACGCAGGATCTGTTTTTTGTCGCGGATGGTACGGGCGGTCATGCCTTTGCCGAAACCTATGAACAGCACCAGGAAAATGTCCGCAAATGGCGTCAGGTCGAGCGGCAGCGCCGGCAGGCTGAACAGCAACAGGACGTTGAGCCTGAGACGTCCAACTGAGTGATTTTTTGCGCCTGACACCAAGGTCTGCAGCGCAGTAAGCCATCAAAGACTTCCGGAGGGGCACATGGCGCTTGCCAGCATGACAGGATTTGCTAGATCCCTCGGGGAAATGGGGGCGGTGCGCTGGACCTGGGAACTGAGATCGGTCAACGGCAAGTCGCTTGACCTGCGTATCCGCATACCCGCCGGTCTGGAAACACTGGAACCCCAGATCAGAGAACGGTGCAGCAAGATCCTGAGACGTGGCAATGTCACGATCGGGCTTGCCATGCAGCGGGATCAGTCGGAACAGCAGCTTCAGGTCAATGAGGCCGCTCTTGAGGCGGTTCTGTCGACCATCGACCTTCTCAAGGAGAAGGTGCCGGACCTTGCGCCACCCTCGCTCGACGGAATCCTCTCGCAAAAGGGTGTCTTTGAGCTGAAGGAACCGGAAGACGACGAGGAAACACAGGCAGCGCTGCACAAGACACTGCTGACGACGCTTGACGGCGCGTTGATTGATCTTGTCGACATGCGCCATAGCGAAGGTCAGGCGATCAATCAGGTCGTTACGGGACAGATAGACAGGATCGCCGGGTTGACACAGGCGGCAGAAGACCTTCCCGCAAGACTTCCCGAGGCGATCAAGGCACGGCTAAGAAAACAGGTGTCAGACCTGATGGACGCCTCGGACGGTCAATTCGACCCGCAGCGTCTTCATCAGGAGGCCGTGTTCCTGGCAACCAAGGCCGACATTCGTGAAGAGCTGGACCGCCTGCATGCTCACGTTGCTGCTGCCCGGGACCTGATGGGCACCGGCGGGGCCATCGGACGACGTCTTGATTTTCTGGCCCAGGAATTCAATCGTGAAGCCAACACATTGTGTTCAAAGTCCAATGATGTGGATCTGACAGCGATCGGACTGGACTTGAAAGCGGTTATCGATCAAATGCGCGAGCAGATACAGAACCTGGAGTAGTTCCCATGACCGAAGCACCCGCTGCAACGATTGTCAGTGCGGAAGAGGCAGAGCAGCAACGCCGGGGCCTGATGCTCGTGCTGTCATCTCCTTCAGGTGCCGGGAAATCCACGATTGCCCGTCTGCTTCTGGACAAGGAAGACAATCTGGAACTCTCCATTTCTGTCACGACACGACCGCGCCGTTCCAGCGAAGTCGACGGTGTCCACTATAAGTTTCTGGACCCGAAACGCTTCGAGCAGATGCGGGAGCATGACGAGCTGCTGGAATGGGCGGAAGTTCATGGCAATTATTATGCAACGCCGAGAGGTCCGGTGGAGGAAGCGATCGAGAGCGGCCGCGACATTCTCTTCGATATCGACATTCAGGGCACATACCAGCTCTATGACAAGATGCGCTCGGACGTGGTTTCAGTCTTCATTCTGCCGCCGTCCATCGCCGAAATGAAATCGCGCCTGTTCCGACGGGCCGAAGATGCGGACGAAATCATCGCCAAGCGCATGAAGACTGCCGTCGGCGAAATGCGCCACTGGTCGGAATACGACTACGTTGTCGTAAACGACGATCTGGAACGCGCGTACGAGAATGTCCGCGCCATCTTGCGCGCTGAGCGCCTGAAACAGTTCCGTTCGCCGAAAATCGGACCGCTGATACAGGGCATGGTTGACGATCTGGAAATGGAACTGAGGGATAAAGACTAGCCGGCGCGGTCCGATTGAACTCAGGGGCCGCCTGTCACCACGATGCGGTCCGTCAACTCGTACCGGGACTTATAGATCCTCACGATCCTGCGTTTGACTTCAGACAGTTTGGGACGAAGTTTCAGTCTCTCGTGAAAACTCATCCAGGAAGTGTTTCGCGCAAGCGGACGATCTGAAAGGCGGATCAGATTCTCATGTTCTCCGATCCAGTCCGGTAGCACGCCCATGGCACGGCCTGACATGAGAATTTTCAGAAGGGCGACCGAACTGTTCACGGCGAAGCTGCATTCGTTGCCAGCCAGAATTTCACTCAGAACCTGTGCGGACTTCAGGCGGGCTCTGCTTCCGCAGTAACCGGCCCAGACCTGCTTGTCCCAGCTATCGGCGTTTACTGCATCGGGATGCGACCGCAGATAACTTTCGGACGCGTATGCGTAGAAACTTCTTTCTCCAAGTTTCTGGGTTATCAGATGCGAGCGTTTGGGAACCTGATTCCCGATCGCAATATCCGCGGAATTCATGCCGAGATCCCAAAAGGCATCATCTGCATACAATTCCAGCCTTACCCCGTCGACACCCGCAACAACTGCCTCCATTTTCCCGGACAGGAAATGAAGACCCCATTCGCCAAGCGTAATTCTGAAGACCTGAAGCGGCGCAGCCGATTTTTCAAAATCGACCGCCCGTTTGAAATCGGCTGCCCCGCGTGCCATTGCCTGGGCTTCGGTTACCAGCCGTTTTCCTTCTTCGGTTAGTTCATAGCCCGTCTGGCGCCTGTCAAACAGCCGCAAGCCCAATTGATCTTCAAGACGCGAGATCTGTCGCCCGATTGTTGGTTGCGAGACCAACAGCACCTGCGCGGCTGCGCTAAGGCTGCCTTGCTCCGCGACAGCGAGAAAGACGCGAATGGAATCCCAGTCCATGTTTTTCATTAATGAATAATATCATGCAATAACATTCAGATACAAATAGAAGTTAAGCGGACATTCTCCCGACGATGAAACAGGAGGATGTAGTGCTGTTTTTTTGGCTCAAGAAATTCAAACGGAGGCGAAAAACCGTCATTCCGGCCGCTCTTTATCTGTCGCGCGACCCATCATGCTGGCCGTCCTGGCTTGTGCGGGACCTGGCGTTGGATGAACGATCCGGAAAAACGGAAGAGGCCAGCCGTCTTCGCTGCAATGGTAGAAGTGCGAGCGATCCGAAACCTAGCTGTTTTCCGTTTTGCTGATCATGTTTGCAAGCGACACAAATCCTGCAATATCAATCTCTTCGGCTCGTGCTGTTGGTTTCAGTCCCGCCTGGACGATCAGCTCTTCCGCATCGCGAGAGAGAGACTTGAGACTGGCACGCAGCATCTTTCGGCGTTGGCCGAATGCAGCCGCTGTTACTTGTTCCAGCGATTTCAGGTTACAGGGCAGGGGACTGTCATTGGGTGTCAGGTGAACAACCGCCGATGTGACCTTCGGAGGCGGCGTGAATGCCTTGGGACTGATATCGAACAGGATCCCGCCTTTGCAGCGCCATCCCGCCAGAACGCCCAGTCGGCCAAAGGCTTTCGATCCCGGCTCTGCAATGATCCGTTCGGCTACTTCCTTCTGGAACATCAGCGTCAGCGAAGACCAGAACGGAGGCCAGTCGGGCGTCGTGATCCAGTTCAGCAGCAGCTGCGTTCCGACATTGTAGGGGAGGTTCGCCGCAATCCTGACCTTGTCACCGCCTGTCAGTGTGACTGGGTCCAGTTTGAGCGCATCGCCTTCGACCACGTCCAGTCGACCGGGATAGTGGCTCGAGATTTCAGAAAGGGCAGGCAGGCAACGGCTGTCCTTTTCAATCGCCACCACTTTTTTGGCACCGGCTGCAAGCAACGCGCGAGTAAGACCACCTGGTCCCGGGCCAACTTCTAGGACCGTGCAATCCGTCAGGTCTCCCGCAGAGCGTGCAATACGGGATGTGAGGTTCAGATCCAGAAGAAAGTTCTGGCCGAGTGATTTTTTCGCATTGAGGCCATGCGCAGCAATTACATCGCGCAGAGGAGGCAGGTCATCGATCTGTGCCATGGTTTTACCGTCAGAACATATCCGGATTTGCAAGCACGTGTGCCATGCGCAGGGCCGCTGCAAAACTATCAACCCGGGCCGTTCCGGATCCGGCGAGCGAATAGGCCGTACCGTGGTCCGGTGAGGTTCTCACGAACGGTAACCCCAGAGTGACATTGACGCTGTCATCAAACCCGATCGTCTTGGCCGGAACGAGAACCTGATCGTGATACATGCCGAGCGCGCAGTCATAATTCTGGCGAGCTGGCGGATGAAACAGGGTATCGGCGGGATGGGGACCCGAAGCCTCGATGCCGATTTCCTTTAGTCTGGCGATTGCCGGCGCAATGATGTCGAGATCTTCCGTGCCCATGGTCCCGCCTTCACCGGCATGCGGATTGAGGCCACAGACCGCAAGCCTTGGTTGGGAATACCCAAAGCGATTCCTGAGGTCACTCGCGATGATCTCAGCGGTTTCGACGATGAGATCTTCCGTCAGCGCCAAGGGCACGTCCTTGATCGGAATGTGAATGGTGACCGGAACGACCATCAGGTCGGGACCTGCTATCATCATGACGGGCCGTGCACGCTCGCCAGGCCAGTGCCTTGAGGCGAGCTCGCCTAAAAATTCCGTATGACCTGGAAAGGAAAAGCCGGTCCTGTAAAGTGCGGCTTTGTTGATCGGGTTGGTGACGACGCCGGTCGCGAGTCCATCGCGCACATCTTCAACGCATCGCTCTATGGACGCAACGACTGTTGATGCCGTTTCTTCCTGTTCGATCCCGGGACAGTCTGACAGGGTGTCGCCTGTCTGAACAATCGGAAGTCCCTTGTTAAAAGCATCCGGAGCATCTTCGGCTGCACAGTAACTGATCTGCGGTTTCAAGCCGATTGTCCGTGCCCGTTCGATGAACAGCGATCGGTCGCCACGCACATAGAACGGCGGCAGTCCAAGCGATTTACGTTTGGTCCAGGCAAGAAGGGCGAGTTCGGGGCCGATTCCGGCCGGTTCACCCATACTGACGGCAATCGGCTTGTGACGAGTTTTCATTCAGCTTAGCGATAGATGATCGTCGCGCGGCGCCGGACATCCATGAGATACTTTCTGGATTGGCTCTCGCCTTCCTTGGCGCGCAGCTCGTTTTCCAGTTCGGCGCGCACCGCGATATCGGAGGCAATTTCCCGCTTGCCGCATATGGCAATCATCTCATAACCCACAGGCGTGGCCGATGGCTTGGTCAGTTTGCCCGGGCCGAGAGAATTGATTTCCTCCCGCATTTCTGCAGGCAACTCGGTCTCAAGGCGGCGTCCGATGGGCTGAACAACGACTTCGCTGTATTGACCCAGAACGCTTCCGACTTCTTCACAACTGCTGAATGCAGCACGGATCTTGTTGCTTTCCTGCTTGCGCTTCGACTTGAAGCCGCCGGAGGAATTTTTCGGGACAACAACGATTACACGCTTTAGGTCGTATTCAACCGATTTTTGCCTGTCTGCTTCATCCTTCTTCTGGAGAGCAGCGATAATATCCGACTCATCGACTTCAATCTTGCCGCTGAACCGACGTCTCAGAAGCTGGTTCCAGGCCAGTTGAGCCTTCAGGCGCGCCTTCAGGGTTTCCGGTTTGACCCCACCGCTTCGCAGAGCCTTGGAAAGCTGGGACGGTGACATCTTGACGTTGCGCGCAATGTTGTTGAATGCGTTGTCGATCTCGGAGGAACCAACTTCGATCCCCATTCTTTCCGCTTCCGCAAGCTTCACCTGATCATCGATCAGCTCCTGTTCCGCCTGGCGCTTCGCTATGGAGGCGGATTTTCGCTGAGTAAGCGTGATCAACCTGGCGCGCTGACTGATATCGTAGTCGGTGATCGGAGTATCATTCACGATCACCTTGATGGCAGCGTAAGCCGGGGTGACGATCGGCATGGCCAATGCCAGAAGAAGGCCCATAATTACCGGGACAAAACGGAGTCGCATTGCTCAACCATCCGTGCAGGCCTGAAGCCAAACCGAAGTTAATGTTATTGTGGTCTGCTTTCTCGCATATCACAGTCACAAATTCAAAATATTACCGGCATGATGCCTGAATTCATGGCGGCAAAATGTCTGAGTGAAAACAATACGCACATAAAATCGTGATCCCTGAGCGAATTTCCTGTTGCCTGGGGTCACTTTAGTTCAGGGCGCCACTTGAAACCTGGGTGTTGCCGATCGTTCTCAGCCCGATGCGGAAATAGAGCGTCCGGTTGACGGAGTCGCCGTCATTCCGGCTTCGGTCTTCAGCGTAGGAGACTGAAAGCGAGAAACCTTCGTCATCATAACCGATCCCGACACCGTCCTGCACGATGTTGGCATTTTCAATATCGTAGCGCATCGAGCCAAAAACGCGCCAGTTTTCCTGAAGCCGCAGGCTCGCAGACCCCAAAATCTCCTCGCGGGGATTGTCGATACCGACATCCGGTTGTTCACCGAGAAACGCGTAGGCAAGGGAAGACACGACAGGTCCGTAGATCGCGCTGGCCTGCGCCTGCAGGCGGTTGACGGAAAAGTCGTCTTTGTCGAAGCGCGCCTGTGCGCCCAACTTTACGCCGTATTGGGTGTCCAGATAGAGGCTGCCCACATAATCCGAAAGATCGGACGCAAGACCGGAATCGGCTGTTGCCCCGAGAATGTCGGGATTTGCGTAGGAGTTTTCACCCGCAAGCTGGTAAGAGCGGCCAAAAAGGCCACTCAGGTAGTAGCCGCTGTTGAGTTGAAGTTTGTAGTTCAGGCCGAGATTCAGGCGTGTACCGCCCTCGGCCCGATCGAAGCCGGAGAACTTGTCGTAATCGAACAACGTGGTCGTGTCGAAGACGATACTTTGTGCATCATCATTCGGAAGCTCGCCTATCCGTTGTTCGTTGGGCCGCACGACAACCTGTGCAATCGGTTCGAACACCTGGTTGCCGCCGTCGAAGGCAGCAATGATCGGATAGCGGTACTCGAGACCAACTGCGGGCATGGCCCGTCCGACAAAGCTCTCACCTGCAAGCGCGGTAACATCTGCATCCGGCGACGCCAGGAAGAAAAGGTCTCCGCGCATATAGGCAAAGGGTGTAAATGTCTGACCGAGAGGATCTATGAAAGTTCGCCGCCAATCACCTTGCAGCGACAGGCGGGAAAAGGTTCCGTCAACGCCGCGGAACTTGGCGGTTGTTCCCCCGTCGATCGAAAACGCGTCGGTTTCATCCCGTGTCAGGGATGTGAAATTCGCGGCGAGGGAAAGTTCACCTGCCAGGACAGGGTCGGCGAATACGTAGTCGTAGTCGATGACAGGAAGGACAAGTGGCTGTTTGTCCTGCAGCGAACTGCCGACTGGCGAGAACCCGAGCGCGTCGAATTCGCTGTCCTCGTAATCTTCCTGACTGATCTGGAAGGCATAGGCCTTGACCGACAGCAGGTTGCGCTCATTTCTGCCTTCGAAAAAGACTTCGGACGGATCACCACCCGAAAAGCTGGCCATCGAGTAGTCCTGGAAGAACTGACGGTCACTTTTGTAGGTAACATTCCAGCCGAGCGTCCAGTCCTTGCTCAACGAAAATGAGGCCGTGGAATTGACCGCGCCGCGCCAGCGTTCATCGGCCCGCGACGTGGTGAACTGACCCGGTTGCGCCTGGAAAAGACCCGCGGCAGAAAAACTGACCTGTCCAGCTTCAAACCTGTGCCTGTATTGAACGTCGCCGAACAGGCCCTGTTTGGTCAGCGGCGTGAGTGTCGTCGTCAGGTCGTAGTGCGGACTGAGCGCCCAATAGTAAGGAACCGTAACTCCGTAGCCGAGCTTGTCGTTCACAATACCGCTCGGGATCAGGAAACCTGACTTGCGCTTGATGGTCGGGTCCGGCATGGAAAGATACGGCAGATACGCAATGGGCTTTCCATAGACTTCGAATGCAGCATTCTCGAACCGGATAATTTTTTCCTGCTGCTTGTGAATGATCTTTTCGGCTCGAACGCGCCAGAGAGGCGGCTTGTCGGGCGGATTGGTCGGCTTGGTGTAAACGGTATAGACGCCGTTTTCGATCGAGGTGACGTTGTCTCCCTCACGTCGCGCCTTTTCCGCCAGAAAACGTGTGCGTTTCGTCGTGTCGATCTGCAGGGCTCTTGCAAATCCTTCGGCAAAATCTTCAGAAAGCGTCAATTCGGAGGTGCGAACGACATTTCCGTTCGACTCGATGAATATCACATTGCCCTTTGCCGTCAGCTGTCCGCTCTTTCGGTCGAAGACAATCTGATGGGCCTGAACCGTATTGCCGTCATAATAGACCTGCACGCTGCCGGTCGCCAGAATGACGTCATTGTCGAAATCGTATGTAACTTCACTGGATTCGAGCAGCAGTTCCTTGTTCGGGTCTACTTCGCCGGCCAGCCCGCTTGTCAGGTCTTGCGCATTCGCGCCGGGGATGACGTCCTGCAACAGGGAGACGGCGATGGCGAGCGTACTTGCCGCCGCCAGCAGGCTGCCCCTTTTGGCCCACATCTCTGTCTTCAGGAAAACCGGTAAAGACATCGGCCTTATCCGTCCTCCTGATGCAAGAGAATAGTCAAACCCATAAGTACTCCAAATATTCCAGGCGCCCATGCTGCTACCAAGGGGGGGACGATACCCGCGCCCCCGAAATCCTTGGCCAACTCGGTGAGAACGTAAAGCACGAACCCGGACAGGATTCCACCCAGAATCATACTTCCCAATCCACCAAACCGTGAAACTTTAAGGGAAACTGCGGCTGCAATCAAAATCATGGCGACCAAAAGAAGCGGCCGTGCCAACAAAGTCTGGTACTGCAAATTATACCTATATGCGGGTAACCCTGCGTTTCTTGCCAGTTCAATAAAGCGCGGCAGGTTCCAGAACGAGATGGACTCCGGCGAACCGATGCTCTCGCGTACTTCGGTTGCCGTTAAAAATGTGCTGACCTGATATTGTCCATAAGGCTGTGGATCTTGCTCGGTCGTATAGACGATAGCGTCATTGAGATACCAGATTTCATCTCCGAGCCGAGCTTCATCTGCCTCGATACGCTCCCGGAATGTGCCATCCTTGTCGAAGGTAAAAACCGTAACGCCGAGAAGTCGTGTTCCACCGTCAAGCAACTGCCGGGCAAGAAGCACCGACTCACCGTCGAGACCATCCTGCCTGACCCACACCTCATTGCTGTTCTGCAGCAAAAATGTCTGGTCCGAACCGAAAAGGCCGGTCGCGACCTCGTCGGACTTCTTCTGGAACCAGACTGCCGCCGGATTGTAGACTGTTACGGATAATATCCCGAGGCAGATGCCAACCAGGATCGCCGGCAGGGAGAATTGCCAAACCGAAATTCCGGAGGCTCTGGTAACCACGAGTTCCAGAGCACGGCTAAGTGTAACAAAAGCCGCGATAGAACCGAAAAGGACGGTGAAAGGAATGACCTGCTCGAGAAGCAAGGGCACGCGCAGCGCGGAGATGAGTGCGACCCGCAAAACGGAAAATCCTTCGCGGTCGCCACCCCTGCGAACCAATTCCAGAACGTCAAACAGAAAAATGAGGACAGCCGCGAAAAGAAACAGTCCCAGTATGGCCTTGAGGAACCGGTTAGAGAAATAAATCGACAGGGTTCTTCCGAGGATCATGAGGCTCCCCCGGTCAGCCGGTTATTCAGCCGATTGCCGATTGCCTCGATGCAATCCTGTACAGTGTGCTGCAGATTGCTCAGCCATCTGGGCTGCGAACGCTGTTCCTTGAATATCGATATGAGCGCCAGAACGGATCCGGCAATCGGCACGGCATAAAGCAAACCCAGCAGTGCCGTCGGCCCGCCGGAAATCGCCGTCACGCCAAACCCGGACGTACGCAGGATCACACAGCAGGCAATCGCACCCACGATGGCGGCACCGCGCCCCTGTCTGGTGGTTCTTGCCTTGCCCAGAAAAGCGAAAACAATTAGTCCAAATGCGATCGCATAGAGAGGTTGACTGAAACGCTCGTGTAGTTCCTGCGTCAGTTTGTCGGAGTTTTTCAGGGCATACGCGTCGTTTTTGCCCGGAGCGAACAGATTGGCCGTGGTGCGTTCGCTTGCCTTGAAGACCGGTTCTCCGGCTTCTGGTATCAGATTGGACAGATCAAACGCATAGGACTGAAAACGGACAATGGATATGTCGCCTTCCTGCTTCGGGCGTCTCTGGATCGTTCCGTTGTTCATCACGAGCAAAGTGCGATCAGCCGCTTCGACAATCTGTCCTGTATCCGCCTGGTAGGTGAAGGCGGTTTCTACGTCGCGTGTGTCGTGGAGCAAAAGGCCGTCGAGCGTGCCGTTGCCGGTCCGGTTTCTGATATGAAACGTCAGACCGCCCTCGACCGAGATGAATTTGCCGGGTTTCACGATGTTGGCAACAAGATCGGCCCTGACCCGGGTGATTTCAGTGCGCAGCTGTGCCAGCCCGCCCGGGGCGATGTAAAGCGACAGACTGCCGATCAACAGCATGACGGCAAACGAAAACAGCAATACGGGTTTGAGAACGAGAAATCTCGAGCCACCGCTTGCATCGATGACAATCAGTTCACTATCACCGGAAAGAGCGTTTAGTACGAGGATGAGCGCAAGCATCAGCGCGAAAGGCGCGACAATCATGATAAGAAACGGCAAGGCGAGCATCGTGATGCCGATGAACTGGACAATCGTTTGCCCTTTGGAAGTCACCAGATCCAGCTGCCGCAAAGCTTGTGTCGCCCATACAACACCGGTCATTGCCGCAATCGTGAGCGTGAATGCGTACAGTGTCCGGCGCATTATGTAGCGTTCAAGCGTTTTCATGTCTGGCCGGACCAGGTCCCTTGTTTTTTCGGTGAAAATTCCGCTCAGCCACCGAATAACACGGAATGTGGTGAACGCCGCATAAATAAGAATGGTTAATATACATTAATTTTGCTGGCTCTTGCCGAAAAGGTGTGCAAACGCCATGATTTGCGGACAAATCAGGCTTCTTTGAGAGTGGGCGATCTGGTGCGCCGGCAGTCAAGGATCAATCAGCAATTTCAACAAGGACCGACGAATGACCAAGCTTGCAAAAATTTCCTTTTCCAAGGCTGACGCTCCGAAGAAGGGAGTAGCCGTTGTACTGGTTGCCGATGGGCTCGGCCTCGGGGCAATCTCAGGGGAGGTGGTTGCCGGCCTGGAGGGCGGCCTTGAGCGGGTCGCCGGTATCGCGCGTTTTTCGGGAAAGAAAAAAACAAGCCTGGACCTTGTCGCCCCCGCAGGCCTTGGTCTCGATCGCCTGATCGCATTCGGCATCGGCAAGGCCGAAGACCTGACCGACGCAGACTGGCGGTCTTTCGGTGGCGCCGTATTCGCGGAGTTGCAGAAAGTGAAGGCAGAGACCGTCGAGGTTCTCCTTGAGGCGCCGCAGGGAGTGGATATCCCTGCCGGTGCGGTGGCCGAATTCGCTATGGGCGCAAAACTGCGGGCGTATGCATTTGATGCCTACAAAACCAAAAAGAAGGACGAGACGGGCAGCAAGGATCTCAAGCTCACGTTGAAAGTCACAGATCCGAAGTCGGCGAGAAAGTACTGGGGTGTGTCGCAGGCCGTTGCCGATGGTGTCGTTCTGGCGCGGGATCTGGTCAATGAACCGGCAAATGTTCTCGGTCCTGTAGAGTTTGCCAGGAAAGCCTCCGATCTGGAAAAGCTCGGCGTTGAAGTTGAAATCCTCGGCGAAAAGGAAATGAAAAAGCTGAAGATGGCGGCACTGCTTGGCGTTGCTCAAGGCTCCGTTCGTCCGCCGCGGCTGGCCGTCATGCGCTGGAACGGTGGCAAGAAAGCCGATGCTCCGGTTGCGTTCGTCGGCAAGGGTGTAGTCTTTGATACCGGTGGCATTTCAATCAAGCCGGCTGGGGGCATGGAAGAGATGAAGGGTGACATGGGCGGTGCCGCCGCGGTCATCGGGGCAATGCATGCAGTTGCCGCTCGCAAGGCGAAAGCAAATGTCATCGGTGTAATAGGGCTGGTGGAGAACATGCCGGATGGAAACGCCCAGCGTCCCGGCGACATCGTCACTGCGATGTCCGGTACCACGATTGAAATTCTGAATACGGATGCCGAGGGACGTCTCGTTCTGGCGGATGCACTCTGGTACACCCAGGAGAAGTTCAAGCCTGCAATCATGATCGACCTTGCAACGCTGACAGGGGCGGTCCTTGTCGCGCTCGGCAATCTCAATGCAGGTCTGTTTTCCAACAATGACGACTTGGCCGACAAGCTGCTTGCATCTGCAAAGGCAAGTGGTGAACCGCTGTGGCGGCTTCCCTTGTCAAAGGACTACGACAAGATCATCGACACACCAAATGCCGATGTGAAGAATACCGGCGGCCGCTGGGCCGGCTCGATTACGGCAGCGCAATTTCTTCAGCGCTTCGCCAATGACGTTCCCTGGGCACATCTGGACATCGCCGGCACCGCGTTTGGTGCCCCGAAGGACGATATCTGCCAAAGCTGGGCGTCGGGATACGGGGTGCGGCTGCTCAACCAACTGGTCGCAGATCACTACGAAAACTGAGCAGCCTCGTCATGAAAGCAAAAGAAAAACCCGCCGGAAAGGCGGGTTTTTCAGGACTATCCGGCTTGCTCAACAGGTTTTGTATGTCTGACAAGCGGTTGCCGGTTCGACCAGCATTCCCATTCCAAGCGTGGCGCCTGCAACAACGGCTACCAATGCACAAAACACAACAACACGTGCAATCATTCACTAATCCCCTTATTGGCCGGTTCGGGACCACCGCACACCGGCCACCCAGAAATGATCCTTGGATCGTCCCCGGGAACAAACCCTAGTCAATCGACATTTGCGAAGGGTTAATGATACGAGTCTTGTGACCTGTCTATGTCGCAATTGCGATGAAACGGATTTGTGTGAGACGCTGTTGCACGAGCGCATCACTCGGGAGGTCCATATCGACACTTGCCGCGATCAAACCGATACGCGTGCAACATGCGCCGGAGTGGAAAATGAGCGTGGAAGTGATGTTCTACCATCTGCTGCACAAGCCGCTCGAAGCGGCCTTGCCGCAACTTCTGCTCAAATGCCTTGAACGTGACTGGAAGGTGGTTATTCAGACCGGAAGCGAGGAGCGCTGCAATGCACTCGATGCGCATCTTTGGACCTTTGCCGACGACAGTTTTCTTCCCCACGGAACCAAAACGGACGGTTTTGCGGAACAACAACCTATTTATCTGACGTCGGAACAGGACAATCCAAACGCTGCAGACGTGCGCTTTCTGGTGGACAGGGCCGATCCGCCATCTCTGAAGGATTACAAACGGGCGATTTACATGTTTGACGGCAACGACCAGACAGCGCTCGAGGAAGCGCGCAGGCGTTGGAAAGAGGCGAAATCCGAAGGGTTTGAGATCGCCTATTGGCAACAGACGCAAGTTGGTGGCTGGGAGAAAAAGGCTTGAAGCCAGGGGAGACGGGTGTGAAGAAACTGAAGATGTCGTCAGCCGAAATGGTGACACGGGCAAAGGAACGGATCGAGGAGATCGGGACGGAAGAGGGCATCAAGCTGTTTGAGGACCCTGACGTCGTCTTCGTCGATATCCGCGACGTCCGCGAGCGTCAGAAACTGGGGTTTATTCCGGGGAGCATCCATTGCCCGCGGGGTATGCTCGAATTCTGGGTTGATCCGGAAAGTCCCTATTTCAAGGATGTATTTGCCGAAGACAAGAAGTTCGTCTTCCATTGCGCTTCCGGCTGGCGCTCGGCCTTGAGCGTGTCGACCCTCAACGACATGGGGTTTGAGGCCGCTCACCTGAAAGACGGATTCAACGATTGGGCAAAGCAGGGCGGGCCGGTGGAAAAACCGGAGACCGCGTGACTGTCGTGCGCAGTTGCGGCTTGGTCTCGGCTTCTTCAACGTCAGCCGGTGTCCTCATATTCGGCTGACAGTTCCAGCCAGTCTTCTTCCGCCTTGACCAGTTTTTTCTCGCAAAAAGCGCGTTCCTTGGCGAATTTCGTCGCGCGATCCGCTTCGCGCAGAAAAAACTCGGGGTCTGCCAGGGCTTCGTCAAGCTTGGCGATCTTGTCCTGCAGACGCGCCATTTCCTTCTCCGCCGCCTCGATTTTCTGCCTGAGCGGCTTGAGCTGTGTGCGCTTCTGGGCAGCCTCGCGGCGTTTTTCCTGTGCGGATGCCTTTTCGGCTTCTTCGGCCGCCCGCATACGAGCTTTTTGAACGGCCTCCGGGCCTTGCAGGATCAGCCGGCGATAGTCCTCCATGTCGCCATCATAGGGGTCGACCTTGCCATCGGCGACCAGCCATAGCCGGTCGGCACAGGCCTCGACCAGATGCCGGTCATGGCTGATCAGGACGACGGCACCCTGATAGTCATTCAGAGCCATGACCAGGGCTTCACGGCTGTCGATGTCGAGATGGTTTGTCGGTTCATCCAAAATCAGAAGATGCGGACCGTCAAAGGTCGCAAGCCCAAGAAGGAGCCTTGCCTTCTCTCCGCCTGACAGGTCCTTTGCCGGGGTGTCCATGCGGTCTGTCGGCAATCCGAAGCGTGCAACCCGGGCGCGGACTTTTGCCTCCGGAGCATCGGGCATCAGCGCTCGGACATGCGCAACGGAATTTTCCGAAGGCTTCAGCTCATCAAGCTGATGCTGGGCAAAGAAGGCTATCTTCAGTTTTGACGCCTTTGTGATTTCGCCGTCCATCGCCCCAAGGCGTCCCGAAATCAACTTGGCGAACGTGGATTTGCCGTTGCCGTTGGCGCCAAGCAGCGCAATACGGTCATCTGTGTCGACATTCAGTGTCAGGTGCGACAGGATTTTTGTGTCACCGTATCCTGTCGACACATTCTCCAGTTTCAGGATCGGCGGCGCGAGCTGGTTTTCCGGATCCGGAAACTGGATCGGCTTGCCGCTTGCTTCCGTCAGCGCGGCGATTGGCTGCAACCGTTCCAGCATCTTGAGCCGGGATTGAGCCTGACGGGCCTTGCTGGCCTTGTAGCGAAAGCGGTCGACAAATGCCTGCATGTGCTTGCGCTGGGCATCCTGTTTCTCCCTGGCTTTTTCCGCCAGCACCAACGCTTCGCGGCGCTGACGGTCGAAGCTGTCGTAGCCACCGGAATAGTAGGTCAGTTTGCCGCGCTCCAGGTGAACTATGCTGTCAACGGCCTTGTTCAGAAGATCCCTGTCGTGGGAGATCAGGAGGACTTGATGCGGGTAACGGGCGACGTAGTTTTCGAGCCAGAGCGTCCCTTCGAGATCAAGATAGTTGGTTGGTTCGTCCAGAAGCAGGAGATCGGGTTCGGAAAAAAGCACCGCTGCCAGCGCGACACGCATGCGCCAGCCACCGGAAAAGGAGGAGCAGGGTCGTTGCTGGGCGGCTGCATCAAATCCCAGTCCGGCCAGGATGGCGCCTGCTCGTGCTTCCGCCGTGTGGGCACCGATATCGGCAAGCCTCGTGTGGATATCAGCTATACGTTCGGGATCGGTTTCCGTTTCGGCCTCGCGTAGCAGACCGCTGCGCTCCTTGTCGGCTGCCAGAACCACTTCCATCAAGGTGTCTTCGGTTCCCGGAGCCTCCTGAGCGACCTGTCCAATCCGCGCTTTTTTGGGGATTTGAACGAAGCCGGTCTCGGTGGAAAGATCTCCGGTAATGATCTTGAACAAGGTGGATTTGCCCGCACCATTGCGGCCGACAAGCCCGGTCTTGGCTTTGCCGGGCAGCGTCACACTGGCTTTTTCGATCAGGAGACGGTCCCCGATCCGATAGGTTAGGTCTGAAATCTGCAACATGGCCGGATGTTTGGCGGAGCATGGCCGGGGATGCAAGCGGAAAGCGTCGGTCCCCGTCATCCGACGGCGGGCTGTGGCTTCGATGCAATGCCCGCCGCCCGCACACTCACTTGTCCAGAAAAGTCAGTATTTCCTTCAAGATGCGCTGATGCTGCGATTGACGCTCGCGATGTCCCTTGATGCAGACAATTTCATCGCCAGGCTCGTGTTCTTCCAAAATGGCATAACCTTCCGGCTTGCACACTCCCATGAAGTCGAAGTGGCCTGCATCCGGCAGTTCAAGGTGTTTGACTTTTTCCCCTGGCAGGGCAGTTGCGAGCGCACGGGATTCGATCTCCTGGTTCAGCATGTCTGCACGTCCGGAACCCAGCACCAGGACCGGTATGTCAAACCGGGCAAGACTGTCTCGAGAGAAGACGGGAGTGCCGCCAAGATCCAGACTGATGACTTTGCTGATCCTGTCATCCTTCCGGGAAGTTGCCATTTCGGCCTGATCGTCTTTCGTTTCCGCGACAGACCAGCCGCTCAGAACTTCACAGGCCACGGGAAGGTCTTGGCCATCGCACACGGTCCTGTACCGGGCGTTGTCGAATTCCGCACCCGCCAGCATCATCACCGTGAAGCCGCCCAGCGAATGACCCGCGGCGTATATCCTGTTCCGGTCGATGACGGGCGCATATTCGCTCTCGTCAATGAGAAAAGAGATCAGCCTGGAAAGATCGACGGGCCGCTGCCACAATTCACGGGCTTGGTCCGCGTCGCGCAGGAAAGTGCTGGTCCCGGGATGGTTGATCATTGCAACGACATATCCACGGCGTGCAAGTTCAGATGCAAGCCAGGCCTGATTGAACGTATTGCCGTACATGCCGTGTGAAACCACCACCAGCGGAAATGTGCCATCGGCGACCGTGCCACGCGTGTCGGCAAGCGCCATTTGCCAGACCTTGCTCTTGTCTGCGCGGCTGTGCTTTCCAGGTGTTGGCGTCGGAAACCAGATGTCACCGGAAAGCGATCTTTCGGGCCGCTCGTCTGCGACGTTGATTTTAGCGACGCCCGGACCGTAGGGCAGGGCAGTTTCGCTGTCGGCCTGTGCTGCGTTCACAGCGAGAGAACAAGCCACAACAAATGCGGCCGGGAGCAGAAGTCTTTGCGCGAGGCGGTGGCGGAAGAAGAGTGAGGGCATGGGACCTCCGGTTCGATTGACAACTCCACCAACGTGGGTGCGGACTGCAGGTGTTGACAATCGCGGGGAAAGCTTTGTCCTGTCCTTAAACGTGATAAAGGACAGGTGGCCAGCCCGTCCCCCCTGCAGGCAAAGACATGATCAGCATTCCGGTTTCCTTTCTGCTTGCAGCAATCTTCCTCGGACTCGGTCTTTTGGCGGTTTTCTGGCGGGCGCTACCGCTCTTCTCCCGACTGCTTTTTGCGGTCTTTTTCTTATTGCTTTGCGTGGAAGCCGGGTTGGTTGGATTGCGCTTTGCGCACGGCAACGTCGATTTTCTTGCCTTGCAAAGAAGTCTGCCGGTCTGGATTGCACCAACTCTCTATCTTGCCTTTGCGACCCTGACGGTACCTTTCGACGGGGCGAAGCGTCTGATCCGTTTGAACGCTCTGGTCGCCACCTTCTTGACACTAGCCATGATGTTGCCGGTCCCGATCCCAGGCTTTGTGGACGTCGTCATTGGCATGACTTTCGCGGTTTACTGCCTGGCCCTGTTTCTTGTCTGGATCGGTGGGCCTGACAGGTTATCGGAGGCGCCCACCGGTCAAAGCGGTCTTTTGCACAAGCTTCAGCTGGTGGCGATTCTGGTCATGGCCGCGACACTTGCAACAGATGCATGGATTGCTCTGCTGTTTGCGCAGCAGAAATTCGCGATGGCCGCGGATATCATCTCCTATGCCAGTCTGGCCTTTCTGCTCGCGGCCTTTGGACTTGCCGTGCTTGCTTTGCGCTATCGTCCGCCTCGTCGTTCAGAAAAAAATGTATCGGCAGCACAAGCCGACAAGGTCGCCCTTGTTGAGGCGGCAAGACGGATCCTGTTGGAGCAGGAGCTTTATCGCGATCCCGCCTTGACGCTGACGCGCCTGGCAAGACGGACCGGAACTCCGGACAGGGACCTGTCTCAGGCCGTCAACAAAGTTGTCGGTGTCAATGTCAGCCAGTTTGTCAATCAGATCAGGTTGGAAGAGGCTGCAAGGCTGCTGGCAGAGACAAATGCGCCAGTGACCAGAATTCACGAACAGGTCGGGTTTCTGACCCGTTCGAACTTTTACCGGGAATTCCAGCGGATGTTTGAAGAGGCACCGGGTGCCTATCGCAAGAACATTCAGTCCTCGCCAGACAGCAGATCAAGGTATAGCGATGCAAATCCGCCGAGCAGTTCGTAACAGATAATCACCTCGCGCAAGTCCGGATCCCAAAAAGCATTGTCGGTGCCGCAGGTGGTCGCGCGGAATGTCACCTGTTCGGGCAGGTCGTAGAATGTATCGAGTTCGTTGGCAACCTGGTCCATCAAGGCGCTTTCCTGAAAGGAGGTCGCCAGTGTCTTCAGGTTTTCAGGTGCATCTTCATAGATGATATCGATCTTGCCGGCCGGCTCATCGCCATCACGAACAAACGGATCGGTAACGACTTCCCAGGACTCAGACGCCTGGTCAAAGTCGAAGCCGCAGCTGTCGATACGATCTTCAGGAAGTGCAAGGTCTTGGGCAAGGTCCAGAAACGCAGCTTCGTCCGCGCCGACCATCATGCAGAGCATTCGATATCCGCGCTGTTGGTCGAGATCGTGTTCGTCGTAAAAGATCAGTGCGTCGTGGTTGTCCTCCGACATCAGGAACCAGCCGGTCATTGCATGATAGAGAAAGAGGTCCATGTCATCGGTGTCGGCGGCCAGCATGGAAATCGTGGCAAGGTTGTCGACCGCGTCTTCCTCCTGAGCAAGGACCGGAAGTCCAAGCTCCGAGACGAGCATGTGTCCACCTTCGTGATAGATCACGAAGAGCGTGTTGCCCGAGACGAATTCCAGCAGTTCGCCGAGACTGTCGGATGAGAGTTCCGCCAGACTGGCTTCAAGATCCGCATAGGGTTCTCCGTCCGCGTCTGCACCGGTTTGTGCGGAAGCGATTTCCAGGACGAGGCTGATCGCCAGGATGAGCGCAATCAAAAGGAAGGAAAACGGTTTGACTATCGATGTCATGGGTTTCTGCCATTGATAACCGGTCGGTTGAACTTGCTCGGCGAGACAAATCCGATGCCGAGCAAGACTACGCATCCGTTTGCTTCAATGCCAGCATGTTCGGGCGTTATCGACCGGTTCCAATTGCCGATATCGCAAGCGAGATGAAAATGTCATGCGTTGGCCCCCTTGCGGGGCAGGCGGTGCACAGTTATGAAGGCCGCGAAATTTCTGAAAATGAGGGACCGGCGATGGATCGGCCCGTTTGTGAACCAAGAAAGACGAAACCATGGCGATTGAACGCACGTTTTCCATGATCAAGCCGGACGCAACCAAGCGCAACCTGACCGGCGCCATCACCGCCAAGCTGGAAGAAGCCGGCCTGCGGGTTGTTGCCTCCCGGCGCGTTTGGATGTCTCTTCGGGAAGCAGAAGCCTTTTATGCCGTTCACAAGGAACGCCCGTTCTTTGGCGAACTGACCGAATTCATGTCTTCCGGCCCGACCGTCGTTCAGGTGCTGGAAGGCGAAGGCGCGATCGCCAAAAACCGTGAAGTCATGGGTGCGACCAATCCGGCAGAAGCCGCTGACGGCACGATCCGAAAGGAACATGCACTTTCCATCGGCGAAAACTCCGTTCACGGTTCCGATGCGCCTGAAACGGCCGCTGAGGAAATCGCATTCTGGTTCTCCGGCACCGAAATCGTCGGATAAATTCGTCTCTTTACGAGACTTGAAAAGCCGGTCCATGAGGGCCGGCTTTTCTGTTTGTTTCTGAACCCGTTTCCTGACACATCCAGTTACACATTCTTACCAAAAAACTGATGTGCTCCCGTGAGGAACCGACCATATTGGCGCCGTCGGGGTATTGGAATCGGGAGAAAGAGACAATGCGTTTAGGTCTTGCGTTTGCGAGCGCTCTGATTGCATTCCCTGCAACTGCACATGACAGCTCTGCACCCCTTGGTGGTCAGGAACCACTCGAACACACTCATATCGCGGATGAAATCTGGGATCTGCTTCTGCCTGAGGCCGAAGCGAGCGCGGATATTACCGTTCAGGGGAACACCAGGCGCATTCGCGCAAATGGCTACCCGATAAAGTCGCCTGGACAGTTTCCAAACCGCAACAATCCGCATGCGATTTCCAAGAAAAACTACAGTTTGAAAGTGCCTCTCAATCCGCGCAGGACCAACCGGGCAACAAGCGCACAAGGTTCAGTTTTCGGCATCGCCATCAATGGCGTCGTGATGGACCCGGGGACGGCGGAGTTCTGGCAGAACGATCGCCGTTCAGGCTGGAACTATGAAGCGCTGGGCGGCGCCTGCAAGCTGGGGCTGGACAAATACAATGCCCACGTCCAACCGGACGGCACGTACCACTATCACGGCATACCTACGGGAGTTGTTGCTTCCAGCGGCGGCAGGTCGGTCCCTGCAATGATCGGTTATGCAGCCGACGGCTTTCCGGTCTATGGCCAGTACGGGTATTCGGATCCAGCCGGAAAATCATCGATGAAAAAGCTGAAGAGCAGTTATCGGATCAAGAGCGGAACCCGGCCGGACGGTCCGGGGGGATCCTACAATGGCAAGTTTACGCAGGACTGGGCCTTCGTCTCCGGTGCGGGAGACCTGGATCAGTGCAATGGTCGTTTTGCGGTCACACCGGAATATCCGGACGGCACCTACCACTATGTTCTGACTGACACGTTTCCCTTCATTCCCCGATGCTGGATGGGGCAACCGGATGCCAGCTTCACGCGGCTGAAAGCCCGAGGACAGCGCCGCGGCGACGTTGAGATGGAACAAGTCAGCCCGACAATTGACTTTGCCACCATGACGGACAACTCGGAAGCAGCCGGACACCTGATCCAGGTACAAGGCGGTCAGCCGCCACGAGTGCGGCCCGGCGGTCCGCCTCCGCAAAGGGGGCAGCGTGGTCAACGCGGTCCCCGGCAGGGCGGTGGCGGACAAGGCCGACGTGCACCGTGCAGCGGCAGCTGAGTAAAGACACGATTGCCTGAATTGAAAGGGAGGCGCTTGACGGCGCCTCCCTTTGTTTTTCATAACGCATGATCGTAGACCTGTTCACAACAATCCTCCGGATCGGACGCGGCATGAACCAGCAACCGCCAAAAAGCACATTCTCAACGTGTCCGCACGATTGTCCCTCGTCGTGTTCACTGGAAGTGCACTTTTATCCGCATGGCGACGTGAGGCGGTTGAATGGGGCCAAGGACAACGACTATACGGCGGGCGTCGTCTGCGCCAAGGTTGCCCGATATCCGGAACGTCTCTATCACCCGGAGCGCCTTCTCAAACCTATGCGGCGTGTCGGCCGCAAGAGTGAGGGCCGGTTCGAGGAAGTTTCCTGGGAAACTGCCCTTGATCTGATCGCCGGGAAATTCCTGGAAGTCGAAGCCGAGTTCGGTGCACAGAGCATCTGGCCATATCACTACGCCGGTACGATGGGCCTGGTGCAGCGGGACAGTATCCACCGTTTGCGGCATGCCAAGGGATATTCTCGCCAGTTCGACAGCTTCTGCACCAACATGGCCTGGACCGGATATGTTGCGGCAACCGGCAGCCTGACGGGTCCAGATCCGCGCGAGATGGCGCGTTCGGATCAGATCGTCATCTGGGGAACCAATCCGGTTGCGACCCAGGTCAATGTCATGACCCACGTCATCGCAGCTCGAAAAAAACGTGGTGCCCGCGTTATCGTGGTCGACGTCTACGAAACCGAAACCATGAAACAGGCCGACATCGGCCTCATCCTGAAACCGGGAACAGACGCCGCGCTTGCCTGTGCCATCATGCATGTTCTCTTCCGCGACGGCCATGCAGATCGGGACTACCTGAACGCCTATACAGACTGTCCGCAGGAACTGGAAACTCACCTTGAGACCAGAACTCCTGAATGGGCGGCGGCGATCACCGGGCTCGAAGTCCGGCAGATCGAGGAAGTCGCAAATCACATCGGGGAAACGAAAAAGACCTTTTTCAGACTTGGTTACGGCTTTACCCGATCGCGCAACGGCGCTGTCGGCATGCATGCGGCAGCTTCCATCGCCAGTGTGACCGGTTGCTGGAAGTATGAAGGCGGTGGAGCGTTCCACAACAATGGCGGCCTGTTCAGGTTCAACAAGGAGATGATCGAGGCGACCTCGCTGAAGGATGCTTCGACACGTACTCTCGACCAGAGTCTGATCGGCCGTATTCTGACCGGTGACGAAGAGGCGCTGCTCAACGGTCCACCGGTCAAGGCACTTTTCATACAGAACACCAACCCCATGTCCGTTGCACCGGAGCAGGAACTGGTCAGGGAAGGGTTTTCGCGTGATGATCTCTTCACTGTCGTGCACGAACAGTTCCTCACGGAAACTGCTCAAATGGCAGATATTGTTCTGCCTGCCACCCAGTTTCTGGAGCATGACGACATCTACAAGGGTGGTGGTCATCAATATCTGTCACTCGGTCCGAAGGCGGTTGAGCCGCCGGAAGGTCCCAAAGAAAACATATTTGTCATCAATGAGATCGCAAAGCGCGTTGATTCAAAGTCTCACCCCGGATTCGATATGAGCGCACGCGATCAAATCGACTGGATGTTGCAAAATTCTGGCTTTGGAACACTGGTGGAACTTGAAGCGGAAAAGTGGCGCGACCTTCAGCCGGATTTCGAAACCTCGCATTACCTGAACGGTTTTGGACACGCGGACGGCAAGTTTCACTTCAGACCCGACTGGGGCAGGGCGGAGGCACCGAACAAGCCTGAAGGGGACGCTGTCTTCGGCCCGTGCGACACCATGCCGGATCTGCCTGACCAATGGGACAGCATCGAACAGGCCGACGAGATACACCCGTTCCGCCTGGCAACATCGCCTGCGCGTTCCTTCCTCAACTCGTCTTTCAATGAAACGGAGACATCACTGAAGAAGGAGGGCCGGCCGGAAGTCTGGATCAGGCCTGACGAAGCGGCGCGTTTCGGGATTGAAGACGGGGCCAAGGTCCGGATGGGCAACGAACGTGGAGCCGTTACGCTGCATGCACGGCATGTGCCGAGCGTTGCACCCGGCACAGTGATTTCAGAAGGCATCTGGCCGAACGCATCCTTTGAAGATGGCAAGGGCATCAACACGCTGACCGGCGCCGACCCGGTTGCGCCTTATGGCGGTGCAGCGTTCCACGATACGGCTGTTTGGATAAGGGTTGTCTAACAGCATAAAGAGGGGGCGACCGGAAACGAGGGATTTATCCCTCTCTCTCTTAATACTGAAGGTAGTTGTTATCGCGCTAAAAGCACCTAACTGTAGCGAAACGGAGGATAGCTTTGCGCGTTTTGAATTGTTCAGCCAGATTTATGGCTGTTCTGCTTCTTGTTTTTGTGGCGTTCCACCACACCTCCTTGCCTGTTCAGTCCAAAGAAGTTTCTAACTCTCATTGGATGGAGCGAGGGGAATTTCACGCGCGGTTCCATGACAATTTGGACTTGAAGAAGCATGAATTCGACATTTTCCCAGAACGGCTAAAGCATCATCTGCGCATAAAGCAAGACTGGCGAAGTCAAGATATCAAGGCATTTTCAAAAAAGGTCGGGCGCTGGTCATACCTTGTCGTGGTTACGGACGGGAATAGTACCAGTTTGGGTTCCAGAGGGGCTCTCATGAGGTGGAGAGGTGGAAGTGGAACGCTTAGAGACAGATTTGATTGGAAGCCACTGAATCTGCCCAGCTTTCAGTATATGGAAGGCGGTTGGTCGGTAGTCGTAGGTGAAACTCATTTTTTGTTGGAATGGAATGAACAGCATAACGGAGTGCAATCGACCTACTGCAATGATGTTCCGACACATGGCTGCATTCGGCATACGACAATTGTGGGATGGTCAGAACAGAAATTGATATTGATCGAATACTATCCCGCCAGTCGACCTGGTTGGACGCCAGTGTGGAAATCCGGTCGTTGGCTGGTGGACCCAGGAATAGAGAACTTTGGTTTCAACTAGCGTTCTTGGCGATTTCCTGAGAGCCACGAAAAAGGCAGCGCAGATCCCGTCCGGGTGCGCTGCCTTGCCAGACCTGATTGCAGGTTTGGGGCTCCCGTTGGTCAGGTCTGGTTTTCCGAAGGCTCCGGGTCCGCACTCGCAAGCTTGCCTTCTTCCGCCTTGTAGAAATATTGACTGGCAACGAGCCAACCCTTGAGCGGGCGCAGCATGGGAATGCAGGTGAGCAGGATCAGGGGCAGGGTGGTCACAAGGTGCACCCAGTAGGGAGCCGTGAACGCGATTTCCAGCCAGATGGCAAAAGCGACAGCCGGAACACAGCCGAAGCATATGACGAAGAAGGCCGGCCCGTCCGCGGGATCCGCGAAACTGTAATCCAGTCCGCAGTGATTGCATCGCGGTTTCAGGGTCAAAAACCCGTCGAAAATCTTGCCTTCCCCGCAGCGCGGGCAGCGGCCCTTGATGCCGGTCTGGATCGGTGGGAGCTTGGGCCAGGACTGTTGTGCGTTCATCGGCGTTGCCATTCTCTGGGGAGCTTGCGGTCGCAGCTGAATGTGGATTGATATCCCGTCACTTCAATATTGATAGGAAGTGATTGCATTCAATTTATGAAATTACTGCAGCAAGTCAAGCCATCCCGCTGCGGCAAATTGGCTTGTGGCATCAGAAATAGACCGACGCCCTTGCAGGGGAAGCTTGCAGCGTTTGAGCGATGATTTCCATGGCCTGGCTGAGTTGCGCATGGTTGATAGGGCCACCAAGTCCGATCCGGACAGCCTCCGATGGCTGGCCTGAAACGGTAAAGGCGTCGGCTTCGACAATGCCTATCTGCAGATTGCGCATCTGGCTGACGAAGGCTGACCGGTTCCAGCCGTCCGGCAGGTTGAGCCACAGGTGGAATCCGTCCGGGTCGGCTAAAAATGCATGATCCTTGAGATAGTTGGCAGCAATGGTTTGCCGTGTTCGGCTTTCTGAGCGGATCTGGTCGAGAAGAGCGGCCGCCGTGTCATCTTCGATCCAGCGCGTTGCGAGCCCGACCGTCAGCGGAGACGGCATGACTTGCGATGTCCGTACTGCACGCGAGAATTGCCAGGATGCACCCTGGTCCGGTGCAAGAACGTAGGCGAGCCGCAGACCGGCGCCAAGGCACTTCGACAGCGAGCCGACATACCAGGTGATCTCGGGCGCCAGTGTGGCAAACGGAACTGGAGGCGTTCGGCTGAGTAGACTGTAGGCATCGTCTTCGAGAATGGGAATGCCGTGGTTCTCGGCGATTGAAACCAGTTCCCGCCGACGCTTGTAGGGCACGGTGCGTGTGGTCGGATTGTGCAGGGTCGGGTTGAGATAAAGGGCTCTCAGCCTGCCGGTTCTGCTTGCTGCTTCAAATATTTCAGGGATGATACCGTCTTCGTCCGTTTCCAGTCCTTTGAGTTCCAGGTGAAGCTGCGCACAGACAGAACGAATGCCAGGATAGGTGATCGCCTCGCTGCCAATCTGATCGCCAGGGGCTGTAAGCGTTGCCAGAATGTTTGTCAGAGCTGCCTGGGCACCTGGCGAAAACAGAATTTGCTCTGGTCTTGCGGTCAATCCAGCGCTTTTGAGCCAACTGACTGCAGCGTTCTGGTCCGGCTCGGACGTCTCGAAGCTCTGATAACGCAACAACGGCGTCAAATCTGATGAAAGCGCAGAAAAACCCGACCGCATTTTGGACAACAGAGCCGTGCCTTCGGGCTCCGGCGGCAAGTTCATGGAGAAATCGGGAATGCCGATGCGGCTCGAATGACCTCCGGTGTTCTTCTTGTCGCCGTCATGGGGATCTGTGACAAACGTTCCGCTCCCAACCTGCGAAGACAGGAGGCCGCGTCTGCGGGCTTCGGTGTAGCCGCGGGCGACGGTGGTGAAATCCAGGCCGAGCAGTTTCGCCAGGTGTCGTTGCGCAGGCAGCCTGTCCCCCGGCGACAGGCGGCCGGTCGAAAGATCGGTTTCGATGCTGTCGGCTATGGCGATGTAACGTGGCGCGTTACTGTTTGAAAGGTCGGGGTGCCAATTGGTCATGCGCGGTGGGGTCTTTCAAAATTGACTGCATATTGACTGTATATCTAATGTGAATTGGTTTGTCATCCCGGTCAGACAAGATGCTGGATACCCACCGGGCAGCGCTTCTGCACAACAAGCAGAGAATACCGGGTTTCATCAGTTGGTCCGTTCGGTAAGTGAACAGGAAGATCTGGAAAAATCAGAAACGGAAGCGGGGCAATGGGCATTTGCGTTTCGTAACTGAAATGCGCCGCTTGCAGGTCACGCCCGGTCCATCACCTCCACCGAAAGCACCGTCGGCAGATGCCGTGCGATTTCGTGCCAGTGATCGCCTTCGTCGAAACTGGCGAAGATCGACCCTGAATTGGTACCGAAGTAAAGACCGGCCGGGTCTCTGTTATCGCCGGACATTGCTTGGCGAAGAACGGTGAAGAAGCAGGCTTCCTGGGGCAGGCCGTCTCGCTGCGCCTCCCAGTTCTCACCACCATCCGACGATTTCCAGACCGCCGCCGAGGCATCGGGTGGATAACGGCCGGCGGCATCGCCGTTGAGTGGAATGGTCCAGATGGTCTGAGGATCCCTTGGATGAACGCGGATCGGGAAACCGAATGTGGAGGGGAGGCCGTCATTGATGCTGTCCCAACTCCGGCCGCCATCCGAGGAGCGCCATACACCATGGTGGTTTTGCTGGTAAAGAAGATCGCCGTCGCCGGGCGCACGCATCATGTTGTGGACGCAATGACCTGTATCGCCGTCTCTCGGTGCGGCAGGATGGTCATGACCCTCGCAGGCAGCAGCATTGGAAAGCCGGTTCCGCCGCTCCCACGTTCTGGCTCCGTCTTCCGTCGCAAAGACACCGGCCGCTGAAATGCCGATCCAGAGCTTCGCCGGATCCTTGGGATCGGAAACAATCGTATGCAGAACGAGCCCTGCGGCACCCGGATTCCAGCTGTCAGCGGAAGGGTGATTGGCAAGACTGTCCACATGCTCGAAGCTCTTGCCCCTGTCACGGCTGGCAAGAAGCTTGGCCGGTTTGGTGCCGGCATAGAGTGTTCCATGGAAGAAACCGAGCGACCAGATTTGCGAGAAATCATCGCCGAATGGTTGGGGTTGATCGATCCAGCCGATGAGCTTCGCAAAATCAGGATCATTCGCGGCCCAGTCGTCCATTGAACCTCTTGTGAGTTTTGTCAGCTCCCAGGTATCGCCGCCATCGTCGGATCGCCAGATCCCCGCACCGTTCCAGTCACTGCCTCCGCCTGCCCACAATGTGCCGCTCTCAGCGTCACCGACAACGTGGTTGACCGGCCAGCCATCGCATAGTGGTCCCTTGACGGCCCATTCTGACCTGTCACGGCCTCCGGAAATCAGAAAGGCACCTTTGGTGGTACCGACAAGGACTGTCAGTTCGCCAGTGCGCATCTCATGGTCTCCTCCCGTTGATGTGCAATTTTAGCATGTAATTGCACCCGGTAAGTGCCGGGGATGTCATTTTTTCGAATGCAACTCATGAAGGGCGAATTAATCTAAATTATGATAAGGGGTATAGAAAAATCGATATTTTAGGATAAGTTCTGACAGAGTGCTGGTGAAATGAAAGGTCAGTTTATGCCCGGATCGTGCTTCAGATATTTATTCCCGGTATTTGGTGTCATGTCCGTGATGCTCTCCTTGACGACTGCGAACGCTGATGGTGACCACGAGGCGATCGGAGAGGATGTCTGGAAGCTGCCGTTGTTCGATGCGCATGTGCACTACAAGGAACCGGCGTGGGATCGATATCCGGTCAAGAGCATTGTCGAGCTCATGGACCAGAACGGTGTTGCCATGGCGCTGGTCTCTTCGACACCCGATGAGGGCACGGTCATGTTGTGGGAATATGCACCCAACCGGATCGTCCCGGAGTTGCGCCCCTATCACGGTGCTGCCGGATCTTCCAACTGGACCAAGATGGATGGCATGGACAGCTATCTGGAAGAGCGACTTGAAAGCTATCCGCATGAAGGCATTGGTGAATTTCACATCCGCCAGCTCGATACCTCGGACGAGGCACTTTTCCGGAAGATCATTGCGATGGCGAAGGAACGGGACATCTATCTTCATGTTCATTCCGGCACTGAGCCGATCCGCTGGCTCTACGGACTGGACCCCGAAGTGAAGATCATCTGGGCGCATGCGGGTCTTGGATCACCTGCGCCGGAGGTCTATGCGTTGATGGATGAATTTCCGGAACTGCTCGCCGACACATCCCTGCGCGAGTACAATATTCTGGGTCGCGGTGAGACGCTCGATCCGCAATGGCTTGAAATCATTTTCGATTTTCAGGACAGGTTGATGATCGGCAGCGATACCTGGGTCAACAGCCAATGGGACAGCTATTCCGAGATCATGACAACGAACCGGCTCTGGCTGTCAAAACTGCCGCGGGAAGTCGCCGAGAAGATCGCCTACAAGAATGCCGAAAGGTATTTCGGTCGCGAAATCACGATGGATCAGATCGGCACGAAATAGGCCCTGGCCACAAGGATGCTGGTCCTCTCATGGCCAGATAAGCTCCGCTGAATTGTTGCCTTCAGCACCTGTGACGACGCGTGCTCCGGTCACTTTCGTTTTGCCGGTTGCAACGAGTTCCAGCGCCTTCGGGTAAATCTTGTGCTCGACGTCAAGCACGCGCGCGGCGAGCGTATCGGGCGTGTCATGATCGAGAACCGGGACGGCGCCCTGTACGATGATCGGACCATCGTCCATTTCCGCCGAAACGAAATGAACCGTCGCGCCATGAAGCTTTACGCCTTCTTCCAGCGCGCGTTCGTGAGTTGCCAGTCCCTTGAAGGAGGGAAGCAGAGCCGGATGAATGTTGATCATGCGGCCCGACCAGGTGTTGACTAGATAGGGTGTCAGGATGCGCATGAAACCGGCAAGAGCGACAAGATCGATCCTGTGCTCTTTCAGGACGTCGTCGATTGCTTTTTCAAACGCCTGCCGGTCTCCGGCAAAGTCTTTGTGATCGACAACTGCCGTCGCGATACCAAACTCGGCCGCACGTTCAAGCCCCTTGGCATCCGGCCGGTTGGAAATGACCAGCGTGATTTCCGCGGGATAGGAGGGAGCCATGGCCGCCGAGATCAGCGCACCCATGTTCGAGCCGCGACCCGAAATCAGGACGGCTGTACGCTTGCGGTTCATGCCGACAGGCCCAGGGAATTGTCAAAAAGAACCGGTGCGTCACCCTCGGCCTCTATCCTGCCGATCCTAGTCACGCGCTCCCCTTCGTTTTCCAGTACTCTGGCGACGTCATCTGCTTCGTCGTCGGCAACCACGATCACCATGCCGACACCGCAATTGAAGGTGCGCAGCATTTCCTTCTCCGCAACACCACCTGTTTTGGCGAGCCAGGAAAAAACCGCGGGTGCATCGATGGAAGAAAGGTCGATCCGTGCCGAACAGTTTTCCGGCAGGACGCGAGGAAGGTTTTCAGGCAGACCCCCGCCGGTGATATGCGCGAGCGCCTTGATGCCGCCGGTTTGTTTCAGGGCGGAAAGCAAGGGTTTGACATAGATCCGCGTCGGTTCCATCAGGACACTTCCGAGCGTCTTGCCGTTCTCGAACGAAGCCGCGTCGGACCAGGAAAGTCCAGCCAGTTCCATGATCTTTCGCACCATGGAATAACCGTTGGAGTGAACGCCGGAGGAGGCCAGGCCCAAAAGCACATCGCCTTGAGCAACATCCTTGCGTGGCAGGATTTGCCCTCGTTCGACGGCACCGACGGAGAAACCAGCAAGGTCGTAGTCGCCTTCCTTGTACATTCCGGGCATCTCGGCGGTCTCGCCGCCGATCAGGGCTGCTCCTGCCAGTTTGCAGCCGTCCGCAATCCCGGCCACGACATCGCTCGCGGTGTCGACATCAAGTGAACCGGTCGCAAAATAGTCGAGAAAGAACAGCGGTTCGGCACCCTGGACAACAAGATCGTTGACGCACATGGCAACCAGGTCGATCCCGACCGTTCTATGTTGGCCGGTTTCGATGGCGATTTTCAGCTTGGTGCCAACACCGTCATTCGCCGCCACAAGGATCGGATCGTCGAAGCCGGCGCCCTTGAGGTCGAACAGACCGCCAAATCCGCCTATGTCACTGTCCGCACCTGGCCGTGACGTTGCCTTGACAAGGGGTTTGATACGATTGACCAGCGCGTTGCCCGCGTCGATGTCGACGCCGGCGTCGGCGTAGGTCAGACCATTGCTTCCTGAAGGCTTGGAATGGCTCATGACAGCTCCAGTCTGGTTTTCCATGTGCTCGCTGACGGCGTGCTTGAATATCCCTGCCGCGCATACAGCCTTGCAGCGCTTTTCACAAGAGCTGCCGGATGTCTTCAACGTCAAATACGCCCCTTGACCGGACAAGGTCGCTCAACCTATGTGCAAGGAGGACTGAACCCTGTTCCGAATTATGTATAGTGCCGCGGACTTTCCGAAACGCGTCAGATTTCTCGTTGGGAGGAAATTTCATGACTTTGCGCCGTCAGGTTCAATTCTGGTTGATCTCCCTGTTTGTTTCCTGCGTCTTTCTCTACATCTTTTCAGGCGTTCTGCTGCCCTTCGTTGCTGGTATGGCCGTGGCATACCTGCTCGACCCGGTCTGCGACCGGCTTGAGAATCTGGGAATGAGCCGCCTTTGGGCGACGCTGACCATCTTGCTGTCTTTCATTTTTGTCCTGGCGCTGTTCTTCGTCCTGCTGTTGCCTGTCCTTGGCAACCAGCTGGCAGCCTTTCTGGAAAACTTCCCTGACCTTGTTCGGCGTCTTCAGGCGCTGCTTGCGGAATATTTCCCGGCCAATCTTGCCAGTCTGGCCGGATTGTCGCCGGAGGACCTGCAATCCTCCATGACCGATCTGCTCGGGCAGGGGGCGTCCTTTATCGGCAAGCTGGCGCAATCCATCTGGAGCGGAGGTCAGGCCCTTCTTTCCATCCTGTCACTGTTCGTGATCACGCCGGTGGTTGCCTTCTATCTGCTGCTGGACTGGGATCATATGGTAGAGCGGATCGACGGCTGGATCCCGCGCGATCACCTGGGCGAAATTCGCGGCCTTGCAAAGGAAATGGACGGAGCGGTCGCCGGATTTGTTCGCGGTCAGGTGTCGGTCTGTGTCATCCTCGGGTTCTTTTACGCGGTATCGCTCGCCTTGGTCGGGCTCAATTTCGGTTTGCTGATCGGCATGGCGGCAGGGCTTGTGAGTTTCATTCCCTTTGTCGGTGCGGCACTCGGCTTTGTGTTGTCTGTCGGCGTTGCACTGGTGCAGTTCTGGCCGGACTGGCCGTGGATACTTGTGGTTGGAGCGGTGTTTGCGGTCGGCCAGTTCCTGGAAGGCAATGTGCTGCAGCCAAAACTCGTCGGTGAAAGTACGGGGCTGCATCCGGTCACCCTGATGTTTGCCTTGTTCGCCTTCGGATCTCTCTTTGGATTTGTAGGGATGCTGATTGCCGTTCCCGCTGCGGCCATGATCGGGGTGCTTGCACGTTTTGCTCTGAGGCAGTACCTAGCAAGCCCGGTTTACAAGGGTATCGGCCGTACGAAGACGACAGCCGAAGAGTAAGTGACAGGATCATGGCGGAACCTCCGCGCCAGCTACCGTTAGAGCTACCGCACGAAGCTGCTCTCACGCGCGACGACTACTTGGTGGGCGTCTCCAACAAGGCGGCATTCGAGCTGCTTTCGCGGTGGCCTGACTGGCCGTCACCTGTCGTGGTCCTTGCCGGGCCGGTGGGGTCGGGAAAAACGCATCTGGTCCGCGCGTTTCAGGATGAAAGCGGGGCGTCCGTGATATCGGCCAGGGAGCTTGCGGCGGATGTCGTGGAAGACCTTTTGGTAGCGCCCGCTGCCGTGATTGAAGATACGCATCTCGGTGTCAATGACACTGCACTCTTTCACCTTTTGAATGCTTCGCGGCAAGCTGGCAAAAAGGTGCTCATCACCAGTAGGACGTGGCCAGCGAGCTGGAAGATCACGTTGCCTGACCTCATGTCGCGCCTGCGTGCGGCGACACCGGTGGAAATTCTGGAACCGGACGACGACCTTTTGCGCCGCGTGCTCGTCAAGCTTTTTGCCGACCGGCAGATATCGGTTGATATCGGCGTTGTGGACTATCTTGTCGTCCGCATGGAAAGATCACTGGAGGTGGCGATGCAGGCGGTGCAGGCCATTGACCGGGAAGCTCTGGCCGGTCGTGTGAAGATAACCAAGCCGCTTGTTGGCCGGGTATTGGAAAATGTGCATAAAGGCCAGTGAGTTGTTTGCTTGCGACAATGGTGTCATTTGCCTGCCGCTCACGCCGTGTTACTCAATCTGCATGCATTGAGACAGAGATCGCCGGAACCGGGGGCGAAGGAAAAATGCCATGAATGAAACGACCGATCTTTCAGACATTCTTTCCGCTTCTTCGGATCTGCGCGGTGTTGAAGACGAGATGCCGGAGGAAGATCTGGCGAGGTCGCCTGCCAGGTTCATGAATCGGGAATTGTCCTGGCTGCAGTTCAATCTGCGTGTTCTTGAAGAAGCGATGAACAATCGCCACCCGTTGTTGGAACGGGTACGGTTCCTGTCGATCTCGGCGAACAATCTGGATGAATTTTTTATGGTCCGCGTCGCGGGCCTGCGTGGACAGCAGCGTGCCGAGGTTACCAATCTTTCCGATGACGGACTGACCCCCACCGAGCAACTGGAGAAGATCAGTGCCGCCGTGCGTGATCTTCAGGCATCGCAGCAGCAGATCTGGGGTGAAATCCGCAGAGAGATAGCTGCGAAGGGAATTGAAATCCTTCTGAGCGACGCCTTGACCCAGGCGGACAAGACCTGGCTTCAGGAGTATTTTCTGGCCTATGTCTTCCCGGTGCTAACGCCACTGGCAATCGACCCCGCGCATCCGTTCCCCTTTATCCCGAACCTTGGTTTTTCAATCGTGTTCGAGCTGGTGCCGACGTCCGGCAGCCGCGGAATGATTGCGTTGCTCAGAATTCCCAACCAGGTCGATCGGTTCGTCCGTCTGCCGAATGGTGGCGACGGAGCCGCCCGCTTCATTGCAATCGAGCATGTCGTGAGCATGTTTATCGGCCGGCTGTTTCCCGGATATGAAATTCGAGGCAAGGGCGCCTTTCGGGTCATTCGCGATAGCGATCTTGAGATCGAAGAAGAAGCCGAGGACCTCGTTCGCCTGTTTGAAAGTGCGCTGAAGCGCCGTCGCCGCGGGTCCGTCATCAGGCTGGAAATCCAGGAAACGACCCCGCCGGCTCTGCGGGAATTCGTTGCGGACGCACTGGATGTCAGCGAAAGCGAGATTTTTCTGGCCACCGGTTTGCTCGCGTTGAACAACCTTTCTCAAATCGTCGATCTCGAGCGCCAGGACCTCAAGTTCGAGCCCTATACGGCGCGGTTTCCCGAGCGCATTCGCGAACATGGCGGCGATTGTCTGGCGGCCATTCACCAGAAGGATATCGTGGTCCATCACCCGTATGAATCCTTCGATGTGGTGGTCCAGTACCTGCGGCAGGCCGCGCGCGACCCGGATGTGGTTGCCATCAAGCAGACGCTCTACCGAACCTCAAACAACTCGCCGATCGTCAAGGCCCTGGCAGAGGCCGCCGAAGCCGGCAAATCGGTTACGGCACTTGTCGAGCTGAAAGCCAGGTTCGATGAAGAAGCCAACATCAAATGGGCTCGCGACCTGGAGCGGGCAGGGGTTCAGGTGGTATTCGGCTTCATCGAATTGAAAACGCACTCGAAACTTTCCATGGTAATCAAGCGCGAGCACGGCCAGCTGAAGACCTATTGCCACATCGGTACGGGCAACTACCATCCGATTACGGCGCGGATTTATGAGGACCTTTCCTTCTTCACCGACGATCCCGGAATTGCCGAGGACGCGGCCAGAGTTTTCAATTTCATCACCGGTTATGCCGAGCCGGAAGAACTCAACCACCTCCTCGTGTCACCGGTAAACCTGCGGCGGCGCATGCTTGAATTGACCGAAGCCGAGATCGAACATGTCAGGCAGGGGCGTCCTGCCCAGATCTGGATGAAGATGAACTCTCTGGTCGATCCGGAGATCATCGATTCGCTCTATCGCGCAAGCCAGGCAGGGGTGCAGATCGACCTGGTCATCCGCGGGATCTGCTGTCTTCGGCCTGGCATCGAAGGCCTGTCGGAAAATATCCGGGTGAAATCCATCGTCGGCAGATTCCTGGAACATTCAAGGATCTTCTGCTTCGGCAATGGTCAGGGGCTGCCGTCGCCAGAGGCCCACGTCTATATCGGTTCGGCCGACCTGATGCCGCGAAACATTGACAGGCGTGTTGAGGTGCTGTCTCCCCTGATGACGCCGACCGTGCATGAACAGGTCCTTGATCAGATCATGGTTGCCAACCTGAAGGACAATCAGCAGAGTTGGCGCATCCGCTCGGATGGCAGTCACGAGCGTATCGAACCGGGGCCAAACGAGGAACCGTTCAACGCGCATAGATATTTCATGACCAATCCATCGCTCTCCGGCAGGGGCAAATCCCTGAAGAGCGATCGTCCGAAGCCGTTTCTGAAACGGCAAAAACGAGGATAGCATGACAAGCCAGTTCAAGCCTGCACGCGGCCGGCTCAATGGAACAGGACCGGTGGCGGTCGTGGATATCGGCTCCAACTCGGTGCGCCTTGTGATTTACGAACGCAAGGCGCGCACGCCCACGATGCTGTTCAACGAAAAGCTTCTGGCCGGTCTCGGACGCGGAATTGCGGCGACCGGACGCTTGACGGATGCGTCCGTGAAACTCGCCCTGGGAGAACTGGTGCGCTTCAGGGCACTGATTGAGCACACCGCATGCAAGGAACTTTATGTCTTTGCCACAGCTGCGGCACGAGATGCGGCGAACGGTGATGAATTTGTCGGTGAAGTGGAACGGATACTGCAAGCTCCTGTCCGTATCCTCGACGGAAGCGAAGAAGCCTTCTATTCGGCTCTCGGGGTAGTTGCCGGTTTCTGGCAGCCACGCGGAATTGTCGGTGACATGGGCGGCGGCAGCCTGGAGCTGGTTGAAATCGAGGGAAAGAAACCCGGTAAGGGATCGACTTTCCCGCTTGGCGGATTGCGCCTTTCCGAAGAAGCCGGTGGAAACATTTCCAAAGCAAGGCAAATCACGGAAGAAGCCCTCGGCGGTTATGAATGGCCGGGACTTCACCCCGGCGAACGAACGTTCTATGCGGTCGGTGGTACGTGGCGATCTCTGGGGCGATTGCACCTGATGCAGAACAATTACCCGCTGCACGTGATGCACAACTACGAGATAAGTGCAGAGGAGGCGATTTCATTCTGCCGCAAGATCGCGGTGCCCAGCCTTGAGGGAATTGAATTGGCGGAAGTGGTGTCCAAGCAGCGCCGGCCCCTGGTGCCGATCGGAGCCGTCGTGCTTGAACAGGTTCTGACATCAATGAAGGCCGAACGCCTGGTCTTTTCGGCAACCGGGGTTCGCGAAGGACTTTTGCACGAAAAACTGTCGCCCGAGATGCAGGCGCAAGATCCCGTCATCGAGGCGGCGCGTGAACTGTGTGTTCTCAGGGCCCGGTCCCCCGACCATGCCGAGGAGCTGATTGCCTGGACCGATCTGTTGTTCCACGAGCTGGAAATTGAGGAAACCGCAAACGAAAGACGATTGCGCCATGCCGCGTGCCTGCTTTCCGATATCGGTTGGCGGGCGCATCCGGACTACCGGGGCGAGCAGAGCCTGAACATCATCTCGAACGCATCCTTTGTCGGTCTGGACCATTCCAGCCGCGCTTACGTGGCAGCGGCCGTGTTTTACCGGCATATGGGATTGCGCGAGGGCGCCCTGTCGCAGGTTATCCGGCAGCTGTTCACCGACCGGTTGCGTATTCGGGCAAAGGTGTTGGGTGCAACCATGCGGGTTGCCTCGCTCCTGAGCGCGTCAATGGCGGGCCTGCTTCCGAAGGTTGGTCTGGTCAGGACGGAAACGGGTCTTCTGATCGAACTCGGCGGCGAACTGGCAAACCTCGACGGCGAACGTTTGCGCAAACGCGCAAGTCAGCTGGGTAAGGTTATCCAGGCAGACGTTCAAATAAAGACCACCTGAATCGTGCGGCCCGGATCACCTGTTACTCGGCTGCCTGCGTTTTGATGTCAGCCTGACCGGACTGCGGCAATGCAACGATTTGCCGATCTTGGAAGGCAAGGGCAACTTCACCGCGTTTGAGTTTCAGGGCAAGTTCACCGAACAGTTCCCGCCGCCAGCCTTTCATCGCGGCAACGTCTGCCGCGTCGTCAGCGGCGATCTTCTCAAGATCGTCGACCGTTGCAATGACCTTGGCAGCGACGCCGTTGGCTTCACTCACCATCTTCAGAAGAACTTTCAGGAGATCGACTGCCGCCGCGGATCCGTCGGGCGCCTGCCGGCCTTTGGGAAGTCGGGGCAATTTGTCTTTCGGAAGGTTTAGTGCACGCCGGATCGCCTTGATGATTTCATCGGCGGATCGTGAGCGCTCGAAGCCGCGCGGGATCGTTCTGAGACGGCTGATCGCTTCCGGATCCTGTGGTTGCTGGGCAGCAAGCTCGTAAATCGCATCGTCCTTGACCACGCGGTTGCGCGGGACATTTCGTTCTTGTGCCTCACGTTCACGCCATGCGGCAACTTCCATCATGACGGCAAGTTCGATCGGCTTGCGCACCCGAAGCTTGAGTCTCTTCCAGGCCTGGTCCGGATCAGCGCGATAGGTTCCGACCGACGTCAGGACCTCCATTTCGTCTCGCACCCAATGGCTGCGGTTCTGCTCCGCCAGATTGGCTCTGAGGAACTGATAGGCGTCCCGCAGATGCGTAACGTCGGCAAGTGCGTAGTCCAGTTGCTTGTTGGTAAGGGGACGACGGGCCCAGTCCGTGAACCGTGACGACTTGTCGATTCTGGCGCCAGTGACCTTGTAGATAAGTTGGTCATAGGAAATGGAATCACCAAAGCCGCACACCATCGCGGCGACCTGGGTGTCGAACAGCGGAGCCGGAATCAGTTCACCCAGATGGTAGATGATTTCGATGTCCTGACGGGCTGCGTGAAACACCTTCGTGACGCTGTCATCACGCATCAGGTCGAAAAAGGGAGCGAGATCAAGACCTTCCGAAAGAGCGTCGATGATGAAGGCCATGTCCGGCCCGGCCATCTGAATTACGCAGAGCTTGGGCCAGAAAGTGGTTTCGCGGAGAAATTCCGTGTCTACCGTAACGTAGTCATTGGCTGCAAGACGCTGGCAGGCTGCGGCGAGATCTTTTGTTTTTGTAATCACATGCATGGTGAGACACAGCTATAACCGAGTTCTGCCGCTTTGTCGCCACGAAATGGAATCTTTGGAAGTATTGCCCCTTGAAAAGGCGCAATATGTGCGCCTATGGTAAGGTGTGCTCAAGGAGAGCCTGGTTTCAAAAGGGGGTGTGTATGCGCAAGATACTTGTGGTGAACTCCAAGGGAGGATGCGGCAAGACGACCATCGCCACGAATCTTGCAGTAGCGCTCGCAGCAAGAGGCGAGGACGTCGCGCTGGCGGATGCCGACAAGCAGAAGTCCAGCCTTTCGTGGGTGAGGCGCCGACCGAAAAATCTGATGAAGATCGAGGGGCTCAACTGGAGCAAGGAAGGCGCAATTGGCGACAAGGGCAAGCAACTCGATGCCGTCGTGATCGACGGGCCCGGCGGGCTGCGGTCCGAATTGGCGAAAAACCTGATCGCGGAGGCCTCGGATATCATTGTTCCGGTTCTGGCGTCTGCCTTCGACTGGAATGCGACACTGAAATTTCTGGACAACATTTCCGATATCAAGAAGGTCCGAAAAGGCAAGGCGGATATCCATGTCGTCGCCAATCGGATCAATCGGCGATCGACCCAGGTGTCCGACCTGGAACAGACGCTTTCAAAAAACGGGTATCCGCTGCTTGCCCGAATTTCCGACCGCGTATTATACGCACGACATGCTGCGGCCGGATCGGGTGTGTTCGATTATTCGGATGCCGGCTCCTACGAAATTCGCGGACAGTGGCATCCCGTGCTGCAGGCGGTGGACAGCTAGTGTAGGAAAACTGCAATCAACCGTCGGGTTTGAGTTCCTGAAGCAGCTTGTAGTCTGTCGGCGGATCATCGCAAATGCCCGGGCCGCATTCCAGAAAGGTCGTGACGATGTTCGCCGCTGCCAGAAACAGCATCAGGAAAAAAGCGAACTTCGCGAGAGGCTGGCCACCGAAACGCCCATGCTCGGGTTTGTCGACAAGCGTTTTCTTGTATTGCCCTTCAAAGAGCAACATGACCGCCGTTCCGAGGATCACGAAGAAGAAGCAGAGTCCGGCCCAGGTATAGTAATGCAAGCCCAGAACCGGCGATCCGTAGCTGCCCGTTCCCGGAACGATATGCAGCAGGATCTGTCGAACCGAAACGCTACCGCCGTAAATCGCCGAAAGCAGCATGATCCCGTAGTGATGCGGCTTCGCGCCGTAAACCAGATTGAGACACAGCCCGTAGCCGACGCCGACGAGAGCAACCCGTTGCAGCAGGCAAAGCGGGCAGGGCAACTCGTCTAGCGCGAATTGAAAGGCGTAGGCGGCAATCAGGATCCCGGAAACGACGAGCAGTCCGACTGCGTTGAGCGTTCTGGAAGGGTGTGGAGCAAGAATGATCATGGACCAGGGCTCCTATAGCTTGATTGTCAGCGGTGAGGTCGCGTGGAAATCCAGCCAGTAGATACTCATTGCGAGGGTGATGGCGAAAACAACATAGGAAAGGCGCCAGCGATCTCTCCAGGCCAGAATGATCGCGATGGTCATGAGCGCGAAGAGCAGTGAAATCACATCCAGTCCCCTTAAGATTCGACGAAAATCAGTCTATAGCAGGGGTCGTATATCGGCAATCGTTCAACCAATCCGGTAAATTGGTGCCGAGGAATTCCGACAAATCCGGTTAAACTCATTCGATGGGGAGTTTTGCCGCAAGATCATTAAACTCCTCTGCTGTCAGCCCCGTCAGCGTAGGCATTTCAAAATCGAAAAAGCGGGTATCATTGACGGCCCGATAAATGAGAGACCGAATGGCTGTTAGCTCCGTCTTTGAAATCGGCGGAATAGGTACCTCGTTCGCAATCCGATTGCGAATCCTGCCTGCGAGCTGCCGCGGAACCGATGTCGTGATAACCAGTTCCTCTTCTTCTTCCATGCATGTTAGAGCATCAAGAATGGCTTCGGTCACAGTGTCGGGCATAGCGCGGGCGGACTTTCGTTGATGTTTGGACGAAAACACCAATCGATTGATATACATCTCGTGCGACGCGACAAGCGCTGAGCAATGCCTCTCCCTTGACTTTCGCTTCGCAACATGGCTTTTGCAGCCCGACACGGCCTGCCTTTGGCGGGCCGTAACGATTTTTCATGCCAAGAAGAATACCGAGGAAATAGAATGCACCCCTACCGTAGTCACACGTGCGGTGATCTTCGTCTGTCCGACGAAGGCCAGACCATCCGTCTATCCGGCTGGGTCCACAGGGTCCGTGATCATGGTGGAGTGCTGTTCATCGACCTGCGCGACCATTACGGTGTGACGCAATGCGTTGTGGATCCGGATTCCGGTGCTTTCGCGCTCGCGGAAACGGTGCGCTCCGAATGGTGCATCCGCATCGACGGAAACGTGAAAAAACGCACGGACGAAACCATCAATTCGGAACTTCCGACTGGTGAGATCGAAGTCTTCATTCGCGAAATGGAGGTTCTTGGGTCCGCCAAGGAACTGCCGTTGCCAGTGTTCGGCGATCTGGATTATCCGGAAGAAGTTCGCCTGCAGTACCGCTTCCTCGATCTGCGCCGCGAGAAGCTGCACAACAACATGATGCTGCGCTCAGAGGTTGTACGTGACCTTCGGGATCGCATGTGGTCCATCGGCTTCAATGAATTTCAGACACCGATCATAACAGCTTCGTCTCCCGAAGGTGCGCGTGACTTTCTGGTGCCGTCGCGGTTGCATCCGGGCAAGTTCTATGCGCTGCCACAGGCTCCCCAGCAGTTCAAGCAGTTGCTGATGGTGTCTGGCTTCGACAAGTATTTCCAGATAGCGCCGTGCTTTCGCGACGAGGATCCGCGCGCCGACCGCTCGCCGACGGATTTCTATCAGCTCGACGTTGAAATGTCCTTTGTCACCCAGCAGGATGTCTTCGACACGATCGAGCCGGTGATGGCTGGCTGTTTCGAGAGATTTGGCAATGGCCGCGCGGTTAACCGCAACTGGCCGCAGATCTCCTACAAGGATTCGGCGCTCTGGTACGGCACCGACAAGCCGGACCTGCGAAACCCGATCAAGATGCAGATTGTGTCCGAACATTTTGCCGGCTCCGGCTTTGCAATATTCGCCAGGTTGCTGGAACAGCCCGGCACCGAAATTCGGGCGATTCCTGCACCCAGGGGCGGCAGCCGCAAATTCTGCGACCGGATGAACAAGTTTGCGCAAGGCGAAGGATTGCCGGGCATGGGCTATATCTTCTGGCGGAAGGCCGAAGACGGGTCGACTGAGGCTGCCGGTCCGCTTGCCAAGAATATCGGGCCGGAGCGGACCGAAGCCATTCGCGTTCAGCTCGGGCTGGAAGTCGGCGACGCTGCCTTTTTCCTGGGCGGAAAGCCGAAGCAGTTCGAACCCGTCGCTGCAAAATCGCGTGTGATTATCGGCGAGGAACTCGGTCATACGGACAAGAACAGTTTTGAGTTTGCCTGGATCGTTGATTTCCCGATTTACGAGCGGGACGAGGAAACCGGCGAAATTGACTTCGAGCACAATCCGTTCTCCATGCCGCAGGGCGGAATGGAAGCTCTGGAGGGCGACCCGCTCGATGTTTTGGGCTGGCAATACGATCTCGCCTGTAACGGGCACGAACTGCTTTCCGGTGCCATTCGGAATCACAAGCCGGAAATCATGTACAAGGCCTTCGAAATCGCAGGATACCCCGCGGAAGAAGTCGACAAGCGCTTCGGCGGCATGGTCAACGCATTCCAGTATGGTGCTCCGCCGCATGGTGGCTGCGCGGCCGGCATTGACCGGATGGTCATGTTGCTTGCCGATGAGGCAAACATCCGTGAGGTGATGCTCTTCCCCATGAACCAGAAAGCGGAAGACCTGATGATGGGAGCACCGAATGACCCGGCACCGGCTCAGCTGCGTGAATTGCATTTGCGGTTGAACCTGCCGGAAGAGTAAATTCGGCCGACTTGCGGAAACCCCTCGATTGGGGGTACGCCTTTGTGCGAGAAAAGAGGGGCCGGTTTGACCGGCCTCGCTTATACTGGGTGATCGAAGCCCTTAGAAAGGGAACGCTTCGTGCGCAATCCGTTCAAATCCGACTCTTGGGACGATCCGCAAGGCACGGTGCAGCTGATCAAGCGCGTGTTCAGCGAGAATTTCCGGACCTATATTCCGAAGTATTTGCTGGCTTTCGTATTCATGGGACTGATCGCAGCGACCACAGCTGCAAGCGCGTGGATCATGCGCGATGTCGTCAACGAAGTGTTTGTGAACAAAGACCCTTTCATGGTCTATGCAATCGGCGTGTTCGTTCTGGTGGTCTACACGGTCAAGGGAGTTGCCACTTACGGGCAGATCGTCGTTTTGTCCCGCGTCGGGAACCAGATTACAAAAGATCTCAACGGCAGAATGTTCGATGTTTTGCTGCGTCAGGATCAAGCTTATTATGACAAGCATTCGCTAGCTGAAATTGGCGTGCAGGTAGGGCAGGGCGTGGGAGCGGTACGCGCCACGTTGGATCTGATCGTCACCAGCCTCGGCCGCGATGTCCTGACGTTGATCGGGCTGACCTTTGTCATGATCTATCAGAACCCGCTTCTGAGCGTCTTTGCCTTGATCACGATGCCACCGGCGGTCATCGGAGTTACTTTCCTGATCCGGCGGGTTAAGGAGTATGTGAAGCGGCAGGTGGTTTCGAGCGCCAAGGTAAGTGCCGTCACGCAGGAAACCGTTCTTGGAAACCGAATAGTGCGCGCATTTGGAATGCAAAAGGTCATGCGCGACAAAATGGAAGTCGGGCTTCTTGAAATTCAAAAGCAGTCCAACAAGATTGCCTCCCTGACGGCGCGCACTTCTCCGTTGATGGATACGCTCGGCGGATGCGCCATTGCGCTCGTAATTTTCTATGGCGGATATGCCGTGATTGAACTCGGGCAGGATCCGGGGGCTCTTTTCTCGTTCATCACGGCATTGTTGCTGGCCTACGACCCTGCGCGCCGGTTGGCCCGCCTGAACATCAACCTGGGCAAGCAGATGGTCGGATTGCGCATACTGTATGCGCTCGTGGACCGGAAACCAGAGCTTCATGATGCGGAAAATGCGCGGGATCTCGAAATAGAGAACGGAGAGATCGTCTTCAGCGACGTGGCATTTTCATATGGCGAAAACGCGGCTCTTCGTGGAACCAGCTTCAAGGCGGAAGCTGGCAAGATGACGGCGTTGGTTGGTGCATCTGGTGCCGGAAAATCGACCGTATTTGCATTGGTGGAGCGGTTCTATGATCCGCAGTCCGGAGAGATTCTCATCGACGGCCAACCTATCAGGGACGTCACCCAGGTCTCCTTGAGGAACAAGATTGCCTATGTCAGCCAGGATTCGTTTCTGTTTGACCTCTCGATCCGTGAAAATATCGCGATCGGCCGGCCGGATGCAACGCAGGAACAAATCGAAGCTGCGGCCATCGGAGCAAATGCGCATGATTTTATCAGCGCCTTGCCGGAGGGGTACAAAACGAGGGCGGGCCAGGGAGGCAGCAATCTGTCCGGTGGCCAGAAACAACGGATCGCAATCGCGCGTGCGATGTTGATTGATGCCCCGATACTGCTTCTGGACGAGGCAACCTCTGCTCTGGATGCAGAGTCGGAAAACAAGATACAGACCGCACTCGAAAAACTGATGCAAGGCCGCACAACCCTGGTCATCGCTCACAGACTGAGCACGGTTCGTCACGCTCATCAGATTCATGTCATGGGCGACGGCAAGGTGATTGAAAGCGGCAACCACAATGAGTTGTTCGAACACGATGGCATCTATCGCCGCCTGTGCGAGCTGCAGTTCCAGAGCAAGACAGAGGCAGCAGAATAGTCGCAGCCAGGGAAAACAGAAAAAGCCCGGGAACGCCCGGGCTTTTTGTTTTTCAAGATCTGTTTTCTACTGGTTTGCAGTGATGCCGACTGACAGGATCTGGGGGATCATCTGGGGGGCCAGCATTGCCGTTCCCATCACTTGCGAGAAGGGAACAGGTGTTGCAGGTGCTGCAACAACCTGAAGCGAACCGGGCGTCGTCAGGAATTCGGTAACAGCCTGTGCAACCTGTCCTTCAAGTTCCTTGTTCTGGAGCATGCCAAGTATCAAGGGCAGGCTTCCCGTCAATCCTGCGACATAGACCGGCACTTCGACACCCGCCTTTTGTGCTTCCTGGTCAAGAATGCGCCCGGTCAGGGTCTCATCGTCCAGGCGGATCTTCGCATTGATGACCGTGACATTCTGCAACAGTGCCATGGCCTCTTCAGGCTTTTCGGATTTCTCTTCAAGCTGCTCGACCACTTCACGGGTAACCCCGCCCAGGGACAAGGCAAGCGAAAGGCTGGCTGCATCCTTCGCGTCGATCTTCAGCTCCGGAATGTTGATAATCGCTGCTTCAGGATCCCACCGGCCCGAAGCGGAGACGTCCAGTGTCAGGGTCTCGTATCCAAGATCCTTGAGAGATTTGGCTTCTTCCACTTCAAGTTCGTTCACGTCTATTGTCGCACCGGAAAGGGAAAAGCTTCCTGCTGTCGGCAAGTCGCCGTCCATGCTGTCAATGGAAGAGGAAATCGCCTGAATGTCGGCTATCTTGCCATCTTCATCCCGCACCTGGATATTCTTGACGTCGAAGGTCTTGTAACCCGGGCTGACGGGCGAGGCGTTGGCGGCGGACTCCTTGGCTGATGGCAGGACAAGACCCGTGACGCTCATCGTCTCAAGCGACATGCCTCCATCATCCGCGTTCAGGTCCAGCTTTTCTAGCCCGAGACTTTCGAGTTTGAGCCGACCGTTGTCGAGGAATTCTCCACCGGTCAGGACTGTCGACGCGATCGTGACGCTCGTGTCCTTGTCATTTTCGTCCTTGATGACGAGTTGCTGGATCGTGACCGCGTTGCCGGACTCGCTGACAGACCCGTAGCTTTCAACGGTACCCTCCTGAGCATCGAGAACGGACAGAAAGGCATCTGCGACCTCGTTGCCGGTCGGGTCGAAGGCATTGGCGGCCGTGACCTGAAGCGCGATCAGGCTGACTGCGGCGCTAAGGCCGATGGCAATGCGGGGCGCGGGAAAAAACATCATATAAATCTCCACCATGATAAGGCGCGCTCACCTTGCTCCATGTTTGAAGCAGAGGCAAGATGAAAGCCGGACCGTGCCGCACCGGTCTGATGCAACCAACGGAGGCTATTTCTTCAAACAAATTTGGGTCAGGCCTCATTGACTGATCCAAAAGAAGACAGTTGCTGCGACGCAAAATGCCGACATTCGCGCGTGTTGCGGAACATCGGCTCGAATGTCGGCATTTGCTGCATCAAGTGTCAAGGAAAGCAAGGCGCACAAACCTGTTGTTGAGTTCACTGATAAATCTCAACTTCCCCCTCGATTTCCATCGCAAAACCCAATGGCAGTCCCGCAACTCCAATCGCGGATCTGGCATGGCGACCCACGTCACGTCCAAACACGTCAATAATGAGATCGCTGAAGCCGTTTATCACCAGGTGCTGCTCAGTGTATCCTGGTGTTGAAGCGACCATGCCGAAGACCCGTGTCCAACCGGCTATCCTGGAAAGATCACCGATTTCGGCCTTGATATTGGCTAACACCGATAGCGCAATATCGCGAGCTTCAGCATATGCCTGGTCGGTATTGAAATCTGTTCCGACCACTCCGAATGGACCTGTAATGCTTCCATCGTTTGCGCTCTTGGGGCTGCCGGAGAACAGCAGCCTGTTGCCACGCACATTAACGAATGAGAACGGCAAGTGTACGCCAGGTGGCGGTTTTGCTGCCGCGGGCAGTTGTAATCCGAGATCCTGAAGTCTTTGTTCTGGCGAAAACATTCGCAATTTTCCTTTTCAGTGTGCCGGAACCATAACAATCAATGTCTCATGTGTCTGCAACGGGCCACTACCGGTCATCTAACCGATTCTGCTGGGCAAATCAGCGCTTGGCGGTTTCCAATGACGGCAATTCGGACCTTTCGAACATCGGAGGAATTGGAAGTTTCAGCCCTGAGCTGACCTTCAGCTAGGGTTCCGCCATTGCATCGCACAATCCGGAAGCAGACCTTCGGCTACTCAGGATTGGGATGTAGCCTGGAGGTCGGCAATGCGGAGATAGTGTTGAAAAAGCCGTTGGTTTGTCGGCACCGGACATGAGGTTGAGTTTGCCAATTCCGGTTTTCACACCGGCTTTGGCACCATCTTTGCGAGTTTTCTGAGGTTCTGGGCGGTTGCAGCTAGTTGGAACTGTTCGGTTGCCCCTTTTGGTCCTCGTAATCGCATCATCGATACGCCGATATATCGTTTGAGGTGAGCAAACAGCATTTCAACCTTTCGTCGCTGGATGAACGACGTCATGTAGGCGTCCGTGCCCCGGACGGCACGGGCGACATCCCGCGCTTCTTCGTGAACGGATCGGGTAACGGCGCGGGCTGGCTGGTTCGGGCAGCATCTGGTCTTTAATGCACATTGGCTGCAATTTAGCTTTGCCGCACGATATTTGATTGTGCCATCTTTGCTGACCTTAGGTGGGCGTGAATTTGTGAAGTTGCGTCGATAGCGCTGCAGGGTGTGACCGCCGGGACAGGTGTATTGGTCTGCCGCCTTGTCATATGCGAAGTCCTCGCGGGAGAATGTGCCGTCTGTCCGCTTCGATTTATCCCAAACAGGTATATGCGGTTCTATTCCACGTTCCTCGACCAACCAGCCCAACATCTCAGCTGAGCCATAGCCGGTGTCGCCAACCAGTTTATTCGGGAAGAGACCGAACTTGTCGTGGATACGATCAATCATTCGGCGTGCTGCCAACGTCTCTGCTGGTCTTATCGGAACCGTCGGTTCTACATCGACAATCACCGCATTGTCCAAGTCCACCATATAGTTGGTGGAATAGGCGAAGTAGGCGGCCCCGCCATCAGCACCCGTCCAGCGGGCACCCGGATCAACCGGAGAGATGTATTTGGGAACCACCTTCGTTGCCGCGCCGAAAGCGGCATCATCAAGTGTCTCAAGGTACTCATCAATGGCCTGGCTGGTCAGTTCGGGCGGCAACCCTTCCTTGCCATCAATACCGCGCGTCTGATTGGCATTGGCAGGGATGAGGCTGGCATCAACGCCAAACCCTTCGCCGCCAACCAAGCCTTCATCAATACAGCGCTGCAGAACTTTCTCAAACAGATGGCGGAAGATGCCACTATCGCGAAACCGCCCGTACCGGTTCTTGGAAAAGGTCGAATGGTCCGGAACCGGATCTATCAGATCAAGCTTGCAGAACCAGCGATAGGCCAGATTGAGATGCACTTCCTCACATAGCCGGCGCTCCGAACGAATGCCCTGACAATATCCTAAAAGCAGCATCCGGATCATCAGTTCAGGGTCAATCGAGGGTCGACCGCCCTCACTGTAATACGGCGCCAGCAAAGGTCGCACATCACTCAGATCAACAAACCGATCAATCGCCCGCAACGGATGATCTTTGGGAACGTAGTTTTCAATCGAAAACTCGTAAAACAGCGCTCCCTGCGCCACTTGTCTCGGTCCCATCATCGCACTCAGTCTCCCAAATCACTCGGAAAACTGAATCAGCCAACGAAGGCTCAATCATGGCGACTTTTTCAACACTATCCGGACAAAGCGGACATTGAAACGGTTGATCCCTATGTCTACTTGCAGAATTGAGTGGTTCAAGGCCGCTGTGGACTACTCCAAATAGCCCACCCGACTTGCGCCGGTGGGGTAGAGTTTTTCTGAGGATCTCAATGCCAAATTGCGATTGGTATGGCAGTCTCGAGGATCATCGGATGATCCTTGATCACATATTCCAGCAGGATGATTTATCGGTGTGGGAATTGGCTTCTGACTTCGGACAACTCCGAAACTTTCGTTCCACCGATGAAGTGATGAATGAATTTGATCGCCCTTATCGAAGCGGAGGAAAAGAACGGAGATCAGTCCATCTCAAGCTATACGTTGAAGGCTCTTGCGTTCGTGGCTTTATGCCAAAGAAGAAGTATGGACGAGAGTTTGCGCAGGGCTTCGGTATGATCCAGTTTTACCTGGAGAGGCCCGGCCGCACTTCATCACATACGAATCACAACTCTCAAAAGCGCGCCGACAATTGGGATGATTTTGTCGAAGATGACTCTGCGGAAGACTGGGATTTCAAGTTAGTGACGAAGACTTCTTCACGTCTAAACCGCTTCATTCGCAAATGCGGTGAAGAGAAAATTGGCTCTCGCGTCTTGCTGCCTGGTGCCGCACTGCTTTGGCGAACAGGCAAAGCAGATTTTTTCATATGAACCGCCTTCTGAAAGAAGCGCTTGAATGCAGCACACTCAACCATCGACAGAAATCAGACATTCGTGCCCAATGCAGCATCTGTCAAAGTGGGCTCAAAGCAGTCATGCGGCGGTGCAAGGTGAAACTCAGTTTCAGGCTTGCCTGAATGTCGGCTTCAAACATCGTGACACGGCTGGCTCGCACTTGCCGCGAATTCATTCTCTCCGCCCCGATTTTCGAGTTCGGCGCACAGCACCAAGGGTCCAGTTAGGGCTCCAAGCTGTCATTCTTCCAGATTAACAGATCCTGCCCCTGATCAAGCCGCCTTTTCGGGAAAGTCGCCGCTGGCCCTGTCGACGTCTTCCAGTGTCGGAAGACTGGCTTCGTTGCCAAGATGCTGGATGGCGTGCGTCGAAGCCCCGCGCGCAAACTCGAAATGCTTTGTCCAGCTGCGTTCCGGCCAGCGGAGATAAGAGGCGATATAGGCGCCATGAAAGACGTCGCCGGCGCCATTGGAATCGACAACCTTCTGCATGGGCACGTTGAGCGCGGGCAGAAGTTTGTCCGGTCCGCCGGCTTCATACCAGACCATGCCGTGTTCTCCGAGCGTCACGGCCCCGACAGGGCAGTTCTTTGATCGCAGGTATTCGAGCGTTTGCCCCGTTGTTTTGCCGAGTTGCTGGCAGAACCGATCCGATACGACGGCGATATCGACGTGTTCCAGCAATTCATCGGTGTTTTCCCTGACAGCGCCACCGTCCAGGGAGGTCAGAACGCCGAGGTTCTTGCACGTTGCCGCGTAATGCAGCGCAGCGTCGGGCATATGGCCATCAAGATGCAAGGCCTTCATGCCCGTTAGTGTCAGGGGCGGGAAGGGGTGCAGGAAGTCATTGTCGCGGCACCTGACAATGGCCCTCTTTCCGGATTTGGGCATGATGAAGGACAAGGACGATTCCTTCACTTTCCTGCCGTGAACGGAGATCCCGTAGGTGGACGCCATGTCCAGGAACATGCGAGCCAGCCAATCGTCTGCTAGCGAGCACAATAGATCGGGCTTGCCCCCCAGCTTCGCGCAACAAAATGCGGCCGTTACGGCGTTTCCGCCAAAACTGATTGCATAGTCCTTGGCGATGGTCTTCTCGTCGCCAGTCGGGAAGCTGTCGGTCAAAAACGTAACGTCGATATAGGCTTGTCCGATAAACAGCGCCTGCATGAGATTCTCCCATCACCAAGTCAGTTTCGATAACAGCACCTGATCGCATATTGAGCGCAGGCTGCCTTGATCTCGATGAAACTGCAATTCATTCAGTCCTTGTTTACCCAGATCGGCCATGGTCACAAAGAGTATATTGGTAAACAGGCCCTGATTTGTCCTTCCGGTACGTTGGCTTTGCAAAGACGGTGTTGATCGCCCTCGTTCTGGCGACAACTCCGCTCTTTGCGATCAACATCATTTTGAACCAGTTCGCCGAGCGGCGCGCCATCACCGAGATGGAGGCGATGGGCCAGGTGTCGATACATCGCGCCGAGGAAGCCATCAGCACGACCGTATCGCTCCTTCAACGGCTCGACCGCGACGGTGTGCAGACATGCAGTGCCGAAGATCGGGTGATCTATGAAAAGCTGATTGTCGAACACGGCATGATCGATGCAATCGGTCTGGCGGATGCCGCGGGGCAACGCATGTGCATCTTTCCGGATCGTGAACTGGCCGGCAAGATCATCTTGCCACCGGTCAGGACAGACGGCCCGCTCGTCGGTATCGGCATGCTGGACCGGGATTACCTGGGAGCCCGGGCGGCGGTAATCAGCTGGGACTTGAAAGATCAGACACGCTTGTTCGCCGAAGTCACCCCGGCGGTCATAGCGATGGACCCCGGGCCGGAATATCTGCGTTCCTACCGCAGGGCGGAGCTGCGTCTTGGCGACAATCTGCTGTGGTACAATGTCGGCGGTTACAATTCCGAGGAATCGAGTCCGGAAAGTGTTCTCAGCGTTGATGTCACCTCAGAGCTTTACCCGCTCGTTGCCAGGATCACCGCGCCGGCATCGGCGGCCCTTTATGTGGTCAAGGATCTAAAGGTCGTTGCGGCAGCAGCCTGCGCCGGGATCGCGGTTTTGTTCGTCGCAATCGGCATCTGGTTGTCCTGGCGGCCGGAGAGCGAGGCCAATGACGAATTCATTGCAGCGATCAGCAATGGAGAATTCATTCCTTTTTATCAGCCTGTTATGGATATCGAGAGCCTGCGGTTGCGTGGTTGTGAAGTGCTCATGCGCTGGCGCCGTCCCAATGGCACGATCGTGTCGCCGGGCCAGTTCATGGCTTACGCTGAAAACAACGGTCATATCTTTGACATGACCCGGCACATGATGCGCGTTTCCTGTGAGGAGGTTGGCAAGCTCTATGGCGAGAATCCGGACTTCAAGCTGTCGATCAACCTATTTGCAGGCCATTTCCAGGATCGCGAAGTCGTTGCCGACATCAAGTCCATTTTTGAAAATTCGAACATATCGTTCCAACAGATCGTGGTGGAAGTAACAGAGCGGCACCCTTTGGAAGACATGGAACAGGCCCGCAAGATCATGGCAGAGCTGCAGGCGCTCGGTGTTCGCATTGCGCTGGATGACGTCGGCACCGGTCACGGTGGTATGGCATATTTGCAGAAGCTCGGCGTCGACATCATCAAGATCGACAAGATGTTTATCGACACGATCAGTTCCGACGACAACTCCACCACGATTGTTGATTCCATGGTTGAACTTGCCGACAATCTTGGGATGGGCATCATTGCCGAAGGTGTCGAACAGGAAGAGCAGATCGAACGTCTGCTCGAACTGGGTGTTACCGCTGCCCAGGGGTATTATTTTGCCAAGCCAATGCCGGCGAATGAATTCATCGAATTCGCTGCACGTACGGAAGAAGAAGCCCGTGAACGAGGGCGTCTGGCTGCTGAGGCAGCCGCGGCGGAACAGGCCGCCAACGAAGCCGCTCTCGCGGACGCCGCTGCCTGATCATCCTGCAATACCGGCACCTTTGACAACCATTTCCCGTAGTCAGCTTGTTCGTCTGGGGGCAGCGTCTCGCGTCCTTCAATGCAGCCTTGCATAAAAACGCTTTACTGTACCGGCTGGACGGTATATCTGAGAGCGAACTGTACTGACTGGACGGTATACTAAATGGCCCGACCTTCGCGGAATGCACAGACCTCGAAATCTGAAATACTGACCGCAGCAATTGAAGTCATTCGGCGATCTGGAGCGCCGAGCCTGACGATTGACGCCGTCGCTGAAGAAAGTGGATTTTCAAAAGGGGGCGTTCTTTACAACTTTCCGACAAAGGATGCCCTGATCACCGGCATGGTGGAGTTTCTTGTCGGCCAGTTCGAAGCCGATGTGCTCGAGGCAAGAACGAAAAACCTGCAATCACGGTCGCCAACCCTTTGTGGAATGATCGACGTGACCGAAAGGTGGTTGGAGACAAAACGCGACGTGGCGCAGGCCGTCCTGGCAACGACCGCGGACCGGCCCGAACTCAGCGAACCGTTCCTGAGGGTCAAGACTGGACTGAAAAACGCAATTGCACAGGAGACCGATCAATTCGGAAGGGCAATGGCAATCTGGGCGAGCCTGGAGGGGCTGCATTTCTCCGTTGCCCATTGCGTTTCGATACTGACGGAAGATGAACGGGCTGAGGTGTTGAAGGAACTTCGCCACCGCCTCGAGCAGGACTAACACCAGGACGGAAAAACAGATGTTTGCACTTAAAAGAGCTCCCCTTGTCCGCTGGACCGGGCTCCTGCTGGGCGCCGGCCTTCTGGCTGCCTGTCAGGACGATGCTGCAAATCCGGTCGCCGAGGCTGAAGCCAAGCTTCACGCGTCGCCGAGACCTGCAAAAATATTTACCGTAACCGATCAGATCGGTCTGGTTGAACGCCGATTTGCCGGACGTGTCGCCGCGGTTCAGACTGTTGACTTGTCATTCCAGGTGCCGGGGAAACTGCTTCAGTTGCCGGTGCTGGAAAGCCAACTGGTAAAGAAAGGCGATCTGATCGCCAGTCTTGATACAACGGACTACGACCGGGCCGTGCGTGAGGCGACAATCAATGTCGAACAGGCAAAGCGTGAGCTGGATCGCCTGGGGACGCTCAAGGATCGCTCCGTGATTTCCCAGTCGTCTTACGACGAGCAAAAGAACGAATACGACCTCGCCATCGAACGGCTCAGGGAAGCCAGACAAAACCTTGAATATACGTCGCTGGAGGCTCCATTCGACGGCATCATGTCGCTGCGCCTTGTTGACAACTTCACAACGGTCAGCGTCGGTACACCCGTTGTCCGGATGCATGACGTTTCGGAAGTGCAGGTCGATATCAACGTCGCCGAAGCTCTGTTTGGCCGCGTGACCGCGTCGGAAGTGTCCTCCATAGAGGCGAAGTTTCCCGCATATGGCGAAAAACTGTTTCCGCTCGAGTACCGTGAACACTCCAGCCAGGTTGACGATGTCGCCCAGACCTACCGGATCACGCTTGCGATGCCGCGTGAGGGTGTCAGCCAGCTCGCACCTGGCATGACGGCCTCGGTAATCGTGAAACTCGTTCCTGAAGGCCTGGAACTCGGCGAACAGTTTCTCGTTCCAACAGCTTCGGTTGCCATTGACGGGGAGGGCGAGACGTATGTCTGGAAATTTGCCGGAGACACGGGCAGCGTTTCAAAACAACCTGTCGAGATCGGTACCATCATGGGAGACTACATCCCCGTACGTACCGGCCTTGAACCGGGAGATGAAATCGTTTCCGCCGGCGTCGCCTATTTGAGTGACGGCCAGGTCGTGCGCCGTTTGCGCTGATCCAGTTCCACTACGTTAAGAGGATCAGAAGCCGTGGACATTGCACGCTATTCCATCCAAAAACCTGTCAACACCTGGATGATCGTCCTTATGGCACTTCTCGGCGGTCTTTGGGGATTGACCTCCGTCGGCCGATTGGAAGATCCCGCTTTCACAATCAAGGAAGCCCAGGTTATCACCGGCTATCCCGGGGCAACCGCGGCCGAAGTGGAAAATGAAATCACAGAGGTTCTGGAGACGGCCATTCAGCAGATGCCGCAGCTTGACCAGATCCGTTCCGTCTCCGAACCGGGCCTGTCGCGCATCAGTGTGGAAATCAAGCCGACATACGACGGTTCCGAGCTGCCGCAGGTCTGGGACGAACTGCGCCGCAAGGTTGGGGATGAAGTTCGCAATCTGCCGTCAGGTGCGGGGACGCCACTTGTCTATGACAGTTTCGGCGACGTCTACGGTCTGTTTTACGCGTTCACCGCCGACGGATATACAAATCGCGACATTCGCGACACGGTCAAGCGTATCAGGCGCGAACTCTTGGCTGTGACCGGTGTCGGCAAGGTCGAGGTCGCCGGCGAACCCGATGATGTTATCTATCTGGACGTCGATCAGGACAAGATGGCGGGTCTCGGGATCTCCATGACCGATATTGTCGGTGTCCTTGACGCGGAAAACCGTATTCAAACCAACGGTTCGGCCGTTTCGGGCCAGTCACGTATACGCCTGATGACACCGTCTGCATTCGACGATTTCCGCGGGATCGAGGACCTTGTCGTCGGGCGCCCGGGTTCAACCGCGATGATACGTCTGTCCGATATCGCGACCCTGGAACTCGGAGAGCCGGAGCGGCCCGTTAGACTGATAAGTCATAACGGTCATGAGGCCGTTACCATCGGTGTTTCCCAGGTTGACGGAACAAATATCGTCGATGTCGGTGACCAGGTCATTGCAAAACTTGCGCAAATCGAAGCGCAGTTGCCCATCGGTATGCAGATCCACCCGATATACGAACAGAATGTCGTGGTCGACGCCTCGGTAAACGGCTTTATCCTGAATCTGGCTGCCTCGGTCGTTATTGTGATCGGTGTGCTCGCGCTTTTCATGGGATGGCGCGCGGCCGTGGTGGTGGGCACCGTTCTTTTGCTCACCGTTATGGCAACCGTCCTTTTCATGCGTATCTTTGCCATCGAAATGGAGCGGATCTCTCTTGGAGCCCTGATCATTGCCATGGGCATGCTAGTTGACAACGCCATTGTCGTGGCGGAAGGCATGATGATCAACATGCAGCGGGGCCAGAAGGCGATAGACGCGGCCAGCCGCGTGGTCAAACAGACGATGTGGCCGCTGCTTGGTGCGACGGTCATCGGCATCATGGCATTCTCGGGAATTGGTCTTTCTCCGGATGCGACCGGTGAATTCCTGTTTTCGCTTTTTGCGGTGATCGGAATCTCGTTGTTGTTGTCCTGGGTCTTTGCGGTCACGGTCACGCCGCTGTTCGGGAAGTACTTTTTCCGTACCGCAAGCGGCAACCTGGATGATCACGACCCCTACAAGGGAATTCTCTATACGATCTACCGCGGATTTCTGGTCGGCACACTGCATGTCCGTTTGCTGACCGTCCTGGCACTTGTTGGCATCACCGTTGCCTGCGTCATGGCGTTCGGAAACGTGAAACAGGCATTTTTCCCGGACAGCAACACACCGATCTTTTACGTCCACTACTGGTCGCCCCAGGGGACTGATATTCGTGCGACCGAAGCGGATCTCAAGGACATGGAAGAAATCGTTCTGGAAGACGAACGGGTCGCCACAGTCACCAGTTTTGCCGGTGGCGGTGCGACCAGATTCATGTTGACCTACGCACCTGAGGACGCAAATCCGGCCTATGGTCACATGCTCATACGGACCAACAGCCGGGACGACATTGACGTGCTGGCTCTCGATCTGCGTGCAAAGTTCGCTGAACGTTTTCCATCTGCCCAGATCATCACCAAACGTCTTGTGTTCGGACCTGGCGGCGGCGCCAAGCTGGAGGCCCGGTTCTCCGGTCTCGATGCAAATGTTCTCAAACGTCTGGGCGACGAGGCGAAAGCGATTTTCTTGTTGCCGCAGAACAAGCTTGCAGACGTCAATACGGATTGGCGCCAACGCGAACTCGTGGTTCGTCCCATATTCGACGAGGATCGGTCACGCATCTCCGGTGTCACCCGCGAAGAACTATCGCTTTCGCTGCAATTCGCGACAGAAGGCGTTCAGGTCGGCTCCTATCGTGACATTGACGAAAGTATTCCGATTGTCGCCCGCAAGGCAGGCCCGGAAGGTATCTCGGTCAACGAAAGCGTGTCGGACTCCCTGGTCTGGAGTGCCGGTCAGCGTCGGTACGTTCCGATCGATCAGGTCGTGAGCGAGTTCACCATGGAGCCGCAGGACACACTCATCAATCGTCGCGACCGGGTCCGGACGCTGACAGTCAAGGCGGAAACGACTGCGGGCGAAACGGCTACGGCGGCGCTCGCGCGGGTGCGTCCTCAGATTGAGGCGATATCGCTGCCGCCCGGTTATTCGCTGGAATGGGGCGGTGAATACGAAAGCACGAACGATGCACAGGCTTCCCTGGGCGCGCAGTTGCCGCTCGGGTTCCTGGTTATGCTGATCATCTCGATCCTGTTGTTCGGCTCGGTACGTCAACCTCTGATCATCTGGCTGATGGTGCCGATGTCCATAAACGGAGTTGCGATCGCATTGCTGGCAACCGATACACCTTTCGGCTTCATGTCGCTTCTCGGGTTTCTTTCGCTCTCCGGAATGCTGATCAAGAACGCGATCGTTTTGCTTGAAGAGATTGACAGGCTCATTGAAGAAGGCCGTGAGAAATATGCTGCAATTGTCGAAGCAAGCGTTTCGCGTATGCGTCCCGTGATGCTGGCCGCAGTTACGACAATTCTCGGCATGGCGCCCTTGCTTTCCGACGCGTTTTTCCGGGGCATGGCTGTGACGATCATGGGGGGACTGGCGTTTGCAACGATACTGACGCTGATCGCAGCTCCGGTGCTGTACGCTCTGTTTTTCAGGGTACGCCCGCCCAAAAAGGCTGACACCATGAGTGATCAGGTACCGGCCCCGGTCACGGCTGGGTAGCGTGAAAGGGTGCGTTCGCTCAAAAGATGAAACCCGCCCGCGGGGCCTGCGCGGGCGGGTTGATCCAGCTGCTGTGGCACTTCCGGTTTCGGAAGGAGAAACTCGGGCCGGGCAATCAGCCGGTGGCCAACTCACGCTGGACGGTCGACTTGGCGACCTTGATATTGTCGAGCACCTTGGGGCAGCTGGTGCTCGACGCCTGCTTTTCAGACAGGAAGGAAGACATACGTGCTTCCAGGTCTTGCAACCTAGTCTGGCGGGTAAACTTAGGTTGCAAAGCAGGTAGGGCCGTAAAGGGCCAGAACGGGTTCATGGTTCTATTCCTCGTTTGGGAACGATACTATTCGGATCAATGGGCGAACTGGCTGGCGTTCAACCTGTTTTCGATCATCGAGATCTCGTCGCGAAGGCGGAGCTTGAACTTCTTCAAGGATCGAATGTGCTGCGAGTCGGGATAGGGATGTAGGTGCTCCCTGCGGATCAGGGAATCCAGGGTGTTGTGCTGGCTGCGCAAGGATTTCAAGCGGTTATACATCATCTACCTCCACATCGTTGGGTGTTCGTGTTGACACCCAGGATATGGGGTTGTTTATGTATAGAAGAAATACATTGTTTGTATTGGGTTGATAGAAAAAATCAATTGCAAGGTAGGCCACAATGCGCTTCAGACCGTCCCCGCGCCAGCTGGATTATTTTATAGCCCTTGCCGAGACTCTGCATTTTGGCAAGGCCGCAGAAAAATGCAATGTCTCCCAGCCCACTTTGTCCTCACAATTCAGGCTCTTGGAAGAAAACCTGGGCGCGGGCCTGCTGGAACGCGGCAGTGGCGACATCAGCTTGACGGCGGCTGGCGAACGCCTGTTGCCACTCGCCCGGCAGGCTCTTGAAAGTTTGGACGAAATTGTGGTCGTTGCCCATGCGGGCCGTGAAAATCTCGGCGGGCTGATCCGTCTTGGTGTGTCACCCACATTTGGGCCATATTTCATGCCTTACCTGCTGCCGATTTTGAAGCGGAACTTTCCGGATCTGGAGCTTTACATCCGCGAAGACCGTCCCAATCTGCTGGAAGAGGGATTGGCCGCCGGGGCACTGGATTGCATCATCACACCGGATATTGCTCCATCGGGACAACTGACTGAGCGGGAGCTTTGTCACGAAAGCGTATCACTCGCTGTTCCGCGCGGCCATCCGTTCTCTGGCCTTGAAGTCGTCCCGGTCTCCCTTCTCAAGGGCGAAAAGCTCCTTTCGCTTGGTCACGGGTTCCGTTTGCACAACGATGTGCAGGCGCTTGCCCGCGCAGCCGGTGCTGAATTTCTGCAGGATTACGAGGGGACGAGTCTCGATGCATTGCGCCAGATGGCATCGATCGGAATGGGTCTTGCACTGTTTCCGGCAGCCTATATTGCTTCCGAGTTTCCCAAGGAGCCGAACCTCCTTTTGAAGAAGGTCGAGGGGATCGCCATGCACAGGGTAATGTATCTCGTCTGGCGCGACGGCAGTTCCCGCGCAGCGCATTATGAAAAACTGCTTTCCCTTGCATTGGAGGCGGTTAAGAGTATGCAGGCAGAAGGTGTGGAGGCCGCGGACACCTGATCGGTGTACCCAAAGAGCAAGGAAACCGGTATGTCGAAGACCAATCGAACCAAAGGTCCGATGACCACGGCGATTCATGCTGGTGAGGGGCCGGATCCTGCGACAGGTGCCTCAAGCCCCCCGTTGCACATGAGTTCGACATTTGTCAGTGACCGGTTGGCCGGATTTTCAGCGCACGATCTGGAGGAGGAGGGCGGTTTCATCTATTCCAGATGGAACAATCCGACGGTTGCGATGCTGGAGAAAAAGATCGCGGCAATGCAGGGCGCAGAAGCCTGTCTTTGCCTGGCGTCGGGAATGGCTGCGGCAACCGCAATTTTCATGACATTTCTGTCTTCGGGCGATCATGTTGTCATTTCCGACGTCTCCTATGCCGGTGTCGCGGAACTCGCACGCGATACCCTGCCGCGCATGGGCGTTGAAGTCACCACCGTCGACATGTCGGATCTGGAAGCTGTTTCGGCGGCACTTCGACCGAATACGACACTCGTTCACACCGAAACACCTGTGAATCCGATCACCCGCCTGACGGATCTTTCAGCGGTCTCGGCTCTTGCACGTCAGGTTGGAGCGCTGCTGAGTTGCGACGCCACATTTGCCTCGCCTCTCGGGATGGATGCGATCGGGCTGGGTGTCGATCTCGTCATGCACTCGATCACCAAGTATATTGGCGGTCACGGCGACGCGGTTGGCGGCGCAGTTGCCGGCAAGGCTGACTTGATTGCGCGGATGCGAAACGAAGCCGCGATACATCACGGCGGTGTCCTGTCGCCGTTCAACGCCTGGCTGATTGCGCGCGGCGCGGCGACCTTGCCCTTGCGTATGAAGGCACATCAGGCAGGCGCGTTGTCGGTTGCCCAATGGCTGGAAACCCATCCGAAGGTGACGCGGGTCATGTATCCGGGATTGCCGTCGCATCCGCAGGTCGATTTGGCCAAGCGCCAGATGACAAATTTTTCCGGGATGATTTCCTTTCAGGTTGGCACCGCACAAACAGGGCGATCCGTTGCGCAGCAGATGATCGACCGGTTGGAGGTGATCCACTATGCGGTTTCTCTGGGGCACCATCGTTCGCTCGTTTTCTGGATGGAGACCGATCCGTTGATGGAGACGTCGTTCCGGCTTCAGGGAGATCAGCTGAATTCATACCGGGAATTTGCTGGTGACGGCATCTTCCGTCTGTCCGTGGGATTGGAGGATGCCGAAGACCTGATTGCCGACCTTGACGGGGCATTGGGTTGAAGCACGTCCAAAAAACCCGGGGATGGTGTACTCTTTGTTGCCGCTCCTCGAGTTTCATGCCAGCATTTCATACAAAGGCAGAGGAGGAGAACTATGCCAGAGATTTCCAGCAACAGCGATTGCCAGACCGTAATCACAACCTTCGAGATGACGCCGGGCACCTGCTACGACCTCCTGGATGAGCTGAAAGACGCATATGACAACTTCATACGGCATCAGCCAGGGTTCATAGGCGCAGGGCTCCATGTCAACGACGCCCAAACCCGAATTGCCAACTATTCCCAGTGGCGCAGGCGCGAAGATTTTCTTGCCATGTTGCGGACACCGGAAATGCGCGACCGCAACCGCAGCATCCATGCTCTGTGCAAGAGTTTCGAGCCTGTCATGTATGACGTCGCGGAGAGTTTCAACTGAATTTGATAAGCGACATAACCTAGCCCACTATTGAGCAGTAGCGTACAGGTATTGTTGAAATTATCACACGCCAATAATTTGGCAGACAAGAGCCGATTGTGGGATGTGCCGGAGTTCTGACTTGATGTTGAAGTTTCCGGAAGCAGACATGATATGCGTTTCAGGTTGCGGAAAGGGCGCTGCTTGTACGATCACAAGAGAAAAATTGCCTGGTGGATGAACGCGCGCCTTGTTCTTGAGTTGGCCGTTCTACCAGTAATGATAGTGACTACTGCTGCAGCTTTTTTCTTCGGCCGGTCGGATTTCGAGGATACAACCGCCCTTGTAACCTTTGCCGAAATTGTGTGTGAGGCAAAGAAAACTCACTTCGGCAGACCGAGGACAGGTCTATTCGAAACCGAACGGATCGTGTTGCCCTGCAGCAGTTTCAAGACATCGCTCGGAGAAGGATTGCAGGAACAGGGGTATGTGTTGGCAAAGACCAGCCAGATAAAGGTCAGGTTCCGTTCCCCGGCCGACAATCGTTTGCATGAAGCATCAGCTCAACTGCGGTCGACCGACGTTTCGGTCGGCGACAGGATCAGGATCGGTGCGTCGAAAGAGGATGTCAGATCCATAAGGGCCGACTGGTAACGAATGAAGTGCGCGGACCATAAGCCAGCGGTTCGGGGACGAATTTCAACCGATCACTGCCATCTTCAGCGCCGTGAGTTGTGCATAGATATTTCAGCAACTACGATAACCGTCCCGCCCTTGCAATTCAGACTGATTCATCTTCTGAACATTGCGTACCAGGCAACAAACCAAGCGGAGCCAGGCAACAAGCAACCATGTCATATCACATCATCGATTGCCGTGAACTTGATGCAGGACAATTGTGCGCGGCGATGAATTCAGCCTTTTCGGACTATTGCGTTCCGCTTTCCCTTACGGTCGACAAGTTTCTCTATTTCCAGAAGCAGCGCGGATTTTCCGCAGAGCATTCATTCGTATCCATGAGTGGCCCGGACATTGCCGGGTTCTGGTATTCCACAGCACCATCCGCCTCGTACGGTTCCCGAGGCTATGCTGTTTCGGTTGGAACGGATCCCCGGCACAGGCGCAAGGGTATCTTGAAGAACCTGTTCAAGGCTGTTGTCGAAAAGCAGAAATCCGATGGCGCGAATGGAATGCAGTTGGAAGTCATCTCGACCAATGAAAGGGCCCTCAGAGCCTATGAATTGTTTGGATACAAGCATCAGAGGACGGTCCGGGTATGCAGGTTGCCGAAACACAGTCTGCCTGTGTCCCGCCGCAATGACCTGAGAATTGATGCTCTCACTGTCGAGGAGCTCCCGGATGATGAGAGCGATTATTTCGATACGCTCCCGACACCTCAAAACAGTCGTGCCTCGCTCACGGCCCTGCGTGGCAGGATGAACCTGATCGGTGTATCGGAAAACGGAAGGCTTCTCGGCTGGGGCGCAGCCAACCCCGATGGTTCGGTTGCCCAGATCGCCGTTCACCGCAACTTTCGCCGCAACGGCATCGGCAGCGTGCTGCTCGAGGGACTTGGGCAGTCGGTGGATACCGACCACCTGACATTTGTGAATGTCGATGTGAGTGCAACGGGCGTCAATGCGTTTTTGGACCGGGCAGGGGCTGAAGACCTCTTGCAGCAGTTCGACATGCAACTGACCTTCTGATGTCGCTTGCGCCGAAACCGGCCACGCTTGGGATTAGCTTGCTGAAATCTGACGGCTCTTGTCCACCAGAACCTCGGCCTGCCGGATGGAAGCGTAGTCGATCAATCGACCATCAAGCGAAACAGCTCCCTTGCCCGCAGCTTCTGCTTCGGCCATGGCCTCCAGAATGCGCCTGGCTTTGGTCACTTCAGAGTCTGAGGGGCTCATGACTTCATTGGCCAGTTCGATTTGGCTGGGATGGATAGCCCATTTGCCTTCGCAGCCAAGAACAGCCGCGCGTCCGGCTGCTGCCCGGTAGCCGTCTTTGTCCGTAAAGTCGCCAAAGGGACCATCGATGGGACGCAATCCATTGGCGCGCGCTGCCACGACCATGCGCGCGATCGCGTAGTGCCACATATCGCCCCAATGCACATCCCTGCCGCCGTCATGTGCAGGGTCCGTCAGCACCGCATAGTCCGGATTGACACCACCGATGATCGTGGTGCGCGCACGCGTGCTGGCGGCGTAGTCTGCGACCCCGAAATGGAGACTTTCATTGCGTCTGGAGGCTGCAGCGATTTCATGCACGTTTTGCATGCCGAGTGCCGTTTCGATGATGTGTTCGAAACCGATCCGCCTCTTGTATCCCCTTGCATCCTCGATCTGGGTCACCAGCATGTCGATGGCGTAGACGTCTGCGGCCGTGCCAACCTTGGGGATCATGATGAGATCCAGCCGTTCTCCGGCCTGTTCAACGATATCCACGACGTCTCGGTACATGTAATGGGTATCCAGTCCGTTGATGCGGATCGACATTGTCTTGTCGCCCCAGTCGATATCGTTCAGGGCCTGAATGATGTTTTTGCGCGCCTGTTCCTTCTCGTCAGGCGCGACTGCGTCCTCAAGATCGAGGAAGATGACATCGGCATTGGACCGGGAAGCCTTTTCAAACATCTGCGGCTGACTGCCGGGCACCGCCAGTTCGCTGCGGTTCAGGCGAGCCGGCGCCTGTTCAACGGGGAAAAAACTCATTTCGATCTCCTTGGGGTACGATTTTTCGGTGGCCGTTGCCTTCCACCGGGATGATGCTGAGTGCAGCCGGCATTTGTCGCGCCGGATTGTTGGACGGTCGGGCGCACCATCCCCCGCTCGCGGGCACCTGGGGAAGCAGGACCACGCGATTGGAACTGGTTTTCAGGGAAGCTGATTGTCAGATCACGCGATCTCTCGGATCCCGTCCGTCAAAAAAGTCCGACAGGTTTTCAAGGACACGAAACCCCATTGCTTCGCGGTTTTCTCGCGTAGCACCACCCAGATGAGGCAAGAGGACCAGATTGTCGCAATTCAGCAGGTCGGCGTTGATCCGGGGCTCCCTGACAAAGACATCGAGAGCGGCGCCTCCGATCGTTTCGAAAATGAGGGCATGGACAAGTGCCGCTTCATCGACAAGGTCGCCACGGGCCGTGTTGATCAGGAACGCGTCCGCTTTCATCAGGTTCAGTCTGCGGGCACCGATGAGAGGTTCGTTCGAGCGGACTTCCGCGCAGTGGAGCGAAACGAAATCGCAAAGTGGCAGCAAGTCATCGACATCTTTTGCCTGTGTCGCGTCGACTTGTTCCAGGATAGCGGGATCGACCCTTTCTTCATCCTGAACCACGATCCTCATGCCGAAACCGTGGTAGGCGCGGCGGGCCAGTTCCTGCCCGGCATTCCCAAATCCTATGATACCGAGCGTCTTGCCGCTGACCCTGGTGCCGATCAGGTGGTCCGGGCACCATCGCGACCAGTTACCGGCACGAAGGTTCCTCTCGCCTTCGCACGCTCGCCGCCCGGCCATGAGCAGCAGCATCATGGCAAAATCCGCGGTGCATTCCGACGGGTTGTCCGGCGTGTTCGTTACCGTCAGTCCACGCTGCCGCGCCGCCGGTTCACATATGTGGGCATAGCCGTAGCCGAAATTTGCCAGAATCCTCGTTCTGGCGTCCGGCACATCCAGTGCTTCGGCATCCAACCTGTCGGTAACTGTGGGCAGCACCGCGTCGAAGGTTTTGAGTGCCCTGCGGATCTCGGCAGGAGACAAGGGAACGTCGCAAGTGTTGAGGACCGTGTCGTAACGCTCGCTCAGGACAGCTTCGACGGCTGCCGGCCAGCGTCTTGTCACAAGAACAGTGGGTCTGGTCATCATGCCGCTTCCTTGTAAACGCGCGCAATGGTATCGCCGATGACAGCCGGGTTCTCGGCAACCGTGACGCCGACCGATGAAAGGATTTCGACCTTTTCGGAAGCGCTCTCGCCGAAAGCGGAAATAATTGCACCGGCGTGCCCCATTGTCCGGCCCTTGGGCGCGGTCAGGCCCGCGACATATGCCACGACGGGCTTGGAGATGTTGTCCCGTATGTATTCGGCAGCTTCCGATTCCTGCGGCCCGCCGATTTCCCCGATCATGGCAATCACATGCGTGTCGTCGTCCTGTTCGAAACGGGCCAGGATGTCCTTGAATGACGATCCGTTGATCGGATCTCCACCAATACCGACGCTTGTCGACACACCTATGCCATTGTCTTTCAACTGGGCTGCTGCCTCATATCCGAGCGTTCCGGACCGTCCGATGATGCCGACATGTCCGGGCAGGTAGATATGGCCGGGCATGATCCCCAGAAGCGCCTTTCCCGGGCTGATCGTACCGGCGCAGTTAGGCCCCGTCAGAACCATGCGTTTTTCGCGTGGATACCGGTACATGTACCGTTTCACCTGGATCATGTCCTGCGCCGGGATGCCGTCCGTGATGCAAACGCAGTAGCGGATACCGCTGTCGGCCGCTTCCATGATCGAATCTGCTGCAAACGGAGGCGGTACGAAAACAAGGCTCGTGTCGGCGCCAGTGGCAGCGACAGCCTGTTTCACCGTGTCATGAACGGGCACGCCCTCCACGGTTTCGCCACCCTTGCCGGGAACAACGCCGGCGACGACATTTGTGCCGTAGCGCAGCATGTCCTTGGTATGAAAGCGCGCCATGCGGCCGGTTATACCCTGCACGATGACGCGGCTGTCACGGTCGATTAGAATGCTCATTGCGCGGCCCTCAATCTGGTGCCTTGTGACAGGTCCCGTTGCCAGGCGCCCACAACGCGCTCGGCAGCTTCCATCAAGGTGGTCGCCCGGATGATCGGCAAGCCGGACTTGGCCAGGATCTTTTGTCCTTCTTCCACGTTCGTGCCGGCGAGGCGCACCACCACGGGAATATCGATCTGCTGTTCTTTCAGCGCCAGAACAACCCCTTCGGCGACCCAGTCGCAGCGGTTTATCCCGGCGAAGATATTGACCAGGACGGCCTGGACATTCTTGTCGGAAAGGACGAGGCCAAACGCTTTGGCGACGCGTTCCGGCGAGGCTCCACCTCCAATATCGAGGAAGTTTGCCGGATCTCCTCCGGCCAGTTTGATCGTGTCCATCGTTGCCATCGCAAGACCTGCACCATTGACGATGCAGCCGATGTTGCCGTCCAGCCCGACATAGGACAGACCGCGATCCGCTGCACGGCTCTCTCGCGGGTCTTCCTGCGATTTGTCGCGCAATTCACTGATCTGGGGATGCCGGTAGAGTGCGTTGTCGTCGAAGCTCATCTTGGCGTCGAGGGCAACAACGCGCTTGTCGGTAGTGATGGCCAACGGGTTGACCTCCACCATGGTGGCATCGAAATCGAGAAACGCGCGATAACACCCCTGCAGAGTGCGCACCATGTGCTGCACGAGTCCCGGTTCGACCTTTAGTTCGAACGCGATTTCCCGGGCCTGGAATTCCTGAAGGCCGACAGCAGGTTCCACGGTGGAGCGAACGATACTTTCTGGCCGCGTGGAGGATATTTCCTCAATTTCCATCCCTCCCTCCGAAGAGGCGACAATCATGACACGTTGGCTGGAGCGGTCGAGCACGAACCCAAGATAGATCTCTCGCTCGATCTGGGCCGTGGTCTCCACATAGACCCGGTAGATATCCTTGCCTTCCGGACCGGTCTGGTGCGTCACCAGCTTGCGCCCGAACATGTTGTCGCAGGCATCATGGATTTCGTCCTGCGTCTGGCAGATTTTCACACCACCCGCCAGACCACGCCCGCCGGCGTGAACCTGGGCTTTTACAATCCATTGGTCGCCACCGAGCTCCCGCGCGCGATAGGCGGCTTGTTCCGGGCTGTAGGCCAGGGCCCCCTTCGGCACCTCGACGCCGAATTTGGCGAGAATTTCCTTCGCCTGATACTCATGGATGTCCATTCCGGCCTCCTATTGTGCCGCGACCGATGTGCCGTAATGCTTGTGCAGCGAGGTTTCGAGAGCCTCCTGATCGACGTCGGCCCCAAGCTTGCGCATGGCTTCGGCAAAGCGGTTGGCAATGTCCCAGATCGCCCCGGCATTCAGTTGGTTCAAAATGCCGATACGAATTTGAACCGGAGCCGAAAGTGTCGGCCAGATGCCGAAACCCTCCGCACGGCAGTTCTGTACCAGTTCCATCTCGCGGCCAGCCAGATGGTCCGGCAGGTTGAGAACGACCAGACTGGTCATGTCGGACGTCACATTGCAGCCCAGAGTGGCAACGGCGTCACGCAGGGCTGCTTCGTGGAGACGGTAGGAAGCTGCCCGGTTCGCAAGGCCCTCTTGCAGGGTCAGGCGCAGCGATTCATGGAAAGCTGCAACGGCGTAACCGGAATGCGTGCGGTGATACGTTCCCTTGTCGACATCTGCCCCGTCAACAATTCCCCAGTGCCGCGCCTCAAGTATGGGATTGTGCACGTAGGTATAGGCACCGGTTGTCTTGAGCGTTTCGATGTACGTGTCGCGGAAGCTGACGGGCGCATAGGTCAGTGGCAGGCAGCACAGACCTTTTTGAGGGCAGGAGGCCCAGCCTGCCACACCCGGAAAGTCATCGATCGAAAAATCATCTACCCCAAGAGAGGATACCGCATCTACAAGCCCCATGACACCATGGCGTATGCAGGCATCCGAAAAGCCGCGCAGATCGTTGACACGGCCGGAACCGGTTTCCCAATGCGCCATGAATGCCCATTTGGGCTTGTGTTCGTCGAGGACTTCCTCCACCAGTTCGCCGGTCACCGGCTGGCCGTGTGGCACATTGATGACGACGACGCTCGCCGGGCAGGGATCAAGAGGATCGGCGACCAGTTCGCAAGGAGTTGCTGCCTTGATGCGAAGGGTCAAGGCATCGATCCCGGAGAATGTGCCGTTGGAAAACGCAACAACCTTGTCTCCAGGCATGATCGCTGAGAACATCGCGTCCAGACCACTCCAGCCCGTACCTGCGATGGCAAAGGTATAGGTGTTGGTGGTACCCCAGATTTCACGCAACATGTGTTTGCACTCGATCATGCCCCGCAGAACGTCAGCGTGCATATGATCAGCAACACCGGCCCGTGCGAAGGCATGAAGCACGCGGGCATCTGTGTTACCTGGCCCCGGGCCAGCCGCAAGGGTTTCGGGAATGTCCAGTTGGGGAAAAATCTCTGTCGGCATCTGCAGTTTCCTCCGCGCTGATCGTTTGAGCCGGTGGCCCATGTTCCCCTAGGAAAACCTCGGCTTGCGTGTTTGCGCAATGGAAGTTACTACTGCTTTCGGACATCTAATCGGATGGGAAAAAACCTACTCATTCGGATAGTAGATGGTAATTCTACAAGATATTCAGCTATCTGTTTGGGTAGTTTGTTTTCAATAGTGGTGTAAAAACAATTGGTTGAAAATCCCGGCTCTCCGATAAACATCATGCTCGCGGACAGCAATCCCTTGGTTCTGTCGGCAATGTCCGAGATTTTCGACAAGGACACCCGTTTCTCGCTCGTGGCAACGTCCGCAACAGCTGAAGGGTTTCTTGGAACGGTCATGCGCGTGCCGGTGCAGGTCGGCGTCGTCGAATGGAACCTGCCGGCCCTTGGTGGCGCGAAGCTGATCGAGGTTCTGCGGGAAAACGAAGCCGCGCCGCGATTTGTCGTTTACGGAGATGCCGCCGGAGATTTGCCGAGGCTGGCGATGCAGGCCGGTGCCGCCGGATTCGCACCAAGATCCGGTGAAATTGAGGGATTGGTGGAAACCTGTGTTGACGTAGCCGCCGGAAAAATGGTGTTTCCGTTTATCGACGTTCGCCAGATGCAGCAGGATCCGATCTATAGTCTCTCCCGGAAGGAAAAAGTGATCCTGGAGGCTCTGTCGAGCGGCATGTCCAATCGCGAATTGTCGAAATCTCTGCAGATATCGACCAACACGGTCAAGTTCCACCTTTCGAATATCTACGAAAAGCTATCGGTCAAAAACCGCGCGCAGGCGATTGTCTATTATTACTCTTCCCAGACTGCCGGCATGAAGGATAGGGACTAGGTTAGGAAGACAGTCGTTCGAACGGGGCTTGGTGCCAGTTTTCCGGAGCGTCAAATTGCACTGCCTGATTGTCTGAACCCGTTCAGTCACCTTTCTTGAAGGGCGCCTGGTCTGCAAGCGCCTCGTTTTCGCGCTCCACTGCGAAACGTTCCTGTTCCAGGTAGTCAGCGACAGCCTGATGCAGCCCTTCATGCGCGATCCAGTGGGCGGAGTAGGTCGTTGCCGGCAGATATCCGCGCGCAAGTTTGTGGGCACCCTGCGCCCCGGCTTCGACACGTTTCAATCCGTTGGCAATTGCGAAATCGATGGCCTGATAGTAGCAGAGCTCGAAATGCAGAAAGGGATGGTCTTCACAACATCCCCAGTGACGGCCGAACAGTGTTTCCGAACCGATGAAATTGAGAGCGCCCGCGATATAGCGCCCGTGTCGCTTGGCCAGAATCAGCAGCGTTCGCTCCGCAAGTCTCTCATTGATCAGGGAAAAGAAGTTCCGGTTGAGATACGGCCGTCCCCATTTGCGGGAACCCGTGTCCATGTAAAAACCGTAAAACGCGTCCCAATGAGCTTCGGTGAGATCCGGTCCGGTTACCCACTCCACCTCTATGCCGTCGGCACAAAGCGCCTCGCGCCGCTCCTTCTTGATAGCCTTCCGTTTTCTTGAGGCAAGATCGGTCAGAAATTCGTCGAAACTTTCATAGCCGTGATTTTCCCAGTGAAACTGCTGATCGGTTCGCTGGAGATAACCCAGATCGCCCAGACCGTCCCATTCTCCCTTTGTCAGGAAGGTGGCATGGACCGACGAGGCGCCAGTGCGCTGGCAAACCTGTACAAGGCCTGCGGCAAGCGCTTGCAGACCGGCTTCCCGGTTGATCCCGGGTCCGATCAGAAACCTGCGGCCCGTCGCAGGGGTGAAAGGGACCGAAATCTGGAGTTTGGGATAATAGTCGCCGCCGGCACGGTAGAAGGCATCCGCCCAGCTGTGGTCGAAGACGTATTCTCCCTGAGAATGGCTTTTCAGGTAAGCCGGAACCGCTCCCAGAACAGCGCCTGTTTCGTCTTCCAGAAGCATATGTCTTGGCAACCAGCCAGTCGCATTTGTAGCACATCCCGATTCTTCCAGAGAATAAAGAAAGCTATGCGATAGGAATGGGTTAAAAGACTTATCTTCAGAAAAAGGTTCAACTTCAGATTCAAGAAGGGAAGCAAGTTCGGAAGCGGTTGATTGACCGGGTAGGTGGCATTGGTCGGTTTTCTCAAGAGCGCCGCCTTCCGAGAGCTTCCACCCCGGATTGGCCACTGCGTCCCAGGCATCGGATGAAACATCATTCAGCGATGAAAGGATGCGCAGGGATGCGGTCGGTCCGCCGCCGTCAGCGTCCGGATCTTTGCTTTCCTCAGAATGGGAAGAACTCATGCGTCTACAGCAGCCAATTTTGGGAACCATTCTCGGAATGTAGCGCTGTTGCCTTGCATCGCAAGAGGGCAGCGAAAATCAATGGTTTGAAGCGAGGAGAAAGCGGTCCGCTCAGGGACTGGTGTTGTCGATGTCCGGGTCGAAGCCTTCGAACACGATCTGGTCCGCATAGCGGGCAGCGGTTTCGCGCTGGTCTCTGGTTCTGACCGTCCATGTCATGAGCGGCAGCTTGAACAAGGACCTGAGCAGGCTGGGTCCGGCTCTGGGCAGATCCTTGACGCCGTAGGAGATGAAATGCGGACGCGTGCGCGGAGCGTGCAGCAAATGACGCAGGATGAAGCGATCGGTGCGTCCATAGCGGGCATAGCCCGGACCGGACTCTGCCCCGTCGGCCACAATTCCACGCAGAACGGAAGGATTTTCACGCCGCGCATGGGACAGCATGTCCGGATCGAAGGTCTTGATGCAGGCCGGGCCACGGTACCTGGCGACCTGATCAGTAACATCACGCACGAATGTACCTTGCGCGTCACGCCGCATGAGGGACTTGATCTCTATGACAAGCGGGACTTTTCCGTCTACGAGATCGAACAGGTCCTGCAAGAACCAGAGTTTGTCGGTGCCGGTCTTCATGTGGATCCCGGCGAGATCGTCTGACGGCAGGTCGATGACCTTGCCCGTGCCCTCGGCCAGTCGGTCCAGGGTATAGTCGTGAAAGACCAGAGCCTTGCCATCGGCCGTTTCCTGGACGTCTACCTCTATGGCGAAGTTTTTCCCGATCGCTGCTGTAATGGCCGTCGGCGTGTTTTCAATAATGCCGTTGTCGGCATCATGGTATCCGCGATGCGCAATCGGGCGGGCGAAAATGGCTTCGAGGTCTGCTGTCATGGATGAGGATCAGTCCGGGTGGCTGCGCCGATGGAGGAATTGCGAAGCGGCAGGTCAGTCTTCGATTTCAAAAATAGCGTCGATTTCAACCGCAACGCCAAAGGGCAGGGAGGCCGCGCTGACGGCGGATCGGGCGTGTCGTCCCTTGTCCCCCATCGCTTCCACGAGGAAGTCGGAGGCACCATTGATGACCTGAGGCTGATCTGTGAAATCATCGGTAGAATTCACAAAGCCGACAATTTTCACAAGGCGCGTAACCTTGTCGAGATTACCGGTCGCGGCCTTGGCCTGTGCAAGAAGATTGATGGCACAGAACCGGGCTGCAGACTTTCCGCTTTCAAGGTCAACATCGGCACCGAGCTTGCCCGTGACTTGGATCTTGCCATCCATCATGGGAAGCTGTCCTGAGATATAGAGCTGGTTTCCTGTTTTCACGAAGGGGACGTAGTTCGCTGCCGGCGCGGCTGCTTCGGGCAGGGAAACTCCGAGGTCCTTAAGACGGTTTTCGATGATGCTCATTGGTTCGCTCCGGCTCGGATGGATGTGTCGGTGTCTTGGCGCAATTTGGAAATGCTGACAAGGCCAAATCAGTCACGGATCTGAAAATGAACCTGTGGAGGAGATTGGATTGTTTTCGCGAAGGTCTCTTAACCGCCGGTTTTATGAAATAAGTCACCCTTTCCTGATTTTCGTTTACCTGCTGATTTTCGCTGTGGCGTAAGGTGCAGATAATCGCATAATGACTGCCAGGGCCCTGACGGTGGCTGTACCGTTGGCGTGAAACTGAGGAATTACAGATGCAGCGCATTCTCATGTCGGGGTCTTTGGCAGGTCCTGCATTCGCAATCATTGTCACCACGTGCCTTGTTTCGGGAACGGCCTCCGGAGCAACAGTCGGCAAATCCGCTGGCTACAAGCTGGTGCCGCACCAGGCGGTCTACGACATGAAGCTTGGCGAAAAAGAAGACAATTCCGGAATTTCCGGCTTGAGCGGCCGGATGGTCTACGAGTTTGCCGGAAACGCCTGCGAGGGCTACAGCGTCAACTTTCGCTTTGTGACACGCTTTCAAAATGCCGACGGCGGATCACAGGTGACCGATCTGCAGACGACTTCCTTTGAAGAGCCGCAGGCAGAGAGCTACCAGTTTCTTTCCAAAACCTTTGTGGACCAGGAGTTGGTGGAGGAATCTAAGGGCAAGGCAACCGCCGGGACGCAGACCAAGACGATCAATCTGAAAGCGCCGTCCGAGAAGTCACTTGAGATCGGGCACGAAGTTCTTTTTCCGACCGAGCATCTGCTGACCATTCTGGAGTCAGCTGAAAACGGTGTTCCGTTTATTTCCGCCGATATCTACGACGGCGCCGAATCCGGCGAGAAGGTCTATGCAACGACAACCGTCATCGGCTCGAAAACGGTCAGCCCGGTCAAAGCCGATACCGAGGATCCGGATGCACCCCTGGCAGGTTTGAACTACTGGCCGGTGACAGTTGCGTATTTCGATCCGGGTGCGGAAGATGCAACCGGGGAACTGACACCGGTCTACCAGTTGTCGTTCTGGCTCTTTCAAAATGGTGTCAGCGGGCACCTGACGCTCGATTACGGGGATTTCACCATCAAGGGCAAGATGGCTGCGCTGGAACTTCACGAAGATACCGGTTGTCCTCAATAGCAAGCGTCAGGATTTTCGAGGTTTGTCTGACGATCTGGCGGCATGTGTAAGGCCCAGTTCGACAGCTGAATTGCCGAACTTGTCACGAAGCTTGTCTACTGCGATCTCGGCGTTCTTGCGTCTTTCTGCTGAATCGTCGAGCAAGTCCTCAGGATCGGCCCGATCGGCCGGTTCCAGGTCGCTGACACCGATACCGATCAATCGGAACCGGCGCCCGTCCGTCTCATTTTCGAGTAACGATTCTCCCGCTGCATAGATCTTGTCTGCCAGCTGGGTCGGGTCACCAAGATGCCGGGCGCGTGTGATGGTCCTGAATTCGGCTGTCTTGAGCTTGAGTGTTATTCCGCGTCCTGAAAGGTCGGATTTTTTCAGCCTCGAAGACACCTTTTCAGACAGGTTCCGCAGGATCGGGCGGAGCGTTTCGAAGCTGGAGATATCCGATCTGAACGTTGTCTCCGTCGAGACGCTCTTTGCCCCACGTTCCGGCTTCACCAACCGGCTGTCATCCCCATGAGAAAGTGAAGCCAGACGCAGGCCGATCGAACCGTAGCGCCGTGCGAGTTCGGCGGCCTCCATTGTCTGCAACTGGCCGATGGTCTTGATCCCGTCCTTTTCCAGTTTTTTCTGGAACACCTTGCCAACTCCCCAGATACGGCCGACAGGCATTGGCGCCAGCACAGTTTCGGCTTCTTCGGCACCGATAACGGAAAAGCCTCGCGGTTTTTCAAGATCGGACGCGAGCTTGGCCAGAAACTTGTTTGGCGCAAGGCCGACGGAGGCGGAAATGCCTATGTCCGCTTCGATTCCGCGGACGAATTTCGCCAGTGTTTCGGCAGGTGTAGCCTGGTGCAGTCGCTCAGTACCGGTCAGGTCCAGGAATGCCTCATCAATCGAAATCGGTTCGACGAGCGGGGTCAATGCCCGCATGCGCTCCCGGATTTCCTTTCCGACCCTGGAGTATTTTTCCATGCTCGGCTTGATGACCACGGCATCCGGGCAGGCCTCGAGGGCCTTGAACATGGGCATGGCAGATCGCACACCGTAGATACGGGCAATGTAGCAGCAGGTGGAAACAACACCACGCTGGCCGCCTCCGACAATCAAGGGTACATCCTGAAGCTCGGGATTGTCGCGTTTTTCCACGGACGCGTAAAAGGCGTCGCAATCGATATGTGCGATCGCCAGAAGATCAAGTTCGGCGTGTGACACCATTCGCGGACTGCCGCAGGACGAGCACCGCGAAATGGAGGCAGCAGGCCTGGCACCGCAGTCCCGGCAGAGTGCTTTCTGGTCTTTTGGGTGTCCGGTCACTTTGAGGTGTCACTTCTGCGGTTGATTGCCACCGGTTTCGACTGCTTCTTGAAGGATAGCCGTGATGAAGTCAGCCGTCTCGTGCCAATCCCCGGTCAGCAGGTCAATATGTGTTTCCTTTTCGGTCGCCGCCCGGAACCTGTGGTCCGCAATGAACTGGATCTTGATCGAACTTGGCAGGCTGGCATGAACCGAGGAGTGGTTTGTCGGACTGTCGTCGATGAACACGACAGGGGTTGGGCGGCCAGCGGCGAGAGCTGCGACGGCACCACCTTTGGGTCCCGAATTCGTGACGACGGGGTAAGGGATGCCCATGCCTGACAGCAACTTTTCACGTGCCGGTTTGTTGTGACCACCGGGAAGGTTGGTCAGCAACACGATCTCCCATGTTTCTGCCAGGGCCTGTAGTGAAGCGTCGGCACCTTGAACCATGTCTTGCCTGTGACTGACCTCGTCAAAGAAATTCAACAGATGCTTGCGGACCTCAATGGCGGGGATCGCAGCACGATGTTTGCGGTGACCAATGTTACCCGTTAGCCGATACTCGTGATTCAGGAAAACAAGGTCGCGTTCATTCAGATAGACCTCCAGGTGTTTGATGAGATGAAGGATGACTTCATCCACGTCGCAGATGATCAACGGGCGATTGGAAACGGGTAGTCCCTTTATCTGCGCCAGGACTTCAGGAAGGACCGGTGACGGTTCAGGCATCGTCGGGAGATCCTCCTGCGAGCGCATATCTTGCTGCGGCCATCATGGTTGGCCGAATGCTTGAGTTTTCGCAAAACGCGAGCAGGAGCGGTTCGTCCATCATGTAGAATTCCAGGACACCGGCAAGGAAGCCTGGTTCGCTGGCTGCTGCTCGAATCATGTCGGGACCGATTCCCGAAAATGCCAGGAAACGGCCTATTTGCTCCGGATCGCGACTGAGTTGGAGGAGAGCTTCAGTGGCAATTCCTTGAGCTTCTTCAACGGATAATGACTTTCCTTGCATATTTTTCATTGTGTTTTTTTGCCTTTCTGAAACGATTCCGGGTTACAACAAATCTACTGCGGACGGGGGTGGCGTTCTACCGCATAGAAAATTGCGTCGAGAGAGAGTGGGACCGGCGAACCGCCGGGCAAAGGACCGGACTATATGGCAAAAACCGTATTGATCGTGGAAGACAACGAGCTGAACATGAAACTGTTTCATGATCTGCTGGAAGCTCACGGCTACAATACGCTGCAGACCCGAACCGGTATAGAAGCGCTGCAGCTTGCCCGTGATCACCACCCGGACCTGATTCTGATGGATATTCAATTGCCGGAAGTGTCTGGATTGGAAGTGACGAAGTGGATCAAGGAAGACGACACCATTTCCTCGATACCGATCATTGCCGTGACTGCGTTTGCCATGAAAGGTGACGAAGAGCGCATTCGCCAGGGCGGATGTGAGGCTTACATTTCGAAGCCCATTTCAGTCGCGAAATTTCTGGAAACCGTGCGGGGATATCTCGGCGAAGCCTGATTGTCTTCTCCGGGCCAGACAATTTTACCGGCAAACAAACTTGAAGATCTGGTACAATCAAGGGGTGTTCAAGGCTTCAGTAGTCCTCAAGGGTAGTCTTTCGATTAGGTGATCCTGCTTCACGTTAAGGTTACGAATTTACTAAAATATCATTGTATCTGTGCATATTTTGCGGAATTTATTGCAATCAGGTTCCAATAGGGTAGTGTGACCGCAGATTAGAGTAGCTTCTGATCGCGTCTTTGACGTTAACTTTTTTGTCCTTACGTTAAGTATGACAAAAGTTTCCCCTCGGAGTGCTCAGGTCCGCCGCATCTCCTGGGTCCGTGGGGTAGGTCGGCAGGGAACCGGCCGAAGAGTGGCCTCCTCGAATGCCGTGTTCCCGCCGACCACTATCTCATTGCTTCGCAAAACCAGGATCATGCCCGTGACAATAGCGAGATTGTCTCTGTCACCGGTTTAAAGATCGATTTTTTCAACAAAAAAACCCGCCGGCAATGGCGGGTTTTTTGGTTTACCGGAAACGCCCGGATTTACTTGATTTTTGCTTCCTTGAACTCGACATGCTTCTTGGCAATCGGGTCGTATTTCCTCTTGACCATTTTTTCGGTCATCGTGCGGGAGTTCTTCTTGGTGACATAGAAGAAGCCGGTGTCCGCCGTGGAGGTGAGCTTGATTTTGATTGTTGTCGCCTTGGCCATGGCCTTGGATCCTGTTCTCGGTTGTCGGGCATAGGGTTCGGGTGGCCAGATTGGCTGGCGGTGAATCTGCCCCAATGTCTGAAATCAGCGCGCAAACTACTCATCGGAGCGTGAAAGTCAAGCGCTTGCTTGGCGTCGAGCCAATAAATGCCCTTTGCGAAAAGGCTGTTCCGTGAGGCATAGCCCCATTAGATCACTTCGCGTACGAAAGAACCCTTCCTGAAAAAATAGTAGGGGATTTCTGTCGCTGGCGAAAGATCGGGATCCCTGGACAATCTCTCTTCGAGATCTGCAAGGATCTTTGTCGTAATCAGGGGCAGTTCCTTCTCCCGTGCCTCATCAAGGGTGAGCCAGGCACAGTCCTCAAGTTCACCTGAAGGGCCGGTTCCTTCCGGTAGCTGATCCGCGATGGCATCTGACCAGACCGCAAGAAAACGCGTATCGAAGCGTCGTGGACGTTGCGGCGGGGTAATTGCTCTTGCCACCATGCGCAATCCACCAAGGTCGGGCTGAATGCCGCGCTCCTTGAATGCTTCGAAACCTGTTCCCAGGCGCAACTCGCTTCCCGGGGTTTTGCGGCCGACAAAGAGCCCGGCTTCTTCATATGTTTCCCTGATGGCTGCCAATGCGAACGCACGAACCCGGGCGACCGACTTGCCGTTCTTCAGGCCCTTCGAAAGCCTTGCCTCCACGTCGGGATGATAGGGGATCACGTTGGCTATACGCGAGTCGGAAGGATCGACCCGCCCACCCGGGAAAACAAATTTTCCGGGCATGAAGGTGTGGCGCATGTGACGTCGCCCCATCAGCAGTCTTACGGTTCCACCGGAATCACGATCCAGAACGAGCAGTGTCGCCGCGTCTTTTGGTCGGATGTAGGGGTAGTCTCCTGCCTTTTCATCCTTCGCCAGCTGCTTTTCGAATGAACCGCTCATGAGATCCTTTCGGAAGGGGAAGGCGCAAGCGGGAAGTCGTCCTCGGCGTCCGGGTCAAACCCGTGCATGTAAAGCGCCCACTGGAGGCCGACCAGAGCGCCTTTGACGGGGCGCATGAGCCCCAGCGACAGAAAGATCGTCAAGGGGAGCCAGATCGACATGTGGATCCAGATCGCGGGGCGCCATAACACCTCCACGATCAGCAGCGCCGGAATGATGATGTGTCCGACAATCGTGATCGTAAAATAGGGTGGCGCATCATCCGCGCGATGATGATGAAACTCCTCACCGCACTCTGAACAGGCATGACGGACTGTCAGAAAGCCATCGAAGATTTTCCCTCGACCGCAATTCATGCATTTGTTGATCGCGCCACGAAACATGGCCGGCATAACGGGACGGCGCGGTTTTTCGGCGTAGATTTCCGGAATGTCCACGTCGTCTTTCAAGTCGTAGCGAACCGTCACTTGGACCTCCTTCGGCTCGTTTTTCGCGTGGAGGTCTTGGAGCGGCCACCCTTGGGAGGTCCGCGACGGACTTTCGGTGCGGTCTTGCGGATTTTCTTGCCGGCAATGCGTCCGTGACTGAGCAGCTCGAATGTCAGGGCACCTGCAAACGGTGCTGCTTCCACCAGTTTGACTTCCACCTGATCGCCAAGTTGGTAGGTCTCACCGGTTTTGTCACCTATCAATGCGTGCGACCCTTCGTCGTACCTGTAGTAGTCGAGGCCGATGGTTGACGCGGGAACGAATCCGTCCGCTCCGGTATCCTGCAAACGGATGAACATTCCGGACTTGACGACACCCGCGATGCGACCCTGGAAAGTCGCGCCGATCTGATCGCTCATCCAGAGCGCAATCAGCCGGTCGATCGTATCCCTCTCGGCCAGCATGGCCCGGCGCTCTGCAGCCGAGATTTCCGCTCCGATCGCTTCGAGTTTGCTTTCAATGCCTTCCGGCAAGCCGTCCTTTCCCAGCCCGAGCGCCGATATGAGACCTCTGTGGACGATCAGGTCGGCATAGCGGCGGATGGGTGAGGTGAAATGTGCGTAGCGGCGCAGGTTAAGTCCGAAATGTCCGATATTCTGTGGCGCGTATTCCGCCTGTGCCTGGCTGCGCAAAACAACTTCGTTCACGAGATTTGCTTGCGGGCTGTCCTTGACCTTGGCCAGTATTCCGTTGAATACCGAAGGACGCAGCCCGCCGGATGAGGGCAGTTTCATGTTGAGAGTGGAAAGAAAATCCTTGAGGCTTTCCAGCTTTTCGGGCGTCGACGCGTCGTGCACGCGATAGAGAAGAGGGCTCTTCTTTTTCTCCAGCGTTTCTGCAGCCGCCACATTGGCCTGGATCATGAATTCTTCGATCAGCTTGTGGGCATCCAGCCGCTCAGGCACGAAGACATGATCAACGGTGCCATCGTCCTTCAACTTGATCTTTCGTTCCGGCAGGTCCAGCTCAAGAGGCTCTCGGGCGTCGCGACCCTTCTTGACAACCGCATATGCATCCCAGATCGGCTGAAGCACTCCTTCCAGGAGTGTTCCGGTTTTGTCATCGGGCAATCCGTCGATCGCTTTTTGCGCCTGATGATAGGAGAGTTTGGCCGCCGAGCGCATCAGCACACGATGAAAGGTATGGCTGATCTTGCGACCAGTCTTGTCGAAGACCATGCGAACTCCGAGCGCCGGTTTGTCCTCCAACTCCCGCAGCGAGCAGAGTTGATTGGAAATGCGCTCCGGCAGCATCGGAATGACACGGTCCGGGAAATAGACCGAATTTCCGCGGATATTGGCTTCCCGGTCCATCGGCGAACCCGGCGTCACGTAGTAGGCAACATCTGCAATGGCCACATAAACGATTTGGCCGCCATGGTTTTCCGGACTGTCATCCGGTTCCGCAAAAACCGCGTCGTCGTGATCCTTCGCATCCGGCGGGTCGATTGTAATCAGCGGTATCCGGCGCCAGTCCTCTCGCTTGCCGAGCGTTTCAACCGGCTTTGCCTCCTCGGCCTGAGCTTCGACCGCAGCTGGAAACACGTGCGGAATGCCATGAGACTGAAGGGCAATTTCCGAAACCGCCTTTTCGGAATTCATCGATCCGAATCGTTCAATTATGGAGGCGCGCGGAGTCCCGAATCGACCGGAACGCGTTACCTGAACACTGACAAGGTCGCCATCATCGGCTTCCTTCAGGTCTGAAGGGTCTACATCGAGTTCACGCTGTTTGCGGTCGATAGGTTCCAGGTAGGGCAGGCGGTCGCCGTCTCTCTTGCGGAAGATGCCGAGGACGGCCCCTTGTTTCTTTTCAAGGACCTTGATGACGCGCGCAATATGGCTGGCCTCAGGACTGGCCTCAGCTTCGGTCAAACGTATCAGGGCCCGGTCGCCGACACCTGGCTGCGTCGCCTTTGTCTTGCCGGTCAGCACCAGGATCCTGGGTGGATCCCCGGCGTCTTCGTCCCAGTCGACTGGCACGCCCAACAAGTCGCCGTCTCTGTCGCGTCCAATCAGGTTCGCCACGAATACCGGAGGCAAGTCGCCTGGCCGGATCATGCGTTTGTTTCGCTTTTCGATCAGCCCCTCTTCGGAGAGATCCTTCAGCATCTTTTTCAAATGGATGCGAGCGCCGCCGATAATTCCGAAATGGCGGGCGATTTCGCGTTTGCCTGCCCGGCCCGGATTATCAGCAACAAAAGCGAGAATGTCTTCGCGGGAGGGCGTTTCGCCTGGAACCTTGGCGTGTTTTCTTTTGGTGTGCTTGCGTGTGTTAATGCGTTTCGCGCTCAAGACGCATCATCCCACGGCACTTCATCCGACGATGCATCGACAGCCACTTCCTTTGTGGATTTGGCGCTCGTCTTTTTCGCCGCCGCCTTCCCGGCAGTCGGTTTGGATTCACCATTCGCCGTCTTGGTCTTCTTCGGGCTGGACTTCTTGGCGGCAGACTTTTTCTTAGCGCCGCCCTTTGCCGCCTTTGCGGCAACCAGTTCGAGCGCCTGTTCCAGGGTGATGGCCTTCGGATCCGTGTCCTTTGGCAAGGTCGCATTGATCTTGCCGTGTTTCACGTAAGGACCGTAGCGTCCGTCAAAAACATTCACAGGCCCGCCTTCGTCAGGGTGTTCCCCGAGTTCCTTCAGCGGCGTGGCTGCAGCGCCACGGCGTCCTCCACCCTTTGCGCGTTTTTCAGCCAGCGCATCCACGGCACGGTTGATACCGACCGAAAAGACTTCATCGGGTGTCGTCAAATTGGCATAGGTTCCCTCGTGCAGCACAAAGGGGCCATAGCGACCGATCCCGGCGGAAATCATCTTGCCGTCTTCAGGGTGCAATCCGACTTCACGCGGCAGCGACAGCAGTTGAAGCGCCTTGTCCAGGTCCATGTCCGGCGCCGACCAGCCCTTGGGCAGCGAGGCTCTTTTGGGTTTAGCCTCTTCGCCGAGCTGAACATAGGGGCCGAAGCGCCCTTTCCTCAGAGAGACATCCAGTCCGCTTTCCGGGTCGACGCCAAGTACCTTGGGACCTTCGTCGGCGTCACCATCCTCGCCATTGGGTTTTCCGAGTTGGCGGGTGAAGCCGCACTCCGGATAGTTGGAACAGCCGATGAATGCGCCCCAGCGGCTGACTTTCAATGAAAGCTGGCCCGTGTCGCAAGTCGGGCATTTGCGCGGGTCCGTGCCGTCTTCCTTCGGAGGAAAGATGTGCGGACCGAGCAATTCGTTGAGGGCATCGATCACTTCGGAAACGCGGAGGTCCTTGATCTCGTCGACAGCACCCGAAAAGTTCGTCCAGAAATCGCGCAGGACATCCTGCCAGGAAAGTTCCCCGGCAGATATCTTGTCGAGTTTCTCTTCCAGGCTTGCAGTGAAATCGAATTCGACATAGCGCTGGAAGAAACTCTCAAGAAACGCGGTGACGATACGACCCTTGTCCTGCGGCACCAGCTGTTTCTTCTCCAGCTCGACATAGTCGCGGTCGCGCAGGGTCTGCAAGGTGGACGCATAAGTGGAAGGACGACCGATGCCGAGTTCTTCCATCTTTTTCACCAGGCTCGCTTCCGTGTAGCGGGGCGGGGGTGTCGTGAAATGCTGCGACGCCTCGATCGCATCCGACTTGCCATCAATGGATGTCGCGGTCAGCGCCGCGCCGTCGTCGACAGCCGGGAGCCGCCGGGAGTTCTCGTCTTCCTCGTCGTCGCGCCCTTCCTGGTAGAGCGCCAGAAAACCGTCAAACCGCACAACGGAACCGGTTGCGCGGAGATTGGCGTTCTTGCCTGCTCCTTTTGCAAGGATTTCGATCGTGGTGCGTTCCAGGACGGCAGATTCCATCTGCGATGCCATCGTCCGCTTCCAGATCAGCTCGTAGAGTTTCGCCTGGTCGGGATCCAGGAACCTGGCCACGTCTTTCGGGCGCCGCGAGAGATCTGTGGGCCTTATTGCCTCGTGTGCTTCCTGAGCGTTTTTCGCCTTTGTAGAGTAAACACGCGGTTTTTCAGGCACATAGTTTGCGCCGAAGTCCTGACTGATCACGCTCCGGGCAGCCGCGATGGCTTCGCCGGCAATCTGCACGCCGTCGGTACGCATATAGGTGATGAGGCCGGAGGTCTCGCCACCGATGGAAATGCCTTCGTAAAGTTTCTGGGCAACCTGCATCGTGCGGGAAGCTGCAAAGCCGAGTTTACGGGACGCTTCCTGTTGCAGCGTGGAGGTTGTGAAAGGAGCTGCGGGATTGCGCCTGGCCGGTTTCGAGGCAACGCTGTCGACGGCAAAGCTGGCGCTTTCCAGCATCGACTTTATGGTCGAGGCTTCAGCCTCGTTGTTGATGTCATGGCGGCCGATTTTCCGCCCGTCAAAACCGGTAAGTCCGGCTTGGAACATATCTCCAGCCGGTGTCTTCATGTTGGCGAAGATCGACCAGTATTCCTGCGCTCTGAAGACTTCGATTTCCATCTCGCGGTCGCAAATCAGGCGCAGCGCGACCGACTGGACCCGGCCTGCGGATCGCGCACCTGGCAATTTGCGCCACAACACGGGAGACAGGGTAAAGCCAACGAGATAATCGAGTGCGCGGCGGGCGAGATAGGCGTCTACCAGCGGTGTATCCAGCTGGCGCGGGTTGTCCATCGCTTCAAGGATCGCTTTTTTCGTGATCGCGTTGAACACAACGCGTTCGACTTGCTTGTCCTTCAGCACGCGTTTTTTCTGCAGCACCTCCAGAACGTGCCAGGAAATTGCCTCTCCCTCGCGGTCAGGGTCGGTCGCCAGAATAAGACGATCGGCTTCCTTGACCGCATTTGCAATTTCCGTCAGCCGTTTCTGGGATTTGCTGTCCACTTGCCAACTCATGGCAAAATTGTCGTCTGGCTGCACCGAGCCGTCTTTTGGAGGCAGGTCTCGCACGTGACCATAAGAGGCCAGGACCGTATAGTCGGTGCCAAGATATTTGTTGATCGTCTTGGCTTTCGCCGGCGATTCCACAATGACGACGTTCATTCTTACCCAAATTTTTTTGCCGGAAACGGAGCCCCCGCCCGGTGGAGAAGGAGAATTAAGTTGCGCAGACGATCACGGATCGCGCGCCGACTGTCAAATGGACCTTTGCGCGTCCGGGGTCAAGTGACCTCTTGCTTGGCATAGTTTTCCACGGTTGAATCGGCATGTTGAAAAGCTACGAGGCGCGAAAAAGTCATAGTGCGCAGAATTGGTTGAAACGCACATGCCCACGTAACCCGGCTGAGGCAAGACTGCTTCCCAAATTTCTTCGAAAATCGTCTGCGGTTGGTGTGACGGTTCCAGGTTCTGTCGACGACGGTGGGCCGTCCGGTTTCTTTTTCTATCCCATCACCAGCGAAACCTTTTGCCCGGCATGCCGTTCAAGACGGCCGGCGAGTTCCAGTTCCAGCAGGATAACGTTGACCAACCTGGTGTCGCCTTCGACAAAGCGGATGAGTTCATCGATTTCTATCGGGCTCGGGCCCAGAGCGGCGGTAATTTTCGACCGCAACCTGTCGTCTGGTTCACTCCGCAAGACGGGTTTTTCACCGGCTGGATCCAGAACGCCCTGGAACAACGGCAGGGCAGGGTCGCCGCGGCTTCCAAGGTCCTCAAGGACGTCTTCAGCCGACCGGGCCAGGATGGCACCTTGCCTGATGAGACCGTTTGCACCTTCAGAGCGTGGATCCAGCGGAGATCCCGGAACTGCATAAATGTCCCTGTTCTGCTCAAGCGCATAGCGGGCGGTGTGTAGTGACCCTGATTTTTTTGCCGCCTCAATCACCACGACACCAAGAGAAACACCCGAGATCAACCTGTTGCGCCGGGGAAAGTCCCGCCCGCGAGGCTTCCAGCCGAACGGCATTTCGCTGACAGCCGCACCACCGGTCTCGATGAGGGCCGCAAGGAGCTGTTCGTGTTCCGGGGGATAAAGTACATTGAGCCCACCGGCAAAGACCGCCAATGTACCCGTCTGCAGAGCCGCTTCATGCGCGGCGGCATCTATCCCGCGCGCCAGGCCGGAGGCAATCGCAAATCCGTGCGTTCCCAGATCGCGAGCAAAACTGCCGGCAAGCTTGCGGCCGGAAAGCGAAGCATTGCGCGCACCGACAATGGCGACCATTCTCGGAGTTGACGTGACGGCTCCACCTTTTACCGACAGCAGCGGCGGCGGGCCATCAATGTGCTTCAGGTGAGGAGGATAGTCAGCTTCTCCCAGGGCAACAAGTCGAGCCCCGAAATGACGATGTGCCTCCAGCTCGTCGGCGGCATCGTCTTCTGAACAAAGCCTGTAACTCCTTTTGCCGCCACGCCTTGAAAGTTCGGGCAGCAACTCAAGTGCCTTCTCGGCGGAACCGGTATGGTTCAGGAGGTCGCGGAAAGTCGTCGGGCCGATATTTTCCGAACGTATCAGGCGCAGCCATGCAAGACGCTGACTTTCGGAAAGACAACGGGTTTTATTTGACGTTGCGCCGCTCATGCGCCTCCGTTGCCGGTATTTGTTTCCGGCGCAGGGGACGAACCCGATTTGGCTCCGATCCGGCTTTCTTCGCCGCGCAGGAGCCGGCCGATATTTTCATGATGCTTGGCCCAGAGCAGGACGGTCATGAGCAACGCCATTTCCGCCAACTGAAAACGGTTGAAAACCAGATAGAGGATCACCGGTGTTGCAAGGCTGGCCGACAGGGCAGAAAGAGAAGAATAGCGAAACAGGACCGCCATTCCGATCCAGATCGCAACAAAGATCAGTCCCGCAGGCCAGAAAAGCCCGAGCATGATGCCGATATAGGTGGCAACACCCTTGCCACCCCTGAACTTGAGCCAGATCGGGAACAGGTGTCCGAGGAACGCGCCAAATCCTGCTACGAGCGCCATTTCCTGCCCGTAGAAACTGCTCACGATCAGGACGGCTGCGGTGCCCTTCAACGCATCGCCCAGAAGAGTCGCGGCTGCCAGGGGCTTGTTCCCGGTACGCAGGACGTTGGTCGTCCCGATATTGCCGGACCCGATATTGCGGATATCTCCAAGGCCCGCCAGTCGTGTAAGGATCAGGCCGAACGGTATGGATCCCAGCAGATAGCCGAAGGCGAGAGCTCCGAGATAATAGGGCCAGGCGAATTCCCAGCTGATCGGATCTGGCACGCGGACTATCTCCCTTATCGCGCAATCGGTTGTTGAAGCGGCACTGTAACGATATGGCGTTCCGGATCAAGTCCGGAACCGGCCGTCGTGACTTGCCTGGCAACTCTGTTCTATCGCCACGCAAAAATGGGCCGCGTTGGACAAAAGCGGGAATAAACCGGTCATTTTGACAGTTTGTATTTTTCGGCCTGGACAACCAGTGGTCCGAATGGCGCCGTAATGCTCGCCCTCAGTGGAACGAGGAAGGGTTTGTTGCCGACGGGAGCCAGCCAGACTTCCATTGATTTGTTTTTGGCGAGTTGTTGAATGGTTTTACGTTTGGGTCTGTGACCGGCTACCGGTTCATACCGGGCTCTGCATACCAGTACATCCCCTTTGAAACGACCATCTGACGTTCTGGCTTGCCGTTTTGTCTTGTAGCTCAGGTGAACGTTATAGCGTTCCTTGCCGTCAAAAAGTTCCAGCGACCGGTTGCAGCTCTCTTTTGACAGACCATTGGGCGCGGGGAAGACGGCGGCGGTCAACGGATCCAGTACGTTTTTCAGGTGTGCGGCAGTCACCTTGATGCGCTGGTTCATCTTGTCTTGCGGCGGATTGACGGCAACTTTGCTGACGGCCCCTTTTCGCATCTGCATTGAAATCGAGCCGTTCTCGTCTTCGCTGATGACATTGAGCGCGAAACTTTCGGGTTCAAGTTCACCTTTGCTGATCCCGCCGCGCACATTGACGGAGCCTTTGCCATCTGAAACGAGTTTACCGAAGGCTGCTGTTCCTCCGCTGGCATCGATAGAGTACGAGGTGTCATTGAAATCCACCGAAAGGACACCCGAACCGATCGGAAGGCCGACCGCGAACAGTTTGTACTTCATGTAGAGATCAGCGGCTGCGGCCTGACCGGCCGTCAGGGTAAGGGCAAACAGGGACAGGTATATCGGGCGCATCGACAGATCCATTCATAGTGTTCGCTCGCGTCAATTATCTGGGCGAATTTGACGCGAATGGGGTGGCCGGATCCAACACCATCCTGCCTGAATGCAATCTGAATGCATCGTATGCCTGAAATTCAGGACCTTTTAGGAATAGGTGTAGGCTGTTCTGCCCGCGACTACGGTCTGCACGACCCGACCGGAAAAGCGCGCATCCTCAAAAGGAGAGTTCTTGGACCTTGACCTGATTGTGCTCTTTTCCAGAACCCAGGGTCTTTCGAGGTCGAAAACCGTCACATCGGCAGGTGCACCCTTGCTCAGGCGGCCGGTTTCGAGACCCAACCGGTCAGCCGGTCCGCTGGTCATTGTGCCGAGCAGCGTAACAAGGTCGACCTGTTCGGAATGGTAAAGCCTCAGCGCCGCGGCCAGAAGTGTTTCGAGACCGATCGCGCCGTCTTCGGCCTCTGCCCAGGGGTGCCTCTTGGTTTCGACGTCCTGCGGGTCGTGGTTGGAACAGATAATGTCGATGGTACCGTCCGCGACAGCGGCAATCATGGCCTGGCGATCGTCCTCGTCGCGCAGGGGAGGCGACATTTTGAAAAAGGTCCGATAGGCGCCGATATCATTTTCGTTGTGTGTAAGATGATTGATCGACACGCCTGCGGTAATATCCAGGCCGCGTTTCTTTCCTGTTCGGACGACTTCGGTGCTGTCGGATGTCGAAATCAGGTTCGCGTGATATTTTCCTTTCGACATGGCGACAAGGCGAAGATCGCGTTCAAGCATGATGATTTCGGCTTCGCGCGGAACACCTGAAAGCCCCTTCCAGCTCGCATTGAGGCCGGAATTCATGACGCCGCCCGCAAGGTCCGGATCTTCCGTGTGGTGAATGACGAGCGCATCGAAGTCGCGCGCATAGGTCATCATCCGGCGCATCATCTGGGCGTTCTTGACCGACTTGTGTCCGTTGGTGAAGGCGACGGCTCCAGCTTCCTTCAGAAGACCGATTTCCGTCATCTCGTTACCCTCAAGCCCTTTTGTAAGGGCGGCCAGAGGATGCACATTGACAATCGCCGTATCCCGGGCCCGGCGCAAAATGAAATCGACCAGGGCCGGATCGTCGATCACGGGGTCTGTGTCGGGCATTGTGCAGATCGTTGTCACGCCGCCGGCCGCTGCCGCCTGAGAGGCACTGGCGAGTGTTTCGCGATGCTCTGCCCCTGGTTCGCCGACGGAAACACACATGTCGATCAACCCCGGACAGGCGATCGCGCCCTTGCAATCGACGATTTCGGCACCGTAGGGCGCTCCCTGGTTCGCCGCTTCGGGGCCGGCTGCCAGAATTGTGCCGTCCGCGATGATGATAGAGCCGGGGGCATCCAGCTCGCGTGCCGGGTCGATCACCCTGGCATTGGAAAGAACCAGAGGTCTTGGGGTATCGAGTGCCACGATGAAGTTCCTCTAGTTGTTCGGCAGGTTGGCGGCAAGCGCCTCGAGCACGGCCATGCGCACGGCAACGCCCATTTCGACCTGTTCGCGGATCAGGCTCTGAGGTCCGTCGGCGATGGAAGCATCTATTTCCACCCCCCGGTTCATCGGTCCCGGATGCATGACAAGGGCGTCGTCCCTTGCAAACGCCAGTTTTTCGGCGTCGAGGCCAAAGTAGCGGTAGTATTCGCGAACCGAAGGGACAAACGCACCGTTCATGCGTTCGCGTTGAAGCCGCAGCATCATGACGATGTCGGCGCCCTTCAAGCCTTCCCGCATGTCGCTGAAAACCTCGACCCCCATCTTGGCGATGCCGGATGGCAAGAGCGTCGTCGGCGCAACGACCCGAACTCTCGCCCCGAGCGCATTCAGGAGAATGATGTTGGAGCGTGCGACACGCGAATGCGCAATGTCTCCGCAGATTGCGACCGTCAGCCGGGCGAT